CTCTCCTCCATGATAATTGTTCCTCGGCCTTGCCGCCTTTCATATCTCAGTGGAGTCTTTCTTCTCTTTCTGCCGGATATAAAGTCACACTTGCTATAAATATGACCCATAAGCACATCATCATGCAGCTTTATTCAGCTTGGGAGGCTTTTGAAAATCGGCGTTTATTTCTCATCTGGCATGTAGAAAGCACATCACAGCCAGGAGCCTTTCCAACACTTCCAAGTGTGACTGAGAGAGTGAGAGTTGCTGCACCCTGCAAGCTCTCTCTCGGAAAAAAACACCTGCCTCTCTTTCTCTTTAAACCATTCAGGCAGAGAGGCTGGCAGGTGTTCTGGCCAGGCCACAATGATGGTCATTTGAAATTTCATGCAGCAGGAGCATCCAGTAAGGACCCCTGGATATCGCTATGCTATTTTTTCACTCTGATTTTCCAACTCATGTTTTATTCACACCTTCCATGCATCGGCTCAAAAAGGCCAATTTACAGCCAAGCAGGGGAAGCTGGACACTTCTTTCTTTCTTAAATTCAGATGCAGTGCTGTTTTTTTCCCAATCTCAGCCATGTGCTTTGTGTTTTGTGTTTTGGAGATGAAATCTGGGCTTTCAAATACAGTGCATCGAAACAGACTGAGAAATGATATAAATCTCCTGCCACTGATTATCACCACTTTATTTGACACATTTGCTAATGACCTGTGGTGTTGCTACAAGCCGCCAAAATATTACAAATTCAACAGCCTTGGAACTGGTGTTGGCTCAGCTGTTTAAAGGAGACTCAGAATGATTTTGAAGGAAAAAGCGGACACCTCGATGAGGAGATTGCAAAATCTTTTATCCGTCTTTTGAATTTTAACAAACAAAATGGTTAATAATAAAATCTAATCCTCTCTCGTGACAGTGGCAATGCCCAGAATGTACATGTACTGGGCGTCGGAAAAGCAAAAGCACACCATTTTTGTGTACATTTTTGTTTCTGAAGCTTTAATATCTCTCCGTGGCTACATGAAGTGGTTCTCTGACATATTGCAAATCATCAGCCGGCACAAAATGCTCTGCAGCAGAAACTTGCCCTGTCCCACCATGCATCTGTGCTATATTGATTTTTTCTCTTTTGGTCAGCAGTGCTTACTGTAAGCTGGAGCTGAAACAGAAAGAGAGAGAGAGAGAGAGAGAGAGAGAGAGAGAGAGAGAGAGAGAGAGAGAGAGAGAGGGGAGCTGTGGGTGGTGAATGAGTGTAGTTTTTATAGCTTAATGTAGCTACAACAGAGAGCCAGCTCCCTTTATGAAACTCTGACATGTACGTGCTCAAGCAGAATCTCTTCAAATATTTACATATGGTGCATCTGTTGTTATAGCAATTTTGATTTGCATCATTTGTATGCATGCAGTGCATCAGTATGGACATGCACATCTGTAAAACAGTCCTGTGCACAAGCTGCACTGCAGCCAGATTTAGGCTTCAGATGAGTTTCTTTGCGAGCAGTTGGGGCAGAACGGAGACGTCTTTGCTACTGGCATCCCCTCGTAACATCCAGCTGTTTGGTACTGCAACCATAGGTACAGAATATGGGCACTCATTAATGTGTTTATGTTTTCTTGTTTTTGTTTTTTCTTCTCTTTTGTTTTGTCATGATTTCGTCCTCCACAAATATGATCAAGTTTTGTTTTGGTTGTTCTCCTTTAAAAAGTCATGTTTTCTAAATTAAATTATATTATCCAATTTCAGTTCTTGTGATTTTGTTAATATTCCATATTCTTCCATTTCTTTTTTTTAACTTTTGCTCTCCACTTTTTAAAAATTTCTGTCCTATTTAGTTGTGCTGTCCACTTCAGGACCACTAATCCAATAACCCTCACGTACCACGTTCTGCCACACATTTGCAGGCATTAAGTGTCATCGACATATTATCTATACAATGACAAGCAGGGGACATCATATGTGGTAAATAATTATTTATTTGTGCAGAATATATCTTGAGCAATTCAATCATCAAGGTCATGGCAGCTATTTTGATTTATTTTATTCTGAGCTTATTCAATCCAACCTTTCAGCATAATAATGGAATAAACACACTATGTGTGTAGCATCAATAACTTAAATACTATACAGCTTGTTATACTTTACAAAGATCTACAGAGAATATAAGCATCAAAGGAATGGATGGATGGATGGAGTGAAAAGGTCAGGTTAATTGTGTAAACAAAGATGCGTGAAAACACAGAGATGTCTGAGCTCCCTGGCAGATGCCTATCACTGGTAATCAGCTGAGGTTCTTGTGCACAGCTTGCCTCTGCAGACAGAAATCCGACACGGCCGCTGATGAATGATGGTAAATATAAGCACCGGCAGCCTTTTTTCCTACTAGACAAATGCTGTGTCAGCATGCAATGTGTGCAGCACAGCACACACTGACAAGGAATTTATGTCCCCACAAGTTTAGTATGTACTCAGCAAAATGCACACTGACCTCATCACACATCCATAAAGCCTTCAATGGCATCCACAGCGTGCTTAAGTTCTCCAGTGTCCCTTCTCAGCTGCTGTTCCAGATGCTTCTGGATGTGTGTACGGCAGTGTAAGTACATAAAACTTCACGGTAAGCACTGAATTCAAGTGCATCATATGGATAGAGCATCCACCCTTACTTTCAGCCTGTGACGTTTCATAGCATAAGACACAGTACTTGAGAGCTGCGCAGTAAATGATGCCATTACATTATTTTGATATGTCTTTGAGACTGTGTGCACAGCCATTTAACTGTGGAGCAAATTCATTTAGGGCAGACTCTAAACAGGCCAATGCAATAAATCCATTTCCCTCTGATTCCATTAGAGACCCGCAGGCTATGTGTCATTTGTACGCTACCGCCTTAAAAAAAAAATCTAAGCTGACATAAAGACTGAGCACTCATAGACACGTCTGATTCCCACATGAGCTGACTAAATTCATTTTCCGCAACGTGAAATAATGCAAACTGTGCGATAACATGAAGGCTGATAGCGCCTGATGATGTTGGCTGATAAAAGTCAATTTACTTCTCTTTATAAAGATGCACTTATTTCATGATGGCGTTTATTCGGTCATAAAGCAGTAGCACCAACACAATTTAGCATTTGTTATCCCTTTCCACACTTTATGAATATCATCATTTTCATCTGTGCCGTGGATTAGGCTTGTTTAAAGACATAATAAAGGGGGGGAAAAGCCAAGCAATTGTCTGGTCATGAGGAACACGGTAGTAATTGCTCAGTTCTTGTTTTGCAACCCCAGCTCCCTGGTCATTTATCATTATTAGGTGCCTGAGCTCACAACTACATGGCTTTTGGTTTCCTTGGCAATAAGCAAGCTAAATCCTGCTCCACTTCTTCAGGTGGAAGTGAGTCAACAGAGCTGTTGTACAAATCGCCCCCGTACCATCTTCATGCTTTGTGTGAGCTTGTTGTGGAGTAGAGACGATAAAAAGGAGCGTAGAGACAAATGGCAGTCTGCTGTCATCCACAACAAGCTTGACTCCAAAGGCCAAATACTCACTGGCAAGAGCACACAAGATTAGAATCCTTTTTTCATTCATTCATCCAAGAAAACACAAGTCTTTTGCAGTAACGCCTGAGCTCACAACGCACACATGGGAACTGTCATAGCAGCTGCAGGATGAGAATGTGCTTTAGACAGAGCCACCTTCCCTGAGCTCACTAATGCACAACATCCTTGGTTTTTCATTCCTCTGAAAATACATTTTTTGGGGTTAATTGAACCCCCCCCCCATCAGCATTTATATTAGCATTTGCTGATGCTTCTAATTGAATATTTTGAAATGATTCTATATGTAATCTCAGTTTGCGACAAATTCTTTGGTACAACATACAAACAAAAGGAGAATCACTGCTTTGTCAAAATGCTGAAATACTCTACTTCTTGACAGTATTTAGGAATATAATGACATCAAACCAAAACTATAACAAAAGGACATCTGGACATCATCCCAACTGCACATGTCTGACATGCATCCAATTTGGCTGGTGGCGAGGGTGTGACTCCAGCAAGCTGTTTCTTTGCCTCTGTCATTTATAAAGTTGCATAGATACCTCATAATGGTTGTTTTTGTGTACTGTACTCGAGAAGAATAAGGAAAATAAAAGGTCAAGACTTGTAATTATCATGAGTACAAAGACACACTCACAGTGAATGAGGCTAATGACAGAAAGGCACATTTTAAATGTGACCCAGGCTTAAAAGACTCAGGGTTAACAGGGTTCTCCTTATAATGACTAACTACAGTGTCTTACCACAATAAATATTGTTGCATGCAAGATTGATCTCATTTACACCGGGAAGTAAAAATATCTCAATCCCGCTGACACAGTCAGCATAAAATGCCAAGTCACCATGGTAACAGAGGATGCAACACATGATGAGGACTATTCACCACGGGCATCCATCGCGTAATCCATCACAGTTTGAAACGCGGTGATTAAAATGTGAGAAAAAGCACCAACGGACCGGATGCTCATTTTATGTTGTGCGTCGCTGCCAAAGAAAGCTGGAGACACTACTACAGGCCACGTTGGGTGTTCTTCACATTATGTAATTGCGTTGAATTACCACATATCACAAAATCTAAATTCGCACATGAGCGGTGTTCGAGCAGCAGAAATACAGTTTGAGTTCCTAACTTAAAGTACGCTTTTGTGCCATCCAAGCCCGCAGCCCGATGCGTTAGTGTTCAAAGTTGCATAACACTCAGTCACATTCTACCCCACCATCACCGTAGCCATCCATTAATAAAAAAGAAAAGGGTGTAAGACCAAACCTCACTTTAAAACAGTAGGCAAGTCCGTGGAGACAACAGCATGCGGTCACACTATTTGCGTAAATCGGGTGTATTTCAAAGCAATCGCTCCAGTGTGCACACAACCTGACGTCTGACAGAATACATCTAAATGTGGCATCACATATGGGAGCTGGACGTAGAAGCGAGCCCCTACCTGTGCGCAGGTTGAAGGAGAGTCGGGCTTCGACCAGATATGGGGTGTCGCTCTTGGAGCGAAGTCTCCGTATGGGTCTGCGGTCTGTGCTGCTGGCTGAAGTGGTCGCCATCAATTTAAACCAGTGTCCGGTGATGACTGCTGGCCGACTGGGGGCAGAGGCAGAACCACACGGCCACTCACACGCTGGGAGCCAGCTATTGATGAAGGGGAGGAGGCAGCACAAACACACACAAACGACGGAGAGAGAGAAAGAGAGAGAGGGAGAGAGAGGGAGAGCGAGAGAGAGAAGGAGCTGGATAGGCGTTGGTGGAAACGGTAATGGATACACAATGTGAGGGAATCAAGGTGGAAAACATTGCGCACCGGTCAAAGAACATAAAACCTGTACAGGTATATTTGATCTTTCGTACACATCAAATGAAATCCGACTTCCCATTCTTATTTAGGACGAACAAAATAAATAAAAGATAAAAAAAGAAGTAGCCCTTTAAGAACCCACTGCCTGACACAAAATTAGAGTAGTTTGTAATCAAAACGCATTCAAATACAAACAATCACGAGTATATGTTTATAAAAAACACAGAAAATGGCTGCAAAACAAAAGCAAAGACGTGTTTGTTTTAAGAATAATTAATAAAATATACAAATGTTCAGACAACTTTTCTGGGCCTTTGTGAGATATTGACACAAATCCTTGCAGCGGATTATATAAGCACAGATCTCTATCGTCCTGTCTCTATGTCTATTCAATACGAATATATTAGCCTGTATAAGTTTTTTTTTTTTGCTATGTAAAGCAAAAAATAGGATGTTCACGGTTAAATATTCGGTAGGCTGCGACCCTGGGACGAACTGGAGAAGAATGAATGAACGGCTGGCGATGAGCAGCAGTTACTACACTTCACCACCAGATGGCGCCCCCAACTTTCACATATTTTCCCCTTTCTTGCTTTACGACAGCGTGGCTAGTTTACGGCCTCGTTTGTTAATGACAGACCTCCAGGTAAACAGGCGAACTCGGCGTGGCTTTAGACATAAACAAAAGGGACATCCCACTGCGAGGTACGTACAAAAGAAGTAACTCGTTTCAATACGTTTACATTTGCACGTAACGACTCCGAGCTGGTCGATACAACCACGGAAGAGCCAGTTTTGTTGTGCATGGTAGTTCTCGCTGATGTGACAACGAGCACGATTACGTTTGATCCTTTAGCAGCAGTCACGTAGATCACGACTTTGAGAGAGCAAAGTGTCAAAGCCGTAGAACTTCAACTTTGAATGGGATTTTTGGAAAAATCCCCCAAGGTGACAAACTTCTAGGGACAGCATATTCCAGTACTTTCGTGGTTATGTTAAAGGAACGTGACCTACAAACAACTAGCAAAGCACCGGGTGTAAAACAAACAACACGTTACACAAGTATGTAGCATGCACAGGTCCTTGAATCAGAGATTAAATCAAGAGTAATCCTTGAGCCTTACAGAGGGTTTGGCGTCCTGTTTAACAGGTTTCAACGTATGTGACCTGTTCAGGATCATACAAGCGTCACAGAGTTTTTTTTCCTCCTCTGTTTCTCCAATGGTTATTTACTCTTTTGAAAACCCACCTTGTGTGCACATTCCTGGACTTATCAGCTCAAAGAAACAGCAACTGTGTCTGTTATGTTGCAACACACAATTCATTTTTACACGTATTCTGATTTGCTGATCCAATGACCCAAATGTAGAAAAAAAGGAGAAGAAACATGCTTTAGTTGTTTATGACAAATGTCAACTTTGTTGGAAGTGCACAGGATTTTACATCTAGCCCCACTGCGATGTATCAACTATGATATTTGCCTTTATGTTGTATTTCATGTGTCTTTCAGTGACAATGCTTCTCCAAAATCGAGCCGTCTTTTCACTTGGCCGTCGCATGTGCTCCACGCATGTGACAACAGGACCGGTGTCAGAGGCAGCTAGACTCAGCTCAGGTAAAACAAAAGCTTTAATTCTTCATTTAAGATTTACAATCAGATATGACATTGATCCCTAATTTGAGTTCAATCAATTAAGTGTTAAAGGCAAGACAAACAGAGATGTAGTCATCAGTAAATTGAATCACGATTAAGGCAGCAGACTGTGATAAAGGGAGGGAACAATGTGCCTCATCTTATGTAAATCTGATAGTTCTTTAGACCCTCTGACCATCCCCCTTTTTAGATGAATGGTAACGGAGTTTAAAACACCTAAAACTTGTTACATCAATCACAGGTTAATCTAACCAGTTTCAGAGGGCCCTCATTTGTAACACTTACACACTTACAGGGAACCTGGTCTAATGTTTGTTTTCTTTTCCACGTTACAGACATGTCTGAGTTCCGCAAAGCCTTTTCCAAAGCCAAACATATCGCAATCATCACGGGGGCGGGAGTTAGTGCTGAGAGCGGAGTCCCCACTTTCAGGGGGGAACACGAGAAGTGGAGGAAGTGGAAGTCTCAGGTAGTTTCACGGACAGCAACTCACACAAAAGCATTCTTCTCTCTGCCTCCTCATTCACAATAACATTTTTGAGTGGAAAATCTGAGTGTGTTCCTGTCACATAAGAGCATTTTAGTGTTTGCAGATTTATCTCTATAAGATCTAACAGTTGACTGTAGTTAATGACAAAAACATCTTTCTTTCTCAAAGTATTTTTCTTGCTATATGCTGAATGCTACAGTTGGGACTCTTAAACCTTTAAACATGCCTCCCACAGGACCTTGCGACTCCTGAAGCCTTCTCTCGCAACCCATCCCGAGTGTGGGAATTCTACCATTACAGAAGGGAGCTTGTGTTGAACAGGAGGCCCAGCCCCGTTCATTTGGCCATTGCGGAGTGCGAGGCCCAGCTGAAGAAGCAGGGCCGCTCTGTGGTGGTCATCACGCAGTGCATAGACGACCTGCACCGACAGGCCGGCTCCAAGCACGTGCTCAAGATCCACGGTAAGAAACGGAGTCGGGTTCATCTTCTGAAACAGCTCTCGTCAACATGTCCAGCCGTTGTCATGCGCATTTCTGCTTCTCCGATTTAGCAAAGTTCTAATTAAAATCAAATCTAGTCACAAATAGCTGCACGTTAATAATTTTCCAGAGTGGTTCAAAGGGGTGTCTTTAGTTTTTTCCCACTGGACGTAGCGATATTTAACTAATCTTGATGCTGCTCCACATTCTGTGATTGATAGAAGATGCAGCTTTAATTACCTAAAAAAATACACTTGGACAGATTATCCAATATTAGTCCATAAACTGTGATTTGATTTTGAATTTGATGCGAAAAAATGTAATGTGCCACCAAGTTCAAATCATGTTTGTAATCAGGTCTATCCCTTTGAGGCTTTGCCATAAGTACCTGTACATGACTGCAGCAAACTCTGTCAGCTGTTACCTGTATTAGATTAAAACATTTATAATGTGAAGAAAGAAAAATAAGCCAAAAAAACAGAAATTCTGTTCCCTCCCCCTGCTCAGGACTAATGTATGTTGGAGTGGACTGAAGTGGGGAAAGCTCTGTGAGGTCCTGTACATATTAGAACCACATGACTTGGGCCTAAACCCGGCCGCCTGCGTTCAGAGACGTCACCCACCGAAAACATTTGAAACATCATGAAACAGAATACACATCAAAGGAGGCCTCACACAAAATTGTGTTGATCATTTCCATTTCAAAGCTGTTCTCTTTAGCTCCGGAGGAGATGGTTTGTTGAAAAGAAGAAAAAAAAAAGAGGTGATGCAATAAAAAGCACATTCAGCATTTAGCTTTGGGAGTCTCAAATTTAATATGCTGCCCTCTTGGTAATCATCTAATTTTATTTGGCTCTATTTTTCTTCTTTTGTGGTGAAGGAGGTGCTTCAGATGTCTATAACTCAACCAAAACCTTCCTTATGTTCAACAGTGTGTAAGCCAGAGTACGGTCATGCTTTTACAACCATTTCAGGTAAATGAACCCAAGAGTTGTGGCTGAAAAGCAGCTGTGTTTTCCCTCTCTGCAGGCAGCCTGATGGAGACACGCTGTGTGAGTTGTGGACAAGTGACCGTGAACAAGCGAAGCCCCATCTGTCCGGCCCTAAATGGCAAAGGGTAGGTGGAGTTTCGTGAATATGTAAAAACATATAAACATTCAGGATTTGACCCCCACGTGAGCAGAGTATTTAACCCCCCGTGGTGTCTTGTGAATGTGCAGGGCACCTGGACCCAATGTCGCTGACGCCCTGATTCCTGTCGATAAGCTTCCGAGGTAGGCTTGCTTTAACTTTGTAACTTTGTAAAAAAAAAAAGAAATAATACTGCCAAACACATTGACATTGATTGACACATTGAGCTTTTTTGCCACGGCCTTGAAATTGACCCTCTGAATTACATATTCTGTAATGTTACGGGCTAGACTTTACCAACATCTCTCCTAATTGGGCATTTGATTGTTAAATGCTGCAAGACTGATTCCATTTCTATTTATTTTGACATAAAAAAAAATAAAGAAAACTGGAGCCAGCCAGTATTGAGAACTGCTCAAACAAAGATGTCCAGATTCAACTTCATCATAAGGAAGTTATTGAACTTTAGAACGAAAGAAAACTGAAAATGGAAAAAAATGAACTGAAAAATAAAAAGAAGCCTGAAACATTACAATGTATGAACCGGTGGAAGGGGGCTGAAAACTTTGTGTTGGTACTGCTATTTCCACTTGAGGGCAGTGGTGTGCTCTGAACGCTTCAAAGCTTTTGCTGTGAATGTTTGACTAAGAAGCTTCAGCTTTTATGTTACTGGCGCTTTAAATGAAACATTTAGTCCAAGGACTCTCCTTGCTGTGTCCAGGTGTGACGATAGAGACTGCCATGGGTTGTTGAGGCCCAACACGGTGTTTTTTGGAGAGACTCTAGATTCTCACATCCTGACCAAGGTGGAAAAAGAAATGGAAATCTGTGATCTTTGTCTGGTGGTAAGTAATTGCTATTGAGGGTTCCAGTTTGTGACATAGGTATCTCAGTCGGTTTTTCCTCAGGAAAAGGGCAAGGACCTGACCTGGGATGTTGTGTGAAGCATAAGATTTCAAAGCTGACCGGAGGGTTTGCTCTGTTTTGTTTACTATGTAGGTGGGCACATCATCCATCGTTTACCCTGCGGCCATGTTTGGACCCCGAGTGGCATCCAGAGGCGTTCCAGTGGCCGAGTTTAACACAAGCATGACACCCAAAACAGAGTATTTCACGTAAGTTTGTGGAGCTGCTAAGGTGGCACTCAGCACCACCCTCACTTAGGCCGGAGGAAGCCACCCTCTGCCCTTCTAACTGTTGTTTGCATGTGTTTGATGTCACACAGGTACCACTTCCAGGGGCCATGTGGAACCACGCTGCCTCAAGCCTTGGCACAGCACGAATCAGAGGTTTTATAAGAGCCACCAGGTTCACTTTTAAGACATCAGTCACTGGTTTCTTCTACAGTCGAATGCAAAAAAACCCAACAGATTTCAGATTATTCCATGTCTTTGTCTGGAAATCTGATGAAATGCCAGCGCTTGCTAGAGCGTAAAGGTTTTGCTATATTTCTCCTAATACTTGAAAAACTGACTCACTAACTGGAATCAGAATGCGATAGGGTTTTGGGGTTTACATGTTTGCTGCTTTTACTTAAGCGGGAAATATGAGGCCTGATAAAAGTAAGGGAATGCACTACGCATGTAGTTGTTTGTTGTAGGAAAATATGTTGCTTCAGATTAAAAGCTGGTTGAGTTTTAGATATGCTCTATAAAATTTCTCCTGTAGAAGAGAACAGCATATAACATCTGGTGCCAATGGATGGGGTTCACCTTTTCTCTTTCCACTCAATGAACATATGTGCAGACAAAATATCGTGCCTTTTGGAACTGTTTACACAATAATGACCAAATGCTTGCTCTAAACCTCAAGTGCAAAAAAAAAAAGGAAAAAAAAGTTAACAATGTTACAGAGATTTAGCGTTAAAGTATTAAAGTTTGCTCATGCGGTGGAGGATACATCACAATTTACTTTCCATGCAGTTTATCTCTGTTTAGTATCAGTCTTGTTACAAGTCAGTACTTTTTCATGACACATTTGATACATTTTTTAAAGAATATTTCTGTGTAGTTTTTTTTTCTAAAAACCAACGGCTGTGGCTGAAAGTTGTCTGAAAAGATCGCTTCAGAACATGGTTTTTAACAGCTGAGGAAAAAAAAAACACCTTAATGTCAAACAATATGTAAGATTTCTTATTATGTATTCTATTAATTCTACCAATGCATTTATTCAGAACATAATTATAAAGCAATAAATGATTACATGCAGGTTTTGTGTCGTTGTTTGTTGTTTTAAAATGAGCGGAAAACACATTCCTGTCACATGCTTGGACTTAGTAGCCCTGTAGGTGCTCAAAGTGAGCAGTAGAGGCCAGCATGGCGCTTTCTTCCCCATCTGTTGCTCCCTATGTCCTGGGAAGGGCCCCCTGTTGTCACAGCTGGAAACCACAGCTTTATAAGCTTAGAGATTCTATTAAAAATCTTCACTAAATATTTACAGAAAGGTCTCTTTTGTATATCTATGAATGATTATTCAGTTTGTTTCCATGCAAGCCCCTCAGATTTATGTTGTGATTGCTAGTAGATTCCTGACCCAGAGATTCAGGAACAGTGGCTGGACTAAACATTTCCAGTGTTTATCTTCCCTGACTGTCTTCACTCTATTTAGTAATTTGGTTATAATCTCATAGTTAGAGGTATAACAGCCTATCAAGTTAGACATGAAAAGTTGTATTCATTAGGCAGTTTTCTAAATCTAATAGCAGCCATGAAAGAAAGTGACTCAAGAGACTCTTCATAAGTGTACATGAAAGGGACAAAGATGCCTGCATAGGTCCCACCGGTGGTGTCTCTGGGGAATCTCTTTGAATTAGTTTATTCCATAGCCATTTTTAGCACTTTCATGATAAATGTTTTTACTCCATTCATTCCTGCAGCTGGAACTTGATCCCAAGTACAGGACAAATGTTGTTTGCGGCTGTTGTCGGCCCGTAGTTTTCTTGGCTCAACAATTATGCAAAATCAAACGCCCGTGTCTGCCATCAGGCATTTCCATCACTTAGTCTGTGTCAAAAAAAGGGGCTGTGATTGATTGCCACTTTTTCCTGTCCGCTACGGCCGCCTTTCTTGAAATAGACGTAGGACCAAGATACATTTATCATCAGTAGAAAAGTACACGGAGAGGCACTTAAGAGAAATCTCAGCTGTCTGATGCAGCCATTTCTGGAGCTGCTGTGAGCAAAGCTGCCACTTCTACGTCCTGCAGCTCATTCACGGACGTAGCAGGGAGGGTGAAATTCATGGAAGTGGAAAAGTTCTTGTCAAACCCCGAATACTCCAGGTTAATAGCCCTCTCAATATATGTGGCAGCTCTAAAAATATATCTGCCTTCTAATGAGCAGATGGTCTTACTTTAAAGTTTGTGAGCACGTTTGAATTTTCAGTAGTTCTCCATACTTAACCAAATCAGCTAACCACTCAAATCAGAGAAGTAGGTAAAAAAGCCTTTTAAACAATTGAGAAAAAATATTGCATGTTCAGCATGTTCGTCTCCAGCGTTAGCAGTTAGTTTAAATGTGAAATTAGAGGCAGACTGCTTCTGTGAAGTGGGGACAAAAAAAGAAAAAGGTGACAAATTTTTCTAAACGTATGAAAGCAGCCAGTTAGTACATCAGTAAAGTGAATATCAACAGAGTTTGGTTCACACAGTTATGCAGCTACCCTAAGCACATAAGTCATTCTGCCAAACTATGGTTAAAGAAGATAAAAACAACATATGGAAATGCTAAATCAAACTCCTTTTCTCCCTTTTGAGAGCCGAACACTTCAAATGACGACTGCACGTAAGGAAAACCACAACATCATGGACAAAAATGGGCTGAAAATCCTTCAAATAAATAAATTGTTCCTGGGAATGTTCAGCTGTAGCTGTTGCATAAGTCCCAGCAGAAAGAAAAGTTGCATTTACTATGTTCTGCGCAATTCTCACAAAGTGGGGGGTGCTGATGTAAGATCATGTCTTAACTGTGTCATTTACTGCCTGATAAACATACATTAATATGTCATGTATTATCATTTAATACAGACTCATAGAAGGTTTTAGCCCCCCAGGAGACGGGCTACACAGATGTGCTGCTTTTGAAGTAAGTCTATGCATGTGTTGCTGAATTCCTTTGTGCAGTCTTTGTAAAAATGCAATGTTGGATTATATGTGAGTACTTGCACCGGGGGGGGGGGAGAAACAGTGCTTTCATGTGCGTGTGTATTAGAGCTGTGTGCTTTCCTCTATAATTTTCCTTTCGGTATGAAGACTGGCAGAAATGTCAGACCAAAGCGGGTCAGGCCGGGCGAGGCGTGTGAACCTTGCACAGATGCATACTGCTACTGTAACGCAGCATGCAGCATGTCAGCTGCTGTTTGTCAAGACATGACTCATTTTGCTGTGTCAAATGCGGGATTTGTCCTCAGGGTCATGTTTTCATCACAGCTATTTATTGAAAGAGGCACAATAATTGTCACAGTGAGTCTACCAGAAAAAGAAAAAAAAAGATTTTGACATATTAAAGAACCTGTATTCTTGCACTTTTCTAAACATTTATTTTTTGATGTGAGTACCTTTGTACCGACTTATGCGCGCTCACACATATACCGTTAGCACAAATAAGACGAATCCCTTTATAATCTCCCTTTTCTAACCTTTGCTTGAACTCTCTGTGTTAAATGGCGCTGGCAGCATTAACAAAGGTTTACATTTAATCCCCCTGTTGTCGAGCTAGCGTTCATGATTTTCAGGTAGTCTGTCACTTGCCACATTTCCCGCACCCTTCCTTGAAAGACCAACCTGTAAAATATATTTTTACCGCTTTAATTCCGGTCTTCAAGGTGATGATAGCCTGATATTCTCACATCAGGACTAGCAGTTAGCGAGTTGTGAAGGTAGATTCGCGCACACACTTGTGTGTGTGTATATGTGTGTATATGTGTGTGTATTATGCTGTTGCTGGTTCTTCTGGGTGGCCTTGTTCAGAGGGTCTTGCTGTTAGAGAAAGGCTGATATGGGGGCTCAGGTGCAAGCTAATCTGCTGTAACTCTTAGCAGACTTAGCACACTAATTAGGATCGAGACTAGTGGCCACTTTTTCCTGGTTATTGATCATTGGCTTTGTTGTGCACTAAGGGGTTTTTGGCCCTAATAAGAACAGCAGCACAGTGCACATATAGGACAAGTCTGTGCCCACCATTTCTGCTGATTGTTGTTTTTGTCTTTAAAATTCAATGGCTAGTTCCAGTTCAACATCCGGACACTCCAAAAGTGATCAAATCGATCATGTTAATCCTTAAATCAACGCCCTTCTTTTTTTACTGATTCTTAGATCTGACCAAACTCAACACTTATTGTTTTGCAAACAAATTATAAATATTTTCTCTCACCTTTTACACATGTTCTCTGTCTAAAGTAGTATTTCTTTAATTCATTCCATATGAGAATCTGTCAAACATTTGTACGGTTTCCAAATGTAAATGTATTCACCATTTCACTGCTAAGTCTACATCAAGCTAAAATTAACATGGATGAGTCGGACAATGAGCGAGCTCAGGAATGGTCAAATCCACTCTGTTGTAAAATAAAATATATTTTTTACATGTAAAACATAATTGCTACAAGATTTCTATGGATTTTGAAATAATGTCAGACGAACAAAATAAATACACCGAAAATGATCATAAATCAGACATGCTCTTATTCAAATTGTAGGACTCCTTGGGAAGGCTAACTTTCATTTGAACTGTCAACTGCATCTGTCCTTATGTATGTGTTTGCCTGCATCTCTGTCTCTCACTGTGTCTTTCCTGGTCACCTGTCTCATGCGTGGCACACTTGAAGCGCTCGGATTCAGTGTGGCACGTGATATTTTGGAAGATGGTCATTGAGGGAGGGGTGAAAGGCACATGGAGTGTGCACACACCTCCACACTCCCTCTTCCAGATTACTTGAATTATCTGAGGCTTTAAGAGGATTTGACAATGGGGGAGGGAGGGAGGGGTGGGGGGGGGGTGGGGAGGGGGTGCTTGTATTGCGCTCGAATCTGATGCACCTGATGGCTATTGATCCATCTTAATCTCGCTGAAGGAAATGCATGCGACACAGTCAGTTACTTCCTGTCATCGTAAACAAGCTTCAGGCTTTCCCCCTTCCTTTTCAAGTGTTTGATGTTGTTGGTGGCTCACCTTCAGCAGAGATCTGTGAAAAACAGGTCTAGCGTACAATACCTTAAAATAGCAACGACTCAATCAGCCTGGGTCTCAGCGGGTGCGCTTTGAACAGAAAACATCTGAACACTAATTTACACAAAACTGAGGATGGATAGGTTAAAAAAAACAGATGGATAGGGAAAAAAAGTCACGTACTTTTTCAGGCTGCAATTGAAATAACTCCGTACCTACAGAAAGCAAGCCTGCGTCTTAGGATGCAGGTGTAAGATTTAGAAGCTGGTGCTGATTGAGTCCATCTGATGTGTCATTTGATAAGTGAAAGGTTGCAATCAGCAAGCTGTCAAGTGAGAGAACATCATATCAGGAACATACTTTGCTTGGTTTTATCCTAACTCCGGGTAAAAGTGTACGACACCCAACTTTGACTCCAGATTACTTTTAGATGTAGGAAATATTTCAGTTTATTCAATTTTGAACACAAAATACAATTTTATAACCTTGGCTTTAATTTGTATTCTACTGAAATGTTCTCTTCAAAATAATTCGTTTTCTCACTCAGAATGCATTATTGATATTGATATTATATTGCTGACATAATATCAACAAAATAGAGTTTTATAGTTCTAGCATTGAAACTGTGTTGCTTCGGGCATTTTGTAAGGCTAGTCTGCCAAAACTGGACGATTGCATGAACGGGTAAATTTAAACCACAAAGGGATTCTGGAGGGCTATAGCTTCTAAATGCGTCTGTTGTGACTGAGAACAGGTTTTGAGAGGGAAAGAAACAACTCCATTATTGTGGATCTTTCCCCCTGTGTGTCCAGATTGATTTAGTAATTATGAGTGAGTTTTGATTTCAACCCTGATAAATGGGGCCGCACAGATTTCTGCTCAAGGCTGGAGTTTGAGTGATGTCTTTTGGATTTGTACGAACACTCATGGGCCATATTTGATTTTTGCTGAAATGCATTCATCATCTTACCCTAAACTGATGTAAAAACATTGGTCACTTCACCCTATACATAGTTATCTTCAGCCTTTAAAGATTGCATTTCAGCGATTGTGTTTCTTTGTGGTCAACACACCTGGCTGAAAACCATGAGGAATCCAGTCTTTTTTGTGTTTAGCACATTTTAATTACAGCTGACATTAACTCATTCACAGCATGCATTGCCAGTTTCTCCTGGGTCTTTCTAGGCTGTTTCATTTGCTGGTGTTGAGCCAATTTGTCTGTGACAATAAGACAAGCGATGCTTCAAGCACATCTGCACTCTGGTGGGACTGGCCAGTTGCTTGGCTATCACAAATGATCACTTGATGATGACAACAAGTGTTAGGTCCATCTTAGATGGAAGAAACATATCCTACTATGTTCATATGTGCTTTGTCTTTCTGAGTCATTTGCTTTTCATTCTTTTTTCCCCTTTGTGAAGTTTGAGAGTCTTTCCATTTTGAAATTCTGTAAAAAAAAAAGCTATTCTCTTTTTGTAAGAAAAATAAATGACAATTGTCACTATTGCTCCCCATAGACATTTGGAATTGTATCTTTAATCTCAATAAATTTGTAAGATATAAAAACATAATTTGCATTTGACATGACATTAGGGCTTTCATGACAGCACTAAAATCCTTATAATAACATGCAATATATTTCTCCATGGGGATTACTAAAATATTATTCCAACTGAATTTTCTGTTGTTTAAAAAATCGGTTGCACAAGACAAATAAAGCTAAGCCATGTTGTTGTCATCTAGTCAGTTAACTCAGGATCGATTTTCCAATGTAAATGTCTCAGACATAATTAGCATTTTCTTGTAATTTCTAACTCTAAGCTGTTTTGCTCTCTCAGAGAGGCCTTTTCTGTGACAAGAGTTGAAAACCAAAATAGCAAGACAGATAGAGAAGAAAGGCGATGCGTTTCGGAAGAGAGGCAGGCAGCAGGAAACTGGCTCCTTTTGTTTCCTGGTCCGATGCCCTTGGAGTACAGCTTTGGGGTGTGAGCTCCCAAAAGACCTCCGTTTGTTGTCAGAAGATGAGGTCTGACAGAGTGTGACCATCCACTTACACCTGAAGCCATCAAAAGCAGAGGGAATTACATGTTTATACCATCCAATGGCTCTGCACTCATTCTTTGGTGTATAGAACACAAAAAAAGAAGAAAAAAAGACAACAGGCCTGACAACAATACGATCAGAAAAAAACACAATCCAGCATTTGTGGCTAAAAAGCTTCTGGTATATTGCTGCTTCGCATCTTATAATGTAAATAAACAGTTTGTCATTAGCCTAAAAGGAATGTAAGAAGACTTAGGAAATTGAAAAGGAGCAGTGAGGAGGTGCGACAAAAGAAATATTGAAATATTGATCACAGCAATGGTAGATCAATCACACTCATGGACGGCAAATGAGAAAAGAGTGTTGTTTCATTTGCATATCACCTTGATGCGAGGCATTCACGGACAGGCGAGCTGCAGCAACATGGGTGTCATGTTTACGTGTCGGCTAATAAAGCCCGGGGAAAGCGGCGGGCGTAAAAGCCTAGTAGATAACAAAGATTATCAGTCTGAAAGCAGCATGTCCTACATTCTGCATCCCACATCTCTCTCATATGAGCAGGGATAGGCAACAAAGACATGATAAGTTTGCAAGAAGTAGAGGTGAAGCAGTACAAACAGCAGACCTGAATAAGGCGATGACTCATTTTGTGTGACAGCAACAAAGTTTGTTTGGGATGTGAAGGGCTACAGCTAAGAATTTCTTTCTCTTATCATCCATTTCATTCTTTTTTAGTTGAACTCAGGAGGTATTTCAGTTTTTTCTCATGTGTTTAACTTGTTCAAAATTGTGTTATTAGACAAAGATAGCCATGTCATAAACACAACAATTACATAAGAAATCTTAAATCTGTTTTTGTCAAATATAATGTGTTTGATATACTATTTCTTTCTATTTTCCAGTATTTCTGAATTTTTTTTGTTGGTGCTTTTTATTTTCTTGTTTTATCTGTTCTGTAGTGGCGTTTTGCTCTGCGGTGAACTTATTGTTCAATCTACAAATGAAGTTGTGCCAGCTAACTGATAGTATGGGCTCCAATACTTAACTGCAATATGTGTTCAACTATTTTTTGTAGTCATAAATCCCAGGTTTTTGTATATCAGAGTGAAATCGTAATTCCACAGACATACTGCCTCCCTTTTCTCTCAAACTGTGATGGGCTGGTCAACACCTCTCTATTTCTATTGGCACCCCATCCATTCACTCTCTTTGTTTACCCGCCACACTCTATAAAGTCATCCCATGGATGTGGTGGATCAGTGAGCACAGAGCAGTTACAGCTGAGCCAAAGATAGAGAGGATGACAGTTTCTGGTGGGGGGTCAGGAGGCATGCGAAAGTTCATGGTCAAGTGCTGGACTTTGCCATCTGTCACTTTCTTACAACCTCAGTGGCACTGACGGGTCATGCCAATGGCAGCCAGTGATGGATGACTAATATTGCCCGGTAATGAGTGAGACGCCATCCTCTGCATACCAAAAGGCTGCTGGGAGCAACACAGAAGTCCTATTGTGATTTTCTTTTTTGCGAACACGTCTGTGCCAAGCAAATACTCACGGTGGCTCTTGTTTGTTGATGTACAGTGTCATATACAGAAAAGGGAGACTGAAACTGCGCGGGATTTAATGATGGAAACATGTCACGTGCAGGTGGGGGAAGAAAAGACCACTGTCATTATCAATGATGATGTACTGCTCCGTCTAACTCTGGAGGGAAGCTCTGTAGCACCACTAGTCTATTCGTCTTGACTGTGTGTGTGTGTCTGTGTGTGTGTGTGTGTGTGTGTGTGTGTGTATGTGCGCGCACTGAGTCGCTTTGGACGTGTCTTATCTTCACCTCATAATGCGCAGGCGTGATCCTATCTGAGCCCAGCAAAAAGCTGTTCCCGTCGGTATCAGACGTCGTGTGTGCGCTGCCGCTGCTCCTCATGTTGCGCTCGAACGCATGCACACAAATTTGATCGTCTGCATCCATTTTGTTGACACTCGGGAAATGTGGATTGGCTCGCTAGCTGATGTTTGCGGACAGCGCTGTCCAACCTGTGGATAGTGTGGAGCGCGCCTGTGGCCACCGACCAGCCCTCCGCTGTCTGGGACGCTCTGCCCGCAGCCCTCTGTGCGCCTTTTTCTCGCCCTCGGTCCCGGTCCGTGTCGGCGCGGGCGTCCGGTGGTCCGTTTTGAGCTAAGCTGTGTGCAGGTATTCAGTTTATGAATGGCACTGACATGGAGGAAATACCGTTTCAGAAAGTCAAAACGCGGCGGAAGAGAAGTCACTGTCCACCGGCCGTCCCTCTGACCACCATCGTGTGCGAGGACGAGTTCGACTGCAAGGAACTCGAGTCCCTCTTCCAGAACTACAACCTGAAGCTGGAGCAGACGTCCACTCTCAAAGCCCTGGCGGTCCTCATCTTCATGTCCTCGACGCTGGCCGTGTTGGAGTTGCTGTCCGGCCCCAGTCTGACCATTTCCAAGGGGTCCCACCCGGTCCACTGTGTCATCTTCGTCTCGCTTTTCATCGTAACTAATGTGAAGTACTTGCAAGTGACTCAGCTCCAGCAGATCGTCAACCTGACGTTGCTCTTCGGCTTCACTTTCTCCTTCCTCTGCTGTCCCTTCTCCCTCGGAGCGATGGGCATGGAGCCCCCCACGTCCCCCGAGCAGGGCGTGTGGCAGCTCATCCTGGTCACCTTTGTCGCCTACGCGCTCCTACCTGTGCGGACACTTTTGGCCGTGGTGTTTGGAATAATGGTCTCCATCTCGCATTTGATTGTGACAGCCACTTCTGTTACGGTGAAAACGCAGAAACTGTGGAGAACAGTAAGTACACGATTAATTGTGCTAAAGGTGCTTCTAACTAGGGTTTGAAACCCGCACACAGGTGATGCAGGACGGTAAAGCGACTTGAACTCAAGCATACGCAGTTTGGGAAGTCAGTTCAGGACCAAGGATAGCTCCGCGCTGCGCGAGTTGATCGGCTTTGCCTGTCAAATCTGTCAAAAAGCCATAGCAAACTCCGGTATTTGTGCCACGACCTCCTTTCCAAAGAACACACGTGTCGAATCAGACACCGAACAGAACTCTGAACCCTAAAGGGGATTCCTGCATCAGATCTTCAATCGTGGCAGTAAATGTTCGTGTTCTATCAAAAAGTGATTTTCTTATGACATACCATTCGTCTCAAAGTCGTACACTTATTATTTTACACCAGCTGATGGTGATGAAGGCCAAAACTGAGGTGATGTATACCTGTGTGCTGAGGGGAAAAAAACACAAACAAATCAGTCAGTACGCCTATGGCCATTTCCTTAGGAATACAGTTCAATACCAAAAGACTCGGTTTGGAAATGAAGGACTAGGGCAACACTCTGTTAGCATCAAAAGTAGGGCAAATTTGAAGGACACACACATACACTTCTTGAACTGAACTATGTGCTTTGGTGATGGAAAACAGGGCAAAGTCAGGCATGTCACTTCAGAGCTGAAGAACAGATAGCCATTCTGCTGTCTTCAGATGTACATATTTGTATATTTTCTGTCTCAAACACATACGCGCGCAAACACACACAAACACAAACACACAAAACATTTGTCACTCTAATCAGATGTGCAAGGAGAAGAAATGTCACATGATTAGTCAAACCCTGAGGACAATGCCAACGTGCAACATATGACATGAGGGCTGTGAAGCATTAATGGGCAAAACATGATATTTAGGCAGTTCCTGGGACGGGTGGCAATTGATTCACAGAGACTGTTTGTCTGTTTGCTGTGAGCTACTTGTATAGCCATGTGAAGGACAGCGTTAGCTGGACTACCAGAGATAGCTAATCCATTAAGCTTGGAGATGAGCTGCGTGGCATGACCCCACACATCTCAGGCTTGGACCAACCACCCACCTAGGCCCCTTGAGCGCTGTCTGCTTCCACAGCTCAGTGTGTGTGAAATATCTTATTACTGAACTTCAAAAACATGTTTGAACTGGTTCCCTGCTCTTGAGCTTCAAGTCTTAATGTCCTGCTTTGCAATAACCGAGCAGCTTTTAAACAAGAACACATTTTGGATCTTATTGACAGCTAAAGACTGAGAGTAAAAATATAATAACAAATTGTATAATGTGCACAACTTTGCACCTAAAAATAATTATAATTATTGATCATTTCAGTGTTGTAAATTTAAACAGAGGTTCTTGTTGGTATTACTTCTTGTAAACATAATGTACTGCATTTACTCGTGTGTCACTGGTCACTGGGTTGCCGCTCTCATTCATTATCGTTGTGGGGCACTTTTAAAGTGACTGTTTCACTAAATCAGAAATTGTTGAATGAAATTACACGGATCTTTTCTTTTTAATGGATACACATTTGATATAAGTCAGTGAGGTCAGCCTAGCCAGTTAGAAAGACTAGAGTGAGTGCTGTACAACAATAAACGCAGATGTCCAGATGAATAAAACCCAGGCTGTAAAGCGACTTGAGCATCGGTTGGGCATGTTGATGCTGGCCAGCATCAAGACAGAGTGCTTCTGCCAAAAACCGTCTTTTCAAGGCGATCCATTTTTCATTCCTGCTGTAGACAGGCCTGTCCGTGTTGGTACAAGTTTGTCACATTTTAGTGCAGGTGAGTATATCACAGTAGGCTTACACAGGGTTTTAATGAGAAACATTGTCGTTTGATTTTTTGTGCTCCTCAAGGTCATGCTGTTTGTTCTAATTTTGTCCAAAGTAAATACAAATCATAAAATCACGAAAAAAATATATGATCCCAAAATGATTTATAGTTCTACAAATATATGGCAATCCTAGACACAATGATAGATTGCTTGTGTACACATTGGAGTTGATTACTGGCCGTATCTGCCGTGTGACAAAGTTGTCACGGAAATAATCAAAGAAATCAAGGTTACTGAAGCACTATTAACAAAGTTTTTCTGCGCATGTTGTGATGAATTTTCCTCTTTAGCACAAAGTTAGTGTATTACCCAAATGAGAATTTCAGAATTTTCTGTCCCAGTGCAGACTTATGAAAATCCTTCCCGCTTTTCAGAAAACGCTAAACAGCCACTTTCACAATAACAGTTTAAACAAATGCCTGGCCATAAAAATCTGCGCATGGAATTAACTATGTGTCTTTTCTCCTGATTTGCAGCTGGTTGCCAACACAGTGTTGTTCACTAGTGTCAACCTGTCAGGGCTGTTTGTGCGCATCCTGACAGAGCGGGCCCAGAGGAAGGCCTTCCTGCAGGCTCGCAACTGCATTGAGGAGAGACTTCGGATGGAGGATGAGAATGAGAAACAGGTAGAGGCACCTGGATTTTACTTCAACTTCGGGAAATGTGGGCGCATCCCAGCTGAAGTGGTGACTCATTTCAGCACATTACTCATTTCTTTTAGGCTTCGCACCTTTTTTTATCTAGATTTTTTTTTCTTATTACCACTAACATTTTACCCTGTGTCAACTCTGCCGTGTCTCACTGAATAATATTTTACCTTCTCTCCCCCTAATTGTACCCACCCCTTCTCGCTTTTTTGCCACTCACACTTGCACACTTAGGAGCGCCTGCTAATGAGTCTGTTGCCCAGGAACGTGGCTATGGAGATGAAAGAGGATTTCCTGAAGCCCCCTGAAAGGATCTTTCACAAAATCTACATCCAGCGTCATGACAATGTCAGGTAGGACTTTATTAAGCACAAGGTACAGCAGAGCTTTCATTTCTCAGACGTTAAAACTCTCCTTTGATGTGAGTTGACACAAATCTTAACATTTCTCCTATAGCTTTTAGAGTAAACTAGATTTTCTTTATGGAAGAGTTTCCGACTGCAATAGTGGAATAAACACTGTCTCAGCTCATTACAATGCACTATAAAAAAGATCTGAATTAATTGACCATGCGCATTCTTTAGAAGGGACACTGGAGGCTATACAGTGTGGTGTTATCTGACTGAACATTGTCGTAAGACATTAGCAGCTCTCCGGAGTGCTTAGAGGGAAATACATAATTCTTCATACTGAATATCAGGGGTTATCCACTTCTTTTTAAAGTTTGGATAACCCTGAAGGCTGCACATTGCATCCATTGTTTTTATTATTTACATTTGGGTGGTTATTGGATTTAATCTGCTATCATAGCTATAGGCTACATCAGAGAAAAGTTAAAAGACCATATTTACAGGATGTTTACATTTTTCTCTGAATTACAATCCTACATTAAATGAATATAATAAGAAATATATATGTACTACTGTAAATATGGGAATTAATGTAATTAATCTAAATAAATAAGTCAAATTTTTAGCTAATTTATTTATGTAAAATCCCAATCAGCATTATCTTTACAGCAGTCCTTCAAACTGAAACCCGCAAAATAAGTCAACAAAACACTGCCTGTTCTATTGTTTAAAAACTGGCTGCAGTAGTTGTATTTGATCTATAACCCTGTGTCAGAAAGGCCTTAGCAGTTCACGTCGGAAGAATAAACAAAGCAGACAATAATTCTTCTATACTCTACAGGATGCAGAGTTTATTTATTCATTCTTCTTCTCGCTCCGCTTCTCTGACTGCATTGTCAAATCTGCTCTTTCAGCTCCTGCCTTTCCTTGTTATGTTATCTTATCTTCTGCTCTTCATCCTTTCTTCTGTGTTCTCTGAGCAGCAGGGAGGCTTGAGGAGGAGAGTTTGCATAGCCCCAGAATTAAGTTGCTACAGGGGATTAAATGCAATGGAGACTAAAGTCTTGTTGCGTAACGCTCTATGTGTGTGTGTGTGTGTGTGTGTTTGCACACGCTGGTTAAATATGGACAGATCTCAGTGGAACTCTGCTGATTGCTTTTTGTGCCTCAAACTCCTTTGGACAGCAACACCCTATGAGGCCGATCTGGTCTGGAAATAATTAGACAAACATGATTTATGGGTTTTTGACAGACTTTAATTAGAAACTTAGAAACCGATTAACTCTGTGTAATTCAATTTCTAATGTTTCTGTATTCGGTTGTAAATATGTGGGCAGTGTTGATTTAAACCCAACAAGAGGATCATTGTACTTATCTGTCAGTAGATAAAGAAAATTAACTTCAAACTTAAATTTGATTTAATAAGATACACGTTTTCATTATAGAGCATTATTAGTATAAATGTATCCAGTCCAGACTTATAGATCGATTACATTTTTTTAAGAAGTAAAAGATTTTAGCTATTTTTACAATTGTTAACCACCATTTATTTTTTTATTTTATACCACTTCTGCCCCACAGCGCTCTAGTAAGTATGTAAAGATTTCTTGGATACAAATCAAAGCTGCTCAGCTCATGAATGAAGTTCTAAGCTTTGAGAAAAAAGAATAAAAAGAATTTGACTTGTGCACGGTGCTTATGAGGAGCTTATGAGGAACAACATCAAGCAATGCAATCTTTGTAGATTTTCACTCTAACTAAATAGATTGCACATTATCTACCTAAAGTTCATTGTAAGCACATTGCACACTTATTGAATTGGCGTCAGCACATCCGCTGCCCACACTGTATCTCCAGAAGGGCCCATCTGAATTTAACCCATGAGCTGGCACACAGTTTGTATCCGCGGCTGCATGATTAAATTGACATCACATCTGCCAGAGAAGCGGCAGCAATGTCTTCCAGAGAGGGAAAGAAAAGATTAGCATAATTGGGGAAATAACTCTTCAAATAAGTGCCACTGGAGAGGAAACAATGAATAAGCGTTAGTGTGTGTGTATTTGTTTGTGTGTCGAGCACACTGTTAAATATTACATTTTTTACAAATTAGTAGTCTCCACAGTTGTTCTGTTTTTATTATTTGGGTTCATTTAAAGGGAATTTTAACACTACTGTTGATAAAAATTTAGTTCACTATAAGACTGACATGCTTTCAGGTCATCTGTTCATACTGAGGGATTTTCATTCGTTGTGGTCAAATACATGGGCTCAAATCATGTACACACACAGCGTGTACAGTGGATATTTAAATAGATGTGACTCATACAGGAATAAGTCTCCAGAGTTGGGAAAGTTACATGCATTGCACTTCGCTCATGGTCACACTTCTGTTTTGGAGTTTGATATAGAAAAGATTTTAGTCCCAAAACGTCACCTGTAGCAAGCTGAAGGTTTTCAGTCCAGAAACCTTTTGATGTGCTTTGTATCCTGCTTGTAACATATCTTTGTGGCTTATCTTCAGTATATCTGGAAACATATTAGTTGCTAACCACAGATCAGTGTTTATGTCAGTAATGCTCTATGGTATGTAAAGGCGACAAACCAACATGGTGACATGAAAGTTAATGTATTTTTCAGTGTAAATCTTGACAGAAGAAATATCTTCCTTCCAAGCACTCAGATTTAAAGGAGGTTGCTGTTTATTTTTCACTAAACAGCCCTACTCACTAAGACACACTTTCAGGTCATGTGTTCATACTGGAGGATTGTTGTAATCATTACATACGGTCTGTACTGGTTGTAAGGGGATCTAAATGTAAACAGTCAAACTGACTTCCCCTGTCATGCTAATTTTCTAACCCAAACCAAGCACTACTCTTCAGTAAGAAAGTAATGATGGTGCTTTTGGAAAGTGTTGACGTTTTCACTGACTGGACTTAACTCACATGTGAAGATTCATGTGTGACCACTGGGCTGGATACATTTATCATGTTTTAAACGCCTGTTAGGATCATGTGAGATCTTGAGATCCACACAAACCAAAACCAAACTGTACTCTGAAACACATAAGAGTCTTAGGTAGGTGTCACTCAGCTTAAAAAAGTTCCTATCAAATGTAGCTTTTCTCTGTTACTGAATAAACTGCACCTGAACTAAATAAAGGGTTTAGTTTGCTGAGGAACTAGAATTTCATGCCAAAAAACAAAGCATTAGTATCCATGTGGTATTCTTTAGGCCATCCAATGGATCTCTTTGAGCAGTCCAAGCTTTCATAAGAGGCTAGTCCTAAAGAGACAGAAATTAAAATGGAGCCACACAAGCAAACTCTTCTCAGAAACCCTACCACAAGCACCATCACAAAACAAGAAAAAAAAGTAACCCTGAAAAATAGCTCTCGGGCGACATCAACTTTTTGCACAGGCACAGAATCAATAACTTTGATATTTCAAATATTTGTCAGCCACAGATGGTTGTTCGTTAGGATCTTTAACACAATTGGAATCTACTGCCCCTCATTACGGTGACATCTGTGGGACAACAAAGTGACATTTAACAGCTCCGTCGTGCAGATCCAGCACTCTGTCACACTGTGAAATCTCAAGCCCACATGAAGGCATCGGTCTGCCATCAGTACAAGAGCTGAACGCATGCAAGTTGTATGGGGCAGTTTGATGACTAATCCCCTTCACACCATCCGCTGCTATAGCTGTACGGGCAAATCTTTCAGAAAAAAAGAAAAAAGGAGCACTGGTTCTCCCACGACATTGAATCTACCACGACATGTTGTGGAAGTGTAATAAAACATGGTGTTCAGCACTGAAGTTATTATCGTTCAAAAGTTCCTATCAACTTTCTGAGAAGAAGTATATTGGATATATAATAGAATTACTGCGTAATAACAGACTGGAAGACTGTAGAGACAATATCAAACCCCTAGACATCTGAATGAGGCCAGCTTCTCCTAAACTTTTGGTAATCCTTCTTATCTTTCTCAAATGAGGACAGACCAATATAATGATGTTCTTCTTTAAGTTTAAGACATTTCAGTATTATTTTAGTAATTAATAATTGGCTTCCTCATTTGGTATAGCTTCTCTCACTTCTTACAATAATATGAAAAGGCCGGTCTGCAAAGTCTCTGTTTCTCTCTGTAGACTGCGTAGAAATCAACCTAGTACAAAACAAATATCTGACAGTTTATCCTTTATAGGAAAAAGAGCAGAGCTTGTATAGAGGCTTTCCTTTGAGAACTGACTTAAAAGTTCCCTGATCATCTTTCATTGAGCTTATACCCTCTGATGATGATGTAGCCTGAGAGCTATCAGCAATACTTGCCACTTAAGGACTTAAAATGATATAAAGAGCAGTAGCCTTTCATTTTCATACACTAGAACCTGCTATGAGCTTGTTCATTATAGGTCACTGACTGGTTTGAACCACAGATGTTGAATCCATTAGCCACACAAGGTGTCTAAAAACTCACATGTAGTAACCTCTGCCCTCCTTACCCTACTCGTGATTCATGTCACACTCAGAGTAACGTGTGGAGTCCAGGCACAATCAAGTTGTGCTGGAGGAGAATAGATAAGGAAGTCTTTGTCGCTGTTATTGCCCTGGCTGGTTAACAGCCTGTTGAAACTGTGATGATAAGCTATATTTAATGTCCACAAATATAAATATATAAAACCTTAAAACTATAAATGGCATCAGCCGCTGATTAGGTCAGAAGTTTGATTAAATCACAGGCGCATCTAATAATATTGCAAGCTTGTAAAATGATAAACCATGCTCACCTGGAGATAGTGACAGCACCTTCATGGTTGTATTATAACCAAGAATTGCTCTGCTCAGTTCCTAACAGGACATGTCTCAGATCCCCGTGAGAATGCTCCCGCTGCTATTTTGAGTCGCTCTGCTTGACTGCGCTGCCAGTCAAAGAATGGAACAGATTCCCCTTCCCTATGTCATTTCTACCTTCCTTTTTTTTCTTCTTACAGGTCATTAATTTGAAAGTTTTATCAGTTCATGAATCATCCTAAGAAAGCGTTCAAATCAGACGCTTCGGGCTATCTAAGTAGCATTTTTGAAAAAAGTGATTTAATTGACAACCAATGAGATGAATCGCAGTAACATAAATGCTTGTTGTCTTTTCCTTTTCAGCATCCTTTTTGCAGACATCGTCGGCTTCACCAGTCTAGCCTCTCAGTGCACAGCCCAGGAACTGGTTAAGCTTCTAAATGAACTGTTCGGAAAGTTTGATGAGCTCGCCACGGTGAGTCCATTTCCCTACCTTGAAGCCGTACCCTTCAATTATTGTCACTGTTGGCATTCAAAGCAGCTTTGTCTCTCTGTGCACTGTGCGCTTTGCCCGAACTATGGCACAACAGTAACGTGCACCAGTGGACGTATGTGTGTGTGCATTTCTTTGACCACAGGGCCACTGGCACATGCCTGTAGCTTAGCATTATGTCACAGTGAATATTGGAAGCCCATATGATGCCTAATATGATTATCTAGTGCTTCATTTGAGGAAGAGTTGACAGACCTCTTTAATCTCAGCCAGATTTACCCACGGCTAAACCTCGCCTCCTCTCTTGTTGTGTGAATGAACCAAATGAAGGGATTGTAGAGTTGTACTCATCCCCAATTGCTCTTGGTATGCATGTGGAAAAGATTTCAGCTCTATCCATCTGTCAATATTTTTGCTCTGCATGATTTAAGGGTTGAAAATCTGATCAACTTTTGTTGTGAATTTTGTTTGTTTGGTATATGCACTTGTTTTCTTGCGTGGCACTTTCAAGGCTGGCATTATAGAGTTTGTTACCAAAATAGTATAGCGTCTCACGTACATATGTCTACCACTTATGATGTGTATTTGGCTACACTTACAGTATCTTTGTTGGTGTTACAGTCCAATCTACATATAATCTGGCCTCCATGATTTACTGAAGGAACATGCTCATGTCAAATCCAGTAATCCAGGGGATTACAACTAACCTTTTTTGTTTTTAGAGAAGGGTTCAGTCGGCAGTGCTAAGAGATTCTATTTATAACTTGTTTGTTTACAGGCCCAAATTTAGATCAAGCTGAAGAAAATGACTCCTATTGGCTAGTTAACAAAACACAATTGCAAGCCCCCCCCCCAGTTATTTAAGACCTGTTGTTTATTCTGAGTCTTGATAATTTGCTTCATCATTATTTGAGTTTTATTTTTTATTCATTTTTCTGTAAAAAGTCTTAGTTAAGTCGTTGTTAGAAATGATCTCCCTTGATGTCATAGACACCAAATTAACTTAAACTATACTACTGATTGATTAGAACTTTTATTCTGCAGAGCATCTTAGCCTGGAGAGTTGGATGGCGATGTGTTTTGATTGGAGCTGTGTCACTCTCTTATGTACAACTGATTTGATTTGTTCTGCTGTTCGCTGCTAGCTGAGAATCCCTTTTTGAGAGGCTGTGCCCGGACATGAAACTTGTCATCAAATGTTCTAGCCCAGCCCTGACCCAAAGCCCCACTCATTCTGATCCACTTTGGCAGGAAGTGGCAATGCCAGTGACTCATAACTGTGGTCACTGTGGGCACACAGGCTCCCTTTCGTCCCATACGAAGAGCGGGCGATGCCACATGGCCACTGGGCATCATCTCATCATACCATTCCAGCACCATCCCCACACCACCTGTCCACTCTTTGGACTTGTCAAGCTGCATGGGAAGTGGGCCAGGAACATAGTGTCTCCTAAAGTGCTGTTGATGTAGCTAGCAGACCAAGCCTCCTCGCATCTCCTTCCTCCAAATTCTTACAAGAGTGAATTTAAGCCATTCTTCATCTGAGAGCCTCCTCTAACTCACTCTGACTTCAATCTCGTTATTTCTGCAACCACAGTTTGAAAGCAAGCCCATTCTATCATTTTTAAATATGCACACACTCTTTAAATGTGATCCTATCCTTGACTTTTTTTCAATATGTGTGTTTCAGCTTTTACACACACTGCTGCATTTCAAACATATCCTCAAATTATCAAGGTTGTGTTTTAAGAGAAAAAATGCCATTTCTGTCCATGCATCCCAGTGTAAACTAGAACTAAGTTCTTGCACACTAGACTTACTTAGTGTTTCTTGTAATCTATTCAGTCAGTGAAGTAGATTAGAAAACTGAGGTTGGATAAAAAGAGAAACATAAATTACTCACGATAAAAACAAGACAATCTAAGGAAGAAAATATGAGCTGTATTAAAGCATTAAACATTCCTTGCTGTGAGACGTTGTTTAGACCAGGAAAGTGTATTTACTGTTGTTTAATGACACCGCACGTTAAGGAGGAAGATTATTGACTATTATGCACAAAGGTGTCTTTGTAAAATGGAACTAGCATCAACTCAGCTGCTTGGAGTAACATATATCAGCGTACATCTCTCCGAGCCATGCGCACTTCTGTAACTGTTGCTTTATATACAGTATATTGTTGAATTTGAGTGAAACTGGGAAGTTTTGCGGCTCCATTGACGTACTCAGCCGTTGTTGACACGTGTGTTGGCTTTGGTTTACAGCTTTTGTTTACATACAGAGGCCTGAGATGGGCACTTCTACTGAAATCTAAGACAATGACACAAGTTAATCTTTGACCCAGAGGTTCTAGGAAAAGTGCAAACTCAACAGTCATTGGATGATGGGTATAACTGCTTAACTTCTAAACAGAATTAGAATGTGGAGCTGGCACATGGCTACACGTGCAAACTGTTGCACTAATGTTATGGGCAGACCAAACGCAGTTTCAGTCTTTGACAAATTTAGCTTCTTTACAGAAATGTATTTGCACAAAGCACCACGTGTAGCAAATTTTAAAAGTTTATATTTACAACAAAAACTAGGTTGCAGTTGCAGTTCTGCTTATAGTAAGATGTTAAATTTCCTGATGAGGTGAGGTGCAAGTATGTGATCATCCTCTCCCTTAACACTAACAAGAATGGTACATGTTTTGAAGAAATGTTTAAAAGAAAAGTCACAAAACCATGATTTCAACTATCAACATTGATGTGGAGAAAGCACATGAAAAACTGTCTCACAGTATTTCTATTATACAACTTGATTAGAATTTTATTCTCAACTCACAATAGCATAGCAGTTTTAAACACTGTAAATTGACCAATAAAAAAAAAGATTCCTTGGACGTTATTGTATTAGGCAGCTTGATATCAAAGTTCACAGGAAATCCAGACTCTTCGATCAGTACATCATATACGATTCCGACAGCCCACACATACCAGGCCGTAGAAAAGGCAATTACGGATGATACCAAAGACAGAGGAAGCTGTTAAACCTAACCACAACCCTATTCACTAAGTATGATTGCTTTACTGTAGAAGTGGTCTGGATTTAACTGGAATTATATAGTAATAACTTCCAGACTCATATCAGCATTCTAAACACTAAAGACTATTAATGGGTGTTGGACATTCATTCCAAAGATAAAAAAAATGTCAACTGGCACACCAACTGGTCTCCTTGAGGCCCCCTCTCTTTATAAACACTCCCTCTGGCTGGGTTTCCAACTATCTGTCCAGCACTTAAAACAACAGCTTTGGTTGTGTGAGGAACTGTGATATATTTATGGTTGTTGTGCTAAGTAACATTAATAGCTCTGTACAGGATGAGCTCACGGTTTGCACGGGTACAGTTGCTGTTTCTATGGAAGAGATTCACAAAGCTTTTCATTCTCATCACTCTTTTCTCTCCTCTTGCAACACCTCCCTGCATCACAGCTTTCAGACTCCTCTGCTCCTTGTTTCTCAGCTTTTTGATTGACATGCAGCAGCCTACTTCCCTCATCTGAGTCTTTAAAGCCTTTTCTTCATTTTTTTTCATGCTTCCATTTTTAGGGGGGCTCAATGATGTATCTATCTGTCTCTCACTTCCTTGGCAAGTCAGTTTTCTTTTCATTCACACATACATGACTAAAAGCTTGCAGAAAATATGCTCAAGTTTTGAATACTCATCATCATGAATATATTTTTGCTTTTTATCCTGCAAAAAATAGATTTAAACTAATGAATGTATCTGACAAAATTATACTCCTTATGATATACATGGGGAAATCATTTTAATGGTAGTACTTTATTATTTAGTATTTTAATAATTTGAATCCATACAGGGGTAACACAAATCCAGTTTTTGTCATAATATATTAACAAAACTGGAGAATATGAATTACTGTGAATTATCAGAAAGAAACATTTTGTTGAGAAAAAGGGAATAGCCCATCCACATGGCTTTGTACACCAACACGAAGAGTATAAAATCTTATGCTAGGAAATCTATAACCAATATAATTGTGTTACTCTTACATTGAGAACAGGAACTGTGCACTGCCCACACAGTGACAGCTGCCCAGAAAACTTAAACCTAGGTTAACACAAAATCAAATAACCCTGTCTGGGTTAGCCTGGTGAGCAGATGCAAGGATCGCCTTCAAGTCCTACTGTTTCTTTCAGATGCCTGAATACAGAAAGCTATGTACTGACCCAAAACCCAAACCAAACAAGACAGTCTGTGCCCAGAGGAGCAAGAGATGCTTCTAGGAAAATAAGTTGTTGCTAGTGCAGTAGAAACATAGAATGAAGTAACTCACAGAAGAAACTCAAATGTAATATTGTGTCACTAACGATGTCATCATATTTATACGGAATGTTTTCCAAACAGACACAAATGAAACCCTAAAGGATTTCATCCTATCTTCCCAGATGATGAAATACGGGTGTCATGATTGATTCTCCGACCATGTTGCATCAGTCTCTTCTCAGTGTTATTAGCATTTTACAACATATGAACATTCATACTGTATCTGACTCAATATGCAACCCAGCTCCTGGTTCAGGCCTTGTTTACATATTGCCTCAACTACTGTTGAGCTCTTCCAGCAGGTCTCCCAGCATGCACAGTGAGGCTTCTGCAGATGGCCCAGAACAGGTCACTATTTTACTAATTAAACTCTGCTGGCTACCAGTAGCTGCTCAAATCAAATTCAGATCACTAATGCTTGCCTACACCGTGATGATGGGGTTAGAACCCAGTCATCTGAACTTAGTTGTACTGGCTTATGTTCCTTCTTGACCTCTCCGTTCCTTTCTGCATTGTTGTTTGTCATCCCTGTGCACAAAGAAGTTTCAATCCAGACTGTATTTGGTGGAACAAGCTTGTATATTCATCTCTTCCAAGAAAAAACCTCCTCTACTTACCTCTCACACGCCTAACCTGGACTTCATGGTGCTATGCCGGCTCTACTTATACTCTTTCTTCTAAACAGCTTTAATGCTTAGTGAGAAGACCTTGGTTTCTTACTGCCCCAGGACTCGAAAGCATTTCCAATCATGAGAAATTTACTTTTCTAATGTCACTGTTCAAGTGTAATTTTTAATCATTTACAGTTTACTGTACAAACTGTAAATTTGACTATGATTAAATGCGATAATCTACCTTTCTCATTCTGTAATGATTAAGGTTCACATTTGAATGACGCACTACAGTTTTTGTGCATTGCAATGAAAAATACTGCCATGTTTGCATGTTGTAAATAAAAATAAATCCGTACTTTTTTAAATGACAGCTTTAAGTGACAAATGAAAAAAGCAACAAATCCACATGTTGCCGCAGCACTGATTTACAGAATGTCAGTTTTGCCGGTATTGCTCAAAAGGACTGGGTGTCCAAGAATAAACGAATAGCTACATAAATATGCTTCAGCCAATTTCTTTATATCGTTCCAAGAGAGAGGTGTTTCTTTGTTTCCAAATCTGATCCACTGTACAGGCAGCAATCCATGCAACCTGGTACACTGAGCATTTGTCATTTCTGTTCAAATATATTGACATTACCTTCATATACCTCACCCACTCACTCAAACCCACCACAAATGAACAGAGGAGAATGTGTTGATATGTTTTCCATTTGCTTTTTCACATAAATAATTAAAATCTTTAAAACTGTCTGTGGCCGCAAGCGAAATATCAACTCATAGAGATGTAGGGAAATTAAGAAAAAAATGTTTTCCCTGCGACTTCTCCTTGCTATAAATCTCTTAATGTTTTTTTGTGTTGATATGAAGTTGGTATTATAGAGTAAATCATGAAACAAATGTACATTTTTAAAACCAAGTGCAACAATGAAAACTTCATAAAACTGTGTGCCTACTTGCGACTGATAGCAACACAGTTGAGTTTCAACAGGGCATTGCAACTGGCACCGTGACCGAAATGAGGACAAATTCAGAAATAGATAGCAGCCTACACAGCATCAAAGTCGCAAGAGTAGGTGTTCTAATCTTTAGCCCCATCAACACAGCAGCGATCTTTACCTTTGTATCAAAAGCAAAGCACAGTGTGTTCTGCTCTATCCTTTGGGAACTTGGAGGAAATGAACTGCTGCTCTCAGCTGGCTCATCTTTTCCTTCATTACCATTTATTGAATGTTCCCTCTCCTTGTATTTGTGTCTTGTCGCTCCCTTTTTTGTTTCCTACAGTATGTCAGTGTGCAGTGAATTGTTAGCTAATTTGCAAAGTCTATGTGGACAAGCAAATGTCAACCATCCTGCTGTGAAAGATGGGTATCTCCAAACTGACAAATAGATTTTTCTCTGTAAATCAAATTGTAAATAGAAATGCTGTATCTTTTTTTAGTCTCTGTCTTTATATTCCTATTCTTTTGACCACCCAGATTGTCCATAGTGCGTCAGTCACATGACAGTGGTAATCCTGCTTGGGTCTGAATCAGCGCCTAAGCCCTCACATAGCAGATTAGCAAAGGAAAAATACAGTGTAGGAGACTCTTTAAGTACCAGGGCTTTCCCTGCTTCCTGTCGCTTCAGCCATGCCTCGCCATAGCACCATCTGTTAGTGTGCCACTGTGCCCCCAAGTAACCCTAAAGCATGCTCAATAGCTCCCTTCCAAACAAGCTTTTACTTTCAAAGGAAAAAAGACGCAATTGAAGAATAAACTATTTCATAGCCATCTTTAATCATTTGAGAGGCGTTGGGAGAGTTAAAAGTGAGGAAATCCTTTCTCCAGTTGTACAAAGTGAGAAGCCCCTGGTTTAGTTAGTCACCAAAGAAAATGGGCTTTGAATTTTAGAAAACAAAGGAGTTCTGCAATAAATACGCAGGTGATGACTATCATTGCAGTTTATTGAAACGGCCCAGCTTTGCTGAAAGAACGCTTGAGTTTTTAGTTTCCCTTTAAGGTAATGGTGGAGGGAGCCAGGTAGGAAAAAATACAGTAAAATACACAAGGATATACTTATCTTTAAAGATATATATGATATATAAAAGATGCCTTCAAATGACAAAGTGAATCAAAGGTTGATTTCTTCAACCCTTTCTGTTAAAAATAATCCAGTGATATAAGAATAAGTGGTGCAAGTGTACACAAAAGGCTGTGCAGATTTCATGTTGTTGTCTGTCTGTCTTTTTGCCCCTCTGTGACTTTCGTGTCTTAAGGATTAGGGTTTCACATATTGAGTCTTCCTGTAACCCATCTTTATTAGGAAATGAATGACTAGTTCATTTGAGTTCACTCAAAATCAAGCAAATGTCCTATCAGGGACAACAGAATAGCTCGATAGACAAATTCAAACTGATTGTGCTGACCTTCTTCTTCATGAGAGTTCTGGAATGTCTCCGAACCAGCAGGTGGACTACATAAAATTAGTACTGACTCATTCATGACTCATTTCTGAAATATTAGTTGCTGTTTCCTTCAAAATGAGTAGTGTTACATGGCACAGAGTAGCATCCATTTGCAGAATCTTCTCATTACTTGGCCATTTCTTCTGTTCTTTGATTAATATTTCTGTTTATCGTCACGTTATGTGGTGCATTGTACACATCTACAGAAAATCAGGTCAAAAACCAATATGCTCTCAACAAGTTTTTATTCATTATCATTGGGCAGCTTATACATTGATTTTCATAAAAATGTTTACAAGTAATTTTTCTTCAAGAAAAAACTCATAACATATTATTATTTTCCTCACACTGTAGACTCACGTAATGTGTCAATGATAAGGTACCAGTTTTAACCTCATTCATTCCAAGATTTTTACAAAAGTTTTACTGAAAGTTTTTTCCCTCTTGTGCTCTTGTGACCCTACCAGTGAAATCATGTCTGTGAAGTCATGTTGCACAGATCAGTGTACATTTAATGCAGAGTCTGCATAGTCTTCTTGAAGATCTTTTGGAGTTTTGCAGTTCGACAAGGATCTTAATTGGTCTTACTAGCATTTCGCTCTTTTATAGTTTTCTGTGTCTTTTTGGCCTAAACTTGACTTTTTTTTTCTCATTTTCGAATTAAATTTCAAATCAGTGGACAACTTGCCGTCATCATAAAAAACGGCTCTCTCATCTTTTGGCATCAATTGCCTCTATTTTCGAAGAGCCTTTAAATTGTTCGGAGCAGCCGTTGTGACCCTTTTTAAAGACAAATTTGAGAATTTGTTGATAATATATTTTAAATGTGCTTTTTCTGACCTCTTTTAATTATATGTGTTAGAGACATAAAAGTTTTCTAATATAGCCAAACTTGTGCATATTGCCACTTTCCTTGTTGCACCCTTTGATTGTTTGACCGGTAATGATAAATCTCTAGATGTGCATTTCAACATAACGTATTACTCTGGGTAATACTGCAGCTCAGCATCCACAATTACAACAGTTAGCATTTTTCTCTGTACGTTGGGTTAAAAAAATGCATTTGCCCTGAACAGGCTCCATACCCAAGAGCATGGAGACACCACAGCAGGTAAAATTACACAAATGATCATTTGCTGCTAACAAGCCCTACCTGTCCGGCAATACAGAAACTTAAATGGCTTCCATGTTAAAAATAGAACTTCCGTCTTGTCTTGTGCCCACCAGTGTGCATAATTATGAGTCTTTGTGTTCTTCACATGCATGGGCAGCAATCCCATTACCTCCATGGAAACAATGAAGGATTATGAGGAGGTGCCTACGGTAACCTGGTCTCCATGGTAAAATGAATGTCTGTTGCTCATATCCTCTTAATGATGGGTTATATTTGTAAGCTGTCTTTTCATGCCACAGCTTACTGTTCTAAAGAGTGAGTGACTCACCTTATTCCCTTAAGTGAGACTGATCTGTTGTATTGTTGGGGCCATTTTTGCATTGGTGCAGTTTTGAATTTAGGTGAAAAATCATTGCATTGATGCTCATTATTTCCTCATTGTGGTTTTTGGGTGTCTCTTGCTTCAGTGTTAATGCTCTGTTGGCTCGATTTGTCCAATTCTTAACTTTTAGGTAGACAAACAACCCCACCTGTGTGAAAGGTATACTCATTCAGTTTATTTATGTCAAACATCTTTCCACTGAAATACAAAGTGAAGTGAGAAGTATTGTTTGACATATTCTAAAGGTAGATATTCTTTAAGGTAGAAGTTCACAGGCAAAGATCAATCATTAAGCAATAAGGAGGTCAATGGCTGCAAGCTATCAGGCTGTTTATTTGAATGGAATTTTGTATTTATCCTTAGAAAATGGGGTATTAATCTTAATTATTGGTATTCCTGATAGAAATTTAAAAGCATTTGTTTCAAAGGACCACTTTGATTTTTATTGGACTTTTTTGGTGTTCTGCTTTGACATCACACAAAAACTAGATTCTATTTGACATGCCTAAAGACAACAAGACAGTTGTGCTCGGTGGATCAGAGATAAACACCATGTGGCAGCTGTGAGCTGAACTCGGGTTTTTCCTTCGCAGAATTCCGAGGCGTCTCCTTCCGAGTGCATTAAATTAACTTAAACACCACCACCAATTTGTAAAACCTGGATGGATACTCTTACTCATACTGATAAATCCTTCTCAGAATGAAATAACACTGATCTGTATTTTTGATTGACAGGAGAACCACTGTCGCAGGATTAAGATACTGGGTGATTGCTACTACTGTGTGTCTGGACTGACCCAACCCAAGACAGACCACGCACACTGCTGTGTCGAGATGGGTCTTGACATGATTGACACTATTACGTGAGTTCTAGGAAAAGACTTGTTTTGTTCTAAATGCTTAACTGCTGTTTATTTAAAAAGGATCTCATGGAAGAAGAAAACAAGTATTGCTGCTGCATTTATATATATATATATATATAAAGCTGATCTAAATGCTCAACCGTTGTGTCTATTTTGCCAGGAAACATTTCTTTTTTATTTGCGTCCTAACAGGTAGACATATATATCATAAGAGGTTATTTATTTTTAGTTGATTGTTTATTCATTAACTGTTTCTCATCTGAGTTATCATATATTAAACTTTGTTAACATCAAACTAGGCAATGAGGAAAGGGGAATTTACAAATGAAAAAAAAAATATTAAAGTTAGCTATGCAGTATATTCCCACATCTAATGCTCGTGCTTTTTAATGGTAAATTTGTTCAAGTTGCAGCGTTAGTTTCTCTAGTCATGTCATATTGTATAGATACAGATAGAAGCATAGATACGTTGTTGCTAAAGACTTCTTTGGGGCTCTTCGCTGTGTTTGGATCCTGCAGGTCTGTAGCTGAGGCAACAGAGGTCAACCTCAACATGCGGGTGGGCTTGCACACTGGTCGGGTGCTCTGTGGAGTGCTGGGCCTCAGGAAATGGCAATATGATGTTTGGTCAAACGATGTGACGCTGGCCAATGTGATGGAGGCGGGGGGACTTCCAGGGTCAGTATCTGTCATCTGTATTGTGATGTTGTACAGTTGATTTGTTCTTTAGAAGTTTACTTCTGTATGGTTTATGTTATGCAAAACATCCAGAGCATCAACTGTTGGAGAGTTAAGTGATACATTTGAGTATTTCTGTATTAAATAACTAAACTGAAAACGTTTAAATGACTGGAAGACCATTTTAAATGTATATACATAGTTTGTGACTTCGACAGCAAGCACCTGGACACTGCGGACAAGATGCAGAAGCATTTTTAAGTTTTTAAGATACATTTTCTGTGTTTTGCCAGCACTGAACTAGTGGACTGCTTTTTCTTGCCTTAAGCTCTGAAAAATCATCCAGGTCATAAAAAAGCCATATAAGTTAAAACTAAAGCTTTTAAAACATTTGCACGTCAAGATCTCTGTTGTTCCTTCCACTTGAAGTTTTTTATATTAAAGATTTGTTCAAAGGAGCAAAATGTCTAGACAAGCCCACAGTATAAGCAACAGGAAATAAGCTGTCAACTGTCATTTGTCAAACATTCTAATTATTATTTAGGGAATTAACCATGCATGAATGCCGTTTATGGCGCATCAAAATCCCTCTTTGAGTTGTTTCACTGCTTTTTTATGCACGATTGGTGACCTTTAGAGTAAAGACCTTCACCAAGTCTTTATTTTTAAAAAGTCAATTTTAAAACTTTTAAAGGATATTTCCATTTTTTAGCAGGTTAAATGGTTTTCAATCAGAAATTACCTTTCGTGGATTTGCTTTGTGAGAACAGCAGAAACTAAGCAGAAACCATTTTTACTTAGAAATAGGTTGATTTTTTCATCTCATCGAAATCAAGGTGCTGAACAGCCAGCAGAGACAGGACCTGGGAGCTTCCTTTAATCATTCTCTTCTGCTCAGAGCTCATTCCTGAGCTGTGTTTTTCTCTGACCAGCTGTTTTAATCTTATCTTTTTGGTGCCACAGGAAAGTTCACATCACCAGATCTACACTTGAGTGCCTAAATGGAGATTATGAGGTGGAACCTGGAAATGGTCATGAAAGGAATGCCTTCCTCCAAAAACACGAAATAGAAACCTTCTTTATTGTGCCATCTCATCGACGGAAGGTATGCTGTGTGTGCTATGTTTATGAATGTGTCAAATGGGTGAATTCGTACCTTTGATTGTTGTTTAATAAGATAATAGTAATTATTAGTTTCACGTTTAGTATCTGTATAGCTTAATTTACACTGCATGGGTTAACTTATGTGAATAAACCAGCAGCCTTTAGAGTAGAGTTAGCCGTTACCTCCATGCCAAGATCTGTGCACTTACTCAATTTTGGAATAAAGCATCCAGTCTGTTAGAATGAAGCCTGTACCTGTGTGTTGTTGAGGTGGTCTCACATCCACCCTGAAATGGATTTGGCTGTGGCTTTAAAGAGAAAGGGGGAAAAAATGCCTCTGGCATCTATCATTTCAAATTTGCACAATCTGACAAACTTCCAGAGAAACATGCATGTCTCCAGCAGATGTGCAACAAGCAACTGGCAAGGAATTTCAGTCTTGCTACAACGCAACTCCAGAATGCTGCCTCTCCTCTCCCCTCCTTGTACATAATCTCCACAGTTCTGTACATGAACCTTTAAGCTCCTAGATATGTTTTTTTCTTCCTTTGTTTGCAATGTGAGACACTTCTTTGCTAACCCGGTTACTATTGCTGATGGTTCATGTTCATCAAAGACATGGCCCAAGGGAAGATGTGCCCTGACTGCCGTGTTAGACCCTGCTTAGAGTCATAAGTCAATCTGTGCATATAGATCATGTAGAAATGTCATACATAGTTTTCTTCAAAGCTCTTAATATACTTTTTATCTTTATCACTTTTTCTGAAATAGCTTTGGGGACAGCTGAGTCCTATAAATTATATAAATCACCTCAGGGATTGACCTACCTTATTGTAGCCACTTCTTATTTAAATTTCTGTACCTGGTGATAGAGACTGTGTGCTTGTGTGCACGGGCTTCCTGTCTGATGCCCTTGCATGGTTTAGAGCCATAGAATTTTACATATATAATACTGTGAGGTGTATCGTAATTTAATCCTTCTTCCCATTTCTTATCTGGTGGCAGATATTCCCAGGATTGATTCTTTCGGATATAAAGCCCGCCAAAAAGATGAAGTTCAAAACTGTGTGCTACTTACTGGTGCAGCTGATGCACTGCAGGAAGATGTTCAAGGCAGAGATTCCCTTCTCCAATGTGATGAACTGCGAGGACGGCGACAAGGTAGAAAATGTTTCTGTGTTTGTTCGTTGTAATTCGCTTAAAGACGTTCTGTATGGAGTTTACTACAACGTAGAACAACTTTAGGTGAGGGTTTGTTAAAATGTAATGATTCCTGAATGCTCCTCAGTGAATCCTAAAATGTCTATGCTACATGTATTTGTTCCTAATAACTTGCACCTACAGACATTGATATCAAAATGTTAATGTTAAATCTTTTTACACGAACCAAAGTTAAAAAGTAATTTGATTGAATGTGATAGATTGCGCGATTGTTCTCGTCCTTGTTGTAAACTCATGGTGATGTTTGATCATGGTCAAATATTCTTCAGGTCACTTTCTAGGTTTATTCTCTGTATTTCCTTACTGTTGTCTCCATTATAGACTCATTTGTCCTCACAGAAAGGATTTTTTCCTTAGAAAATAAGGGAACCTGAGAAGATAAAGTGGTCGGTTCTGCCAAAGACTAACATGCCACATACTGTATATTGTTTGTTACATTGTCTTCACAAGTCTGAAAAAAATCACGTAGCCTGATTCCTGCTCAGGGTGTTTCATCCCATATTTTCTTATGTGTATGTGTGTGTGTGTGTGTGTGTGTGTGTGTGTGTGTGTGTGTGTGTGTGTGTGTGTGTGTGTGTGTGTGTGTGTGTGTGTGTATGTGTGTGTGTGTGACATTGTACACACTACATGTATTTTGCACCTTATGTAATTATCACACTGTGGGTACATAAAACAGATTCACACCTAACATGTGGGGGGAGGGTGTTTCCCCAGAAAAACATTCACCTTCAGACTTTGTATCTGTTGAGATTTCATAGAATAACACAGAGATGTTGTTTGGAATTATTCCTTTGCTAGAACTTTTAAATTGGCTTATCAACGTTTTAACAAAAATATCTTCATGTCATTTTCATATTTTCACCCCAGTGTCGCACATTTTTACCTACACTTTCTTCTTTCTTTTTTGTCTTTATTACCAGCAATGGCAGCATCCCCACATCATAGACTGAAGGCAGATTTGTGTAAAACAAAACAGAAAGAAATGTAGAGGGGTGCAGGTTGTACAATATAACCTTGCAGGAATGGTGATTTTCCATCCAGTCTGCACGGACATGAAGTGACATATTCATTCAAGGCACAGAGGTGGGCAGTGTGAGGGACATGGAAGCTTGATGTTTCCTGTGCGTATGAGCACAGTGTGTTATCTGATGAGAAGTCAGCATGGACAGGCCACTGTGTTTCAGTCTTATAAATAACATCAAACAAGTGCAATGAATAAAATAACTGATGGAAAGGGGGTCAGAAAAATGAAAAGGAAAGGTGTGAAAGACAAATAAACTGAATGAAGTGAGGAAGAGCAGGACGGGGAGGAATAGGATGGAAGACCTTATTGAAAAAGGTATTCAAAGAAGCAAGTAAGGACGAAGAATGATTTTGAAGAAAAGGATGGAGAATGATAGCTATTATTGTATTTAAGCATGCATAAACTAAGGTAGAATCGGCAGTTGCAAGTAAGGGCAGAGACATCAGCTGAAGTGCAGAACATGTGATGTGTTCATCCATGTGAGAAAAACTCCACCTCCCCTCAAAATGCACACAAACACCTTTACCCTGCCATGTTTACTCACTGCCTTTGCTCCAATGCCCAATGTTTAGCAAAGCTGCTCACTTTGGCAACCGAAAACACTTAGACACAGTGGGATGCATTTAATGATAAAGTTAAGTGTGAAGGCAATGCTCTAATTTGAAAGTATAATCAGCTGCTGTGTTTACTGTTGACTCTTATTCACCCCTTGTTCTGAATATGACTACACTAAAATAGCCCATAGGATAAAAAGTGCTGCCTGCTTATCCGCTTTCGTTATTCATGTTTTGGATGCTTTCGATTCTCTTTCGCTCTCGCTCCACCAGCGGAGGGCCATGCGAACAGCCCCTCAAAAGCTGAGGAACCGCTCCAACGCTAACCAGGCTAACCAGATCCAGAGCAGTCCCAGAACCCGGGTCAACCGCTACATCGGCCGGCTGATCGAGGCCCGCCAGACCGAATCGGACACAGCAGACCTCAACTTCCTCACCCTCATGTATAAGTGTTCTGAGCGTGAGCAGAGGGTGAGACATTGCAGGCGCAGGCATCTGGTGTGCTGCACATGCACAGTGAGATGTTGCGCACGACGCCAGTAAATTAGCACTGTCACTTTACATTTTATCACTCAATCCTGTCTGGTCTCGCATTAGTACCACCAGGTTCCTGATGAGTACTTCACCAGTGCAGTGGTCCTCTCCCTGATTTTAGCTGCCTTGTTTGGCCTTGTCTATCTTCTCATCATACCACAGTATGCACAATTTTTTCATTTATTTCTTCATTTTTACTGATTTTTTCCTGTGTATATATTACGTAGTTATCCTTTCCCTAACACATTATTTTCCCTCACTTGCTCCTTTTTTTCCTCTTAGGGGCACAGTGGTACTTGTCCTTCTCGTCTTCTGCATCTGTTTCCTTGTAGCGTGTATCATGTACCTGCATATAACAAGAGTACAGGTAAAAGCATATGCTCCCTTAGTTGCTCTCTTCTTGCCTGGTCAAATGTGTTCTTTATCATGTTACTTATGTTTATTGTTTTCCTGAACAGAAGAACTGTGAACGTTATCAGCGTCATAGTTAGACCCCCTTGCACATTTAAAATCAGGTGGTCTCTTCATTTTGACTCCTGTAGAGTTTAATGGTCATCATCCCCCCTAACAAAAGTAGCTCAAAAGTTTCTAAAACGTTGTATTTTTGTATTTTAATCTGTTGTGTCTTATTGCCCTTAAAACGATGGCTTCACAGCCATTATCAAAGTTCTCCATATTCTTTCTTCTCCATGGCCTTACACCCCATGGTGTCCCAGTTCTTCCCTTATAATATTCTTTCTCTTATCATCACTTTGTCTCGTCTTAATCTTCTTCTTTCAGAACAGATAGTTTTGCTTTCACTTTGAAAAATGTGTCTCCTTTAGATTTGTTCCCCACACTTAATCTTATCTGTTTTTCTTCTTTTCTTCCATTTGTCTTTTAGTGTTTTCCAGGGTGCCTGACCATTCAGATTCGCACTGCCCTCTGTATTCTCATAGTGCTCTTAATCTACGCCGTTGCCCAGGCCTGTGTGGTAAGTAAAAAGTACTAAAGTAAATATCCATCACAAATGACCCCACATCATTAACCAGATCTGAGTTATCAGCGCACCATTCAAAACCATTGGTTCATAATCTGTAAATGTCTCCTACCTTCTTGGAAAATAACATTTTTTAACAGAGTTGAAATGTATTCGTTTTATATTGCTATTCAATTCATGCATTAAAAACTGAAGTAAAGTTTTCCAGTGTTGGTCAGCATATTTCTGTCTTCAAATACCAATTTTTCGGCACTATCTGTATCTCCCCCTCTGACAGGTGGGCTGTATGCCCTGGCTATGGGGTAGTGCCAACACAAACAGTTCCATTGTGATAATTGATGTGGACAGCGGAGCCAATCACACCATGGCAGAGCTTCCCTGCGACGGGGCCCGTTACGCCTTTCTGTCCTGCGTGGTGGGCACGCTAACCTTGGCTCTTTTCCTGCGTGTCTCCTGGCTTCCAAAGATGGCGCTAATGCTTCTTCTTGGGGTGTTGTATGTCACTGTGTTAGAGCTCAGTGGCTTTCGTAAGACAGCAGGGTAAGTTTCACAGCACCCCATAATCACAAACACCCGGCAAACACAACCAGACACTTCAGATCCCTGTCATTTCCCAGGATTTCATAAAAAGCAACATGTGCATTATATTGGAGTATAAAGAAACTAATTTGTCATTAAATCATCAGAAGCCACAGATTAAAGCTTAAAGAATTGAGTGATAGTTTTGTGTTTTGTCATCTCCAGTAGTTGGAGGAGCATTTACAGTGCATGTGCCGAGATCCTCGTGTATGGAGGAGTTGATGCTTGTCGTCAACCCACACGCTCAGTCTTTGTCCACCCTTTGAAGCAGCACATATGCTTATTAGTTCCAAATCTGAAGCCTGAAAAGACAATGTGGGCTGAATGATGGGACAGTGCTAGCTCTGTACCGAAGTTCCCGGCCAATTTCTTTGGGGCGCTTATCAAAAAAATGTGAAAAGAAAAAAAACAACTTGATTTTGTCAATTTGTCAAAGACTTTGTGTCAAAGATTCCTTTGGACAAACAGTTTTTATGTAGATATGATGATGCAGGAATAATTAACGAAGACATTCTAAGAAGCAACAGGCTTTCAAGTTTATATTTGAGAGCTGTTTTTATTTGACATTTCCCTTTTTAAAAAAGAAGACCTTGTTTTTATACTTTTCTCTCGTAGAACTGGACTCATGATCTTTCTCTACGCTGTGGGGGGTCCAGTCAACCCTCCCATGTAGTTTTCTGTGTGGTCTGATCCTTTGCAAACTCTCATCCACAGTGGGGGGTCCTTCCACATCCGGGGATACGAGCCCATCCTGTCTCTGTTGCTCTTTGTCAGTGCCCTGGCCCTCCACTCCAGACAACTTGACCTCAAATTGCGCTTGGACTTCCTTTGGGCTGTGCAGGTCAGGAAGTGTGCACTGATACATCTATGAAGGTCTTCAAATTCTGCAGAGCTTAATCCTCACGACTGTAACAGAAGGTTAAAGAAAAGTTATTTTGGAGAACTGATGTATTAGGGTGTAAGAGGAGGATGAAGTATTGTAGGCTGCCAGCAGTCTGTTCTGTGGCAGTCTGTTTTTGGAACAATGTTTTCATGCATTGGATGGAAATGCAGAAGCTAAATTTAAGCCGTTTAAGCTTTTAACTAGCAGTATTAGTCACGCTTTGCATCCTGGTCTACTCTGTGGAGCTGAGAGCACTCCACAGAGAGAGGCTCAGAAGGCCTTTTGCCGACCCCATGTGGCGAAAACGTGAAACGAATTCTGGCACACAACAGTTTCTGTTTTTCAGTTGGTTTTTTTTCTCTTTGCTTCTTCAGGCAGAGGAGGAAAGAGACGGAATGGAGAAAGTAAAGCTGGACAACAGGAGGATCCTCTTCAACCTTCTGCCTGCACACGTGGCTCAGCACTTCTTAATGTCAAACCCCAGAAACATGGTGAGCCATGTTAATAAACAAGCAGACAGGCAGACAGACAAACAGGTAGATAAAAAGGCAGGAAACAAAATAGAAAGAGACGACGTCACCGACATGGATTTATTTTTTACTGTACTTTGTCTTTTTTTTTTTATCAGGATCTGTACTATCAGTCTTACGCACAAGTTGGTGTCCTCTTTGCTTCAATTCCAAACTTCAATGATTTCTACATCGAGCTGGATGGCAACAACATGGGGGTGGAGTGCCTGAGGCTGCTGAATGAAATTATTGCTGACTTTGATGAGGTGTGATTGCTACCTTCATGTTTGATTCTGCCTCTGGTTTTGGTTCCTTTTGCACCATCCCGCATTCAACTGAATGTTTGTTTTGCAGCTCATGGACAAGGAGTGCTACAAGGACATAGAGAAAATCAAAACTATTGGCAGCACATACATGGCAGCTGTGGGACTTGTACCGACCATTGGTACTAAGGTAGACTTAGTTTTTGTCTCTTCTTGTTTTTCTGTGATGTCAATTTATGAAGCACATCACTGAGGAGGACATCAATTGATGGTTTTAAACTGAAATGATACTGAAAACAGTAATCCTTCTCTTTTTTTGTAGGCCAAAAAATCAGTTTATGACCATCTTAGTACAATAGCAGACTACGCCATTGAAATGTTTGATGTCCTGGATGAAATCAACTACCAGTCGTACAATGAGTTTGTTCTGAGAGTGGGTAAGTCGACACTTTGGTTCAGATGCGTTGTGAATTGAAATGTTAGAGCTGGAAAACGCCAGTTAAATGACATGTTTTGTTTGAATATGCCCTTATGTATTTACACAGGCATCAATGTGGGTCCAGTGGTTGCTGGGGTGATTGGAGCACGGCGACCACAGTATGACATCTGGGGTAACACTGTCAATGTGGCTAGTCGCATGGACAGTACAGGCGTTCCAGGGAAGATACAGGTAGAATAACCCTAAACAGAATGCCATTCTGTATATCTATCTGCATACGTCACTGTAGAAAAACTGTTTTCCCTTCATCATAGTACATTGTTTGTAGATTGATGATGAAAAAATCAATAACTCAGTCAGTTTTGATTCCGGCAAATATTCAGAACTTGAGAGGTTCTCTAATCCTCCATTGCCCCTGTTAATATTTGAAAAGTATTTTCAAACATACTTTGAAATGATGGTTTTATGTACTGAGCTTGCTTTGCGAACCAGAAAATGGTGCAGAAAGTGTCTGAACATTTCTGCAAAGTGCTGCGGCCCCATCCTGATCAAAACCGATTCAAAATTCTCTCTTTCCCTCCCTGCTTTTATCCAGGTAACGGAGGAGGTCTATCGGCTGCTCAATAACAATTATGACCTGGTCTGCCGAGGCAAAGTCAGTGTGAAGGGGAAAGGAGAAATGCTGACTTACTTCCTGGAAGGGAAGGTCCAGGGCGTTGGAACCACCACCACTTCGTCGGTGATGCGTTCTGCCAGCCTGGCGCGCCGGATCCACTCCTGCGGTAAGACAAGTGTCCCCGCTAATCTGGGCAGCGTTTCCTCTGCCGCCAGCCTCACCGCTCACGCGAGCATGGGCAGCGTGCAGATGAACGTAGCCAACAGCAGCAACAGCCAGGCGATGTGTCTGCCCTCACCCTTTGTGCCTGTGCTGGGCGAGGCGGAGGAGGAGGAGGATCTGGAGGTGACAGAGATCCGAATGGAGGCTGTGGCAGCTGTTGCAGATGTAGCAGTGTAGGAAGAGACGAGATGAAAAGGACTGTAATGAGAAAGCCCGAAGACGTCCGGCCCGTCCAGGCGTTCCTCGCTAACCCTGAGCTACCGGCACAAATCAGGGCGTGTTCAATCAGGATGTGAACTTCTGCCGACACAAAAATCCCATGGACAATCATATTTGCTTTTAGAGATTTTTAACTGCTCGCCACTCTTCAGATTCAACGTGTGGAGCGAAGAGAAGGGGCATCCAGAATCTCAAATCCTCTTTTGACATCTCTGTAACAGACGATTAGATTTGTTGTGATCTTGGGTTTCTTCCAATCCAGATATAGAGTGAGTCTTTGTTTTGTATGAAGTGCATATTCCATGTATGAGGGATATTTTCACTGATACCCAGAAAAATGACTGATAATGCTATTGCTTTTGCACTGTCTCTCTGATTATGCCAAGGATATATTGCATTATTTACAGTGTAAAATTATATTGTTTCTTTTTGCCGTGTGTCAGCATGCATGTGTGTATTCGTGAGTGTGTGTATGCATGTGTGATCAGTTCTGAAATGTTACAGAAACAGCACAAACTCCTTTTTTATATTCAGTGCTCACTGGATAAAAGCTTTTTAAGATGCATATTTACAGTTATTGTAGTGCATGACTTTACAAGAGTTAACAGCCATAGTAATGATGCTCCTCTTGAAAGAAAACCAAAGTACTAACCTTAGATCTTGAGTTTTACTATTTTATTGCCTCATCTGATAAAAAGGAAAATATCACAACAGACCAACATCATCATCATCAGTAGACCTAAAAAGTGTCTTTTTGAACCTTGGAAAGACTTTAAAGGAACCTGATGCCCTGATATCACCCTGATTCACAGTGGTTTATTGCAATGCTGTGTGTGTATGCAGGAGAGAGAAAGAGAGAGACAGAGAGGTAGTGATAGGAGCCAGAAAGGGTCAATGAGAGCAGATGAGGGTAGAGGAATTCTACTACATCAAACATGTGCTGCTATAGAAACTTGTATATGCCAAAAGTGGACCAGTCACAAAAGAACACCACACAGAGGACCATTACTTTTCTGTTTCTTATGCAGACATGCACACCGACTAAGGGGTTAGAGATGGCACTCATCCAAAAAAGAAGGGATTACACCCATGATAATAAGCACAACATTTACACAAATGCATGGCCTCTAAGTATGAAATGCTACATGTACTGTACATTCAAATCTCTTCTTGAGGCCATTGAAATGTAGGTGCAATGTCTGGCTGCTGGTGTCTTTCAGGCATATACATTAATATACTTCTGCTTCTCATTATATTAGAGCTACGGTTTGAGTTTTCTGTGAAAAAAAATTAGCTTGGGTTTGAGTTTAAGCTCTGTGATGCAGTCTCAGTAACAAGCACTTCGGATATCCTTATCATAGCCTGTATATTTACAAGAGCATAGACATTTCACTTGATCTGCAAAAATGTAAATATGTCATGTCTCAAGTTTTTGCCTTACTCAATAAGCTTACAGTGATTGCAACCTGCCTTTTTAGATTTATTCACTTTGATATGCAGATCATACTCTTTTTGTAAATAGCCAAAAGCTGTAAATTATGTTGTTTCTTGTACAGTGTAAAGCTGGGTTACTGGATATTTTGTAATAAAGACAATATTGGTGTATAAAACATTCCATGGGTGTGTGTATAAATGTAAAAAATGAGAAGGATTTATAACCTAAATGTATTTAAAAGAAATATTACTGTTGGGAGTGTGAATTATGACCCTTTCAGAGGGTTTCCAATCTCACTAAAAAATTTCCACCAAAACAAAATATTTACACATCACCCCCTGCACAGCAATTAAACACAATGGAGCTAACACTGTTTTTAAAAGTAATTTTTTCTTGTTAGTTCCACTCTATAAATTCTTATTTTTCACACCTCAGTTAGTAGCTCTTTAAATATACTTGTTTTTAATTCACACCGCAAAAGGCAATAACAGTCTTATTATGTCAGTCAGTTTAGCTCCACAGCCCACGGCCTGATGTCACCATGTTTCCAACACTGAGCACGGTCCAAAGTTGTTTTCCCAAAGCTGCGGAAGAGTTTGCCTAGAGTTCACTCAGTGTAAAGTTGAGTCAACACCTGTCTTGAGCAACTTATTTCCAAAGAGTAAACCGCTGGATCTGTTGTTGCCTTGCAATGGCTTTCAACTCATTGTAAAGTTTAAGCATCTTGTCAGAGATCTAAAACATCCAGTCCTTATTTAGCTTGCTTTTGATTTAAGCTTAAATGTGTCATTAAGCAGTTAAACAAAGACAGATGAAGGTTAACTCATAACAAAAATCCAAATGTCATCAGGTTAAAAAGGTTCAAGATAAGTAAATCAGGTCATTGCATTCATTGTTACTCTATTTTTCAATTAGATTGATTCCACCAAGTCAGTAAACATGATAGACATTTTGATAGCTAATGATTTCTTAAAATGATAACAATTAGATAGTCATTTGACACTATTGATATTTAGAGAGTTGCTTCTGAATATAATCTGATAATCTGATTATATAATATATACTGTATACAATACTGTATACTAGGACACTTTTAACCTCCACAACATGTGAAACTGTTAAGACGTCTGAGATTTTGGAGATTTATGGCCTGTATATATTGTTTTCTTTATTTCCTCTGCTCTCCCTGCAGTTACATGTCAAAGAATCACTGCTCTAGCAGATGTATGTTGTTAAGTGTCCACACCTGAATGGAATAATCAGCTAACCAACACAGTGCTCTATTTTAAGATCTTTATCGCAGGAAAGCTCAGCAATCCAGTTATGGACCTTCCATGCCAAAGTGTAAGTAACAAAGCCCCTTTTTTTTCTTTTTTGATGATTTAAACATTTCTCATGTGTTTTGATGTTTGTTCACTCTGCTCTTAATTCAAATGTGATGTGTACATGTAAAAGAGACTCCCACTGGAGCCCATCCAAGAAGAGTCAGCGCAGGAGGAGGAAAATGAAGGAAGCAGGATAGAAGAATTTGCATTTCAAGTGGGTGTAGAAACCGAAGAGGCACTGACAGAGAATGACCAGGAAGAAGTAGAAGAGGAAGATGATGATGATGATGATGATGATGATGTTCCACTAAAGGTCCTTAGACCAGGGCGACGCTCTTGTGCTATCAGCAACGAGAATTTAAATCAATTTCAACCTAACAACCACCTGGAAGACATTGAGGAGGTGTGTACATTAGATACGGGTGTGCATGCTGCAGGTCGAGGTGAGGAAACCACACAAACCCCAAAGCTGGGAGAAGACAGGAGATCAAGTAGTGCAAATATACAACTAAATGTAAGAACAGTTTAATAGTTCTATGTGTCTCTGACAGCACATAACTGCAATGCAAAAGGCAAAATACTGATCTGTTCAGTGTCTGTGTTAGGTGATTTATGTTATTTCTCAAAGTCCTTAAAATTCATGTGGCGAAAACACAAACGACGCAAATTTTCAGCGAGGAGACGGATTATCAAGAGAGCCTCAACATGGGTTTGTGTTCCTTTTTTTATGCACTTATTTATTTATTTATTTTTTCGATTGCATTGATCTTCAAACTTTCCCCTCTCTAACATTTCATTATTTTCCAAGGAGGATCCGTTTCCTCAATGGTTGGTGAACCTGATGGTCAACATAGAAGAGGCAACCACTCATCAGCTGGTGGTGGAGTAACATTTATAAATGGTTTACAGGTGTAGGTTACACCTGATGAAATTATAAATGGTGAATTACACTCATCACACGTCGGCGTATCTGTTGCCCAGCGACTCGTTGTCTTGTGTAGTCTATTGGTTTCCTATGAGGAGATCAGAACATGATGTACACTTTTCAGAAATGTTTGCGCAGTTCTGAAAATAAGTATGTCATTTGGCACACATGTTCTACCGATGACACACAAACCTGAATTGAATGGTGTCAATGTTCTGTTGCGGTTAGAGCGCACCCTGGATGTAAAACCAAACAAATACAAATGTTCACAAGTGTTTGCCACTCTTGTGTAATATTGTCAACTTGTATCCAAATGATTTGTTTCTTTTGTTGTGTTATAACATCAGGTATTTAGTGTGGATGCCTTAAAATTAGAGTTCACTGGCATTCCGTTTGAGATTTTTTATTTATTTCTTACAAGGGAAAATCTAGTATGTGAGTGCTCCTGTCCAGTATCACAGATCAGGCATTTCTCATATGTGGACATTTAAAATACTACACTGGGGAAATACAACTTTTCTTTGGACAGCGTTTCATGTTGTGATTCCAACAGTAAAGTAATGATGGCGGGGTTATGCAACTCTAAAGTGGAACGATATTGTTTTTCTGTAGGCCTGATAAGATGGACAAACAGGAGTTTACTGTCAAAATGCTATCGGAGCACAACGTGTCAGCAATACTCTACAAGATAAATGTTTAACAGAATGGAATGGTCCCACTAAACAGTCACTGTCTTGTGATCTTTAACTTTTGCTTTTTTTAATGGATACAATTTATCACTGACTATTAAAAGACGTTATCGAACCACAGATCTCACAGGATCAAACTTAAAGCAATAAATTACCTTTTTTTTTTTACAATAGAAAAACAGGGTTGTTTTCATTTATGTTCTCATGTCAATATTGACAGTAGGCCTTGTGATCTTAGATTTACGTACGTCAAGCAGGGTCACCCACAGTTTACATTAGCTTTGTCAAAAATATTTTATATCTGCGGTCACTGTGTCAATCATTAACCCCCCTGGAGGCCAGATTCTTGTACAAATAGCGCTGGTTCGCAGAAATCTCTTTAGAAGAAAACCCACCATCATATAGAAACAGTTTTGAGAGGGTCCAACACGGCGAAGAATCTTATCTTAGGACTGGAAATGCTTGGATTATATAAGAAGCTGATTTATCTGGCGGCGGTGGTGCTGACTGTCTGTGCGGTGGTGAGGTCATCCCCAGTGGTGGGGCCCGAGCCCATCCGCTGCGCTCCGTGTACGCAACAGACGCTGGACGACTGCCCCGCCGTCCCGTCGGACTGCAGGCAGGTGCTGAGGGAGCCTGGCTGTGGCTGCTGCATGGCCTGTGCCCTGGAGAAGGGGGCTTCCTGTGGGGTCCACACGGCTCACTGCGCTGAGGGTCTCCGCTGCACTCCCAGGCCCGGCGAGGCCAGACCACTCCATGCCCTGACCAGGGGACAGGGGGTCTGCACTGAGGAGGAAGGCCATGGTAAGTCTAAGAATTTCTTTATTTTCAGTCTTTCGGTCCGATTTTTAAAATGTTAACGTGACTCATTTTTTTTAACGGTAAAACTGACTATTTTCTGAATCGTCCACAGAGGAAGCTGATGAGGGTCAGGACCATGGCTCCCTGCACCACTTGTTGGGATTAAACTTTCAATCTGACCTTCAAGACACTGCTGAGGGCCAAGAGAGCTTTAAAGCCAGAGTTAATGCCATCCGCAACAAACTAGTACAGCAGGTGGGGAAGATGTTAATCTTATTAATGAATTATGGAATGAGTTGTTAATTGGGATATATTTGTAGTCACACTGTGTTTCTTTACATATACAATGTTTCTCACTGCCTGTGGTTTTCTTCTTGGAGCAGGGTCCCTGTCACATTGAACTGCATGCAGCCCTGGACATGATAGTCAGGTCTCAGCAGAAACTAGGAGACAAGTTCACAACTTTCTACCTCCCTAACTGTGACAAGCATGGCTTCTACAAGGCCAAACAGGTGAGTTTCTAAAAATCCCCTGAACCTAAACTCGTCCCAGTGCCACGGCGATTTATATCAGATTAATGGGTGATTTGTTTGTGACTTTTTAACCGTCTGTTTCAGTGTGAGTCGTCTCTGGTTGGACCGCCCGCTCGCTGCTGGTGCGTCTCGTCTTGGAATGGAAAGAAGCTCCCAGGCTCAAGTGACCTTGTTGGAGATGTAGAGTGCCATCAAGAACTCACTCACTGAGAGACACAATCATGAAAGCACAAGTAAAGTAACTTCACTTTTTAGTTAAGTGTATACATCTACTCAGTCACATATTGAATCAAAGCTGTAAAGTCAGCATTGGGAGAAATGTTCTATCTTATTTTCATGATGTATGTATCAAAGTTTTATTTATTCTCTGCATGCATTTTGTTACTCACATTAACTATTTCATTTTTAGATTTTTTTTCTCTTTTTTTCCAGTTGTAAATAGGGCAAAACTGTGTACATTTGTGTTTCTGGCTAAATAACTCCACTGCTCTAAACCACAGGCCTGCAGCTCCGTCAAGCCCATTTCTGAGTGTTCAGGATTTTTTTTTTGCTTTGTAATTCATTCAAAACCTGAGCTGTTCATGGTATGAAATAACACAGCCGCTTATTCATTCAACCTGTTGACATTGTCTGAATGTATCTCCATTTCCTCAGTGGGCTTTTGGGGAAATACTTAAAATGCCACAAATATGTGAGCTGTGGCTGAGCACAAACATATCAGGGCTCATCCAAGCCGCCATGGGGTTTGGGAAGGGTTGGTCAGCATTTGTCTACCTCTGCTACTCTCTGCCAGTCCACTGGTTCAGCAGAGTGCTCCTCCTTCTCTTTCTCATCATTTGCCTTTTTGATCTGTTCTGGCATCTATTCTTCTATTTATTTGTTTTGACTGTTTATTGATGAGGTTCCACAGACGTCCCGGATTCTTAGACTGTCATTTATGTGGAATATTGCATTAATGGTTTCATTGAAGAGATGTACATAAATATAATATGTGGATTGTGTGTGATTAAAATGTTACTCTCCATCCTGATGAAGTTGTGATTTTATTATCTGATTGGTTACTCTTATTGTCAGATGGAAACAAAAGAACAACTTGAGACTTTTTAATGCCTTTATTAAGTAAAAAATAAACTTCTGAGGGGTTGCATTGTTTATGCAAACACATTTTCTTAAATTGAGAACACTGAATACACAGATATGAAAGGTAAGAGGCCTTTATATCAAGTTTAAGCTTATGCTAAATAACAAAACAGTAACAGTACAGAGTAAACAAATGTCCACCACTCTGTTCTTGGAATCCAGCTTAAAAAAAAATCAAAACTTTAATGTTTGAACAGAGCAGTCTTATCCAACTTCCTGTGGAGCAGGAAGAAACATTGGAAGGCATGGCTACACTGAAGGACTTATACATACAGACATATATTTCATGGGCTTAATGACCAAGCTCAAAGTCATTGAAACAAATTGCAAGCATACAATGAAAAGATTACACTTCACAAGCGTGTACACATTTGCACTGTAATTCAATTGTCCATGAGGAGGAGTACGCTTATCCCTGTGTCGGATGTAGCTCTGTGTTTTATATCAGTTTAAGGCCTCTGGAATGAACTTTTGTTTAAAAGTAGAATTTTCCCAGAAGCTGTCCAGGTGGAGTCAGGAATAAAACGGCTAAATTAGAATCCATCCTTCGAAAAAAAGTTCATGCTCTCCCCCTGGTAAACTTACTCTATTTCCTTTGCTCTGTTTCGAAAAGAAAGGTCCCACAGGCAACAGATAGAAATAGCAAACATCCATATATCGGTCGAGCCATCTCTTGACCTCTCTACCAATATCCTCAGTGTCTCCATTTGTTTACATTTCTTCTTATTCACTCCAACTCTCCCTCCCTCCCATCCTGCTTTGGTCCTATTGGCTCTTGGAGTTGTAGTACTGGGCGTCTCCTTGCTCCTTCCCATCAAACCCTGGCAAAGGCTGCCCATATTTGTCCACACACCAACAGAAGCCTCGCTTTCTGCCTTTGGATGGACGGCACTGAAAGTGAAAGACGGGACACGGTTGAGAGTCAGCGAGACAAATGTAGAAGGTGGCGTGGCAAGGCAGTTTTAAAATAACGAAAGTTAAAGGAGCAGCATTCCGACTAACCCTCCACTTTACTCAATGAAGCTGAACAACATAGTTAAGAGACATTAACAGTCAGATTGTGCTGAGTCGAACGCGATCCAAAATGCTGTGGTATTTTGAGCTGCTTTTATGGTCTACCTCCTGTTACAGACACATATAGAGACCTTTAAGGTAAACAGAAACCTGGTAAAATATTTGCTTAGTGCCGTTTGTGAACAACTGTGAACCAAGATCTATTTTCAGAAGCTGGTGGCCAGTACGAATCATCTGTTGCTGATTATACCCCACAGCTCCAAATTATGGGTACTACAAATGACTTATAGAGACTGTGGAGCTACCCAAAGGCTGTTATTTTACTGCCAATTTTACTAAAGGTCAACCTCCACACCAGTAAAACATGCAGCCATTCATTTCAAGGGCTAAAGTAACTGTACTTCTCCTCCAAGGAGGAGTTAGTGCTGATCAAGAGGGAGAACATCCTTATATATAGCTCAATATTTCAAAAAGGGGGCTGACTGACAGGCTGATCTAGGCTGACCAAGGATTTGTTTAGTTTGTTTTTATGATCAGTTTCAAAGAGACGCTTCATATCATTGCGAACAAATATAAATGTTGATTGAATCTTTAGCTAAAGCCATATATATATATACATACACTAAAGCGCCAAAGATTGTTAAGAAATATTTAAGTTTAAAAAATGTGAGGGAAAAAAACATCTATTTAAATGATGTGATCTTTAACAAGCAGATTATTTTTCTCTTTAATAATAGTAATAAGAGCCGTAACGAGCTATTTTTCTAAAGCCATGCAATGACCAAATTAAACTGACCTACATGAAATGTCTGCCACTCCTTCAGTGCCTGAGGGCTAAGTGCGGTATACTAGGCTTATTCTACATAAACAAAGACAATGAGCCTGGCATTGTGAGGCTGCTTATGAGATAATTGCAGGCCAACGAGAACATTTCTTTTAAGCAAAAGGGGACTGCTAGGCAATGAGGAAAAACTGCCTTGGTGATGCAGTTGCGCGGGAGCCCTAAGTGCCTCCATATGAATTCATCAGAACCACTCATTTATTACAACCCAATCGTGGGTGAACCATGTGAACGTGGGGATGGCTGCAGCTCTATTTCTGTGTCTGCTTCTCAAAAGTCCAGCAATTATGGGGTGAGCACATGGGGTGCCGGTGGCCACCTTGACGTCTGTCTCCCTGGGAGGGTTCCCGTTTAGACAGCCATCGTCCCAGCCATCAACCCCACTGGGGTTTGGCCCCTGTGGTTCCAGTTTCCAGAGCCAGTGGCTAGGGTCTGCTTTACTGGTGCTGTGGTGCAGTGATGAGGCTCTAATAACTACCGATGAATGCAAGAGAACAGCAATAAAGCTGTAATAGGGCTGCAGGGGGACTAAAGTTTGAGTCGCTGCATTCAGTTTTTAATCAGCCAAAGCTGATTTATTTTGATCGCATAAAGAAATCTGTGTTTTGACACATTTGGAATAAAGTGCATTTCTAACAATAAAACATGAACGCTATATGATGATACAAGAATTGTGGCAAGCATTAAAAATAAAAATGTACCTGTTTTTTCTTATAGAATCCCTTCTTATCACAGTTTGGTATGCGGAAACCTCTAGGGTTGAGTACGTTGGTGATTTTGAGGCTTCTTAGAATGCTCTCCATTTCTCTTCGACAGGGACCCTATGAATGAAGGAATATTCTTTTGTTTAGTATCTGCAAATATGAGGCTGCAACTTAATCAGATCATTTTGATTTCTTGACTATCATTACCACCTGAATTGTTTTGTATATGACCATAATATCAGCGGGCCTGTGACTAAACGCAAGCTAACACATGGAGCAACACACCCTCCCCTGCGGTGAAACCACCACAATTGCAACATCTATGTGAAAGAAAAGGAGAAATGAAGTAATCTGACTTGGGGAGGTTTAAAAGTTTTCTCAGATGCATAACAAAGGACAGGGATAAAGTTAAGTCGAACTGCTCTAAGATGGAGCCAAATTGACTTGTCCTCTAGTCCAACTTCTCCAGTCACTAATCAGAGCAGTCAGTTAAAGCCCATTACAAGTGTGCTCACTACTCTGGCCAAAGAAAGATCAAAAATAGCAGCAGGGCTTCCCAACAGGCATTCACATCGGCCAATCCATCATTCGCTGGCTCTCAGTACGCCCGGCACGCGGACGCCTTGTGGCCAAACAACAGCCTGACCCAGGTCAGCCGCAGGACCATGGTACAAGCCTGCTACCATGCCACTGTGCTGCTTCAGATCCCTGCCAACCATCAGTACTGCTACCCAAAGCATTTCATCACCCACAAGGGGAGAAAAACACCAAAACACAGAGGAAGTGGAGAAAACATTCTTCTTCACTAAAGGCATAAAAAAATGTTTGTGGTATTTACATTCTCAAGTTCCTGTTTGGTTTCGAGAGAGAAGTTTTGCTGGTCAGTGATGAGTGGTCCTGGGAGATCCTCCTTTTTCAAGTTCTGGTTTCTCTTCTGTTGTTCCCGCCTGAACACAACTGACTTTTCAGTGGAGAGGAAGGGATGAAGAGGAGGCTTAGCTGGTCCAATGGGTCTTTGAGTACTGTATGAAGGCTGGAGTCCCGAGCTTGTGCAATTCTGCTCCTTATCCTGAGTCTGTGTAATCTCTGCCAAAGTTTAATAACAATGTGTTTATTCACGAAAGCAAACACAAAGATATCAGTGAGCTTCCATTAAAATATCAAGATATGAATGTGTAACAGTGTATATTAGTCCATCCCCCACAAAGCTATGGTTTGGTTACAAGGATTGCGAGTATTCCTCAAACATTTGTCTGAGATTAAGCCTGCAAAAAGGGACTCACAATTCAAGAGTTTTAGCAAAAATGTAATTTAATTCATGAAGATCTGATTTTTAAAAAGTCAAATAACGCTGTTATCATTTTGGATTATTTTCAGGTAGGTTTGATTTGCCCCCATTACAGACATGCCATTAAGTTGTAGAGTGCCTCTATAGCAGATTTTGAATTTTCAGTTGCAAATATTTTTGTAAGCAAAAAAAACTAAAATTGCATGTGTGGGGTATTATATTCATGAGTGTGTCAACCCCAAAAGAAAAGCCCAGGATGCAAGGTGACTGACTGGAGGTGCGTCTTCACCTGGCAGCTCGTTCTCAGGAGGTGTGGGTCTGGCGGTGGGTCTCCTGGCCGTGGCGTTCAGGCAGAGCCCCCGTCCCTCCAGCAGCGCCTGCAGGGGCTTGGTCTCGCCGGGCGGATGCTGGCAGCTCAGCCCGGAGCCGCAGCGGCGGCTGTACACGCCGCACGGCTGTCCGGAGCTCAGGGCGCAGGTCAGGCAGCAGCCGCAGCCCGGCTCCCGGACCCTCTCGGCGCAGTCCCTGGGCAGAGGTTTGCACGACGTCCGCGCCCCCGCGTCGCACGGCTCGCACACGATCACCGGTCCGCCGGCCGCACTTGACCTCCGCGCGATGGACGACGCCACGAGGAAAGTCATGCAAAGTGCTCGAAAATAGGAATCCATCGCGGGGTTGCGAGAGAATGAGGAGAACGAGGAGGGCGTAGCGTCCCGATGGAGGAGGACTTTTTCACCGGTCAGCTTTTTCTCATTCACATAAAGCCAACGGACAAAAACATCTCAATATATATAGACCCCAATGACTGTAGTCACACCCCCGAATGGCTTGTGGTGCACCCGATGAATTGCTTCGACTTCACGATTTGTATTCAAAATCAGTCATTTTACTTTTCCCTTTTTTCCTCTTTACAGCTTTAACAAGAACAAAAAGAAACATTATATGTAAATAGATTTTTATCTTGGTAATTGGTATTTGAGCTCTAAATAATCCTCTTTATGATAATATTATTTATTGACTGTGTACTCTACAGAGAATATGAAAAAACACCTATTTAAAACATCCAATATTTCACATTCATCATGATTCTTCTACTGGTCCATGCCTCAGTTACATAGCCTGCCTGTTCGTCCACAGAGGGCGCCACTGTGTTGGTCCACTACAGCTCTCACAGTCCTAAACCACGTAACATGGGATTTAGTCAGAATCTTTATCAGATTTGTGCATCCCAGGCTGTTTTTGCTACTTACTGGTAGCTTACAATGCAAATGCAATGTCAAGTCATAAATATATTTAAAGAATTGCCAGATCCATGCTGGACTTTTGGTGCCATTAGAACAAGACCATAGAGTTTATTGGGGGGTCTGATGATGCAGTGTCTGTGACATCTCTTGCAAAAAGTGGAGTCCCGCAAATGCCATATAAAAGACTGTTTTGTTATAAAGGTCTAATAAATCCAAGTCATTTTACGACCAAATATGCTGCGAGACGCTGGCTATAAGTTTAACAGCAACGGGGAGCAACGCCCTCCTGGAAGAAGCAGACTAGATGCCGAGATCCAGGCAGCACAGAGGGAAGTTGGCCAATTATCAGAGCTGCAGAAGGGTGTGATGAAGAAAGCACAGAAGTGTGACAAAGAGAGGGAAGCTCGCCAGAACTGAGGGGATCGCACTTCCAGAAGGTAACATTGCAGACATAAAGGATAAATAAGAATCCCACATGCAAATAGAAACCACAATAAGGCTGTTAGGAAAGCTGCAAACTTTTGAGCAATATAAGATACCAATCCACATGACATCTGCTTCCTACTGGGCATTGCATTTTTCTTCAAGGTGTAATAGGGCCACAAAAAGGATAGGTGATGAACTAATAGGTCTTCTTTCCAGACCTTTCTCTCACTTAAAATATCTAGAATTTTTTGAGATGACAAATATGACAAGTTAGGCCCATTGATGTGGAACTGTTAATCAGCTAAATTGTTCAAAATAAAGACTAAAGGGTGTTTAATTGTGAATTTTCTTGAACTTTTCCTGTTTTTTCTCCAGCACTGCTCTGATATGACTTTATATTTGTGTGATATTATTAATGATGCAGACATGTTTTTATACATTCAAGTTGCTGATTACATGGCAAAAAGGGATTTTATCTAATAACACAGAACAAATGAGATAGTATTCAGGATGAATCTCAGATCTGGTGTTTAGTGTTTTTTTTCAGTAAAGCCTTTGTGTCTGAGCCTGTTGTGTAGATTTGTAACAGGCAAGCCAGTGCTGCTTATTTGTCAGTACTAAAAGCCCTACTTTAAAGTAAGGACATGTACCACACATGTAATTGAGAAAATTCCTGTGTAATTACATCTTGTCACAGATGAAAGAGAATACACCAGCATAAATTTTCCAAAATACCTTCATAGAAAAATAGAACAAGATTGAGTCGTACCATTCCCCCAGTCCTTGTGAGTTTTCTGGAAAGTCTATGTCAAATCTCTGGCCAGCGAGCCCTGGCACGGTGCCATCTGCGAACAGACAGGTCTACAGCAGAGCAGTGCTAGTGGAATGCCAAACATTTGTTTCATATGCTGAAAAAGGCTTGCTGATTTTCCTCCCTTTCCTGCACTCTTAGCTCTTGGAAGGGGGTCTCCTAGCCACCTGTGCATATTCAGCATAGCAAGGGAGAACAAGAGTAATGTATCACAGGAATGTTGTCCCGCAGAGCAGCTACTCAATAAAGAGGGAGTGTGAAGAATGTTCGTATAGACACACAGGATATTACTGTACATGTGTTTAACATAACCTACTGTCAAATCCTGCCAGGGCCAACAACAAGAGCTTGTCAAATCGTAATCCAGTCCGATTTTCTGGTGCTTTAAGATGATTTTGACAAAACAGGTAGATTCACGTGAAGCCCTATAAGTAGGCCACCCTGGTTCCAGCCACCAGGCAGCAGTTTATTGTCATCTCTTACACTGAGGACCTATTGCTAAATTTAAACTGGCTTTTTGATGGTAGTGGTGCTATAAAATGAATGAAAAAATGCAGAGGAATCTAGAGAGCAACAGTTCATATGAAGAACATATTTGAATGTTCTAAATGCCGACAGAAGATATTTGGCTTAAACAAGGAGAAAGGTGTATATATCTGTTACCTTTCTAATTCTGACTTGGAATTCGGGCTGGCTGTGGGGATCTAGAGTGTGCGCTGGTGTGTAGTTGCACACTAAATGAAGGTGTGTTAGACTAAGGGAGGAATGAAGGCCGTACAGGATCACATGACAAAGTCTGGAACATTTACTGTTATTCTTTTTTCCACAACAGCCCCATGAGCACCGGGCATTAAATGGAGCCTGTCTGCTCTTTTTTTGAGCAAACTCTCATCACAAATTAATTGGAGAGCAAAGGTCCCCATTGAGATTAATATGATAATCTTTTTCTTTGATTCTGCACTGACTGGCACCCATACAGAACATCCAGTTTTCAGATTATTAGATGTGGTTTGAATTGTGAACAATATAAAGAGCCTGGAAGCCAGAGGCCACCTTTCATCTGCGTCCAAGGTCAGTTAATCATTTTTTAGCAGTGCTCTGGTTCTGGAGCTGTCATTTCCCCCATTTATGGAAACCTGGCCCCTTAGACAGTCCAAAGCTGTAATTAGGCCTGAGCAGAGTGAAGTGTGGAGCGAGAGGACCTCAGCTATATCCAAGCTGATCGGGCTGGAAGTGGCGCCACTCTCTTTGGTCTCTGAGTCCCCCACCGACCCAGATGGTGTTGCATACTGTGTACTTTTTCTCTGATATCTGAAATACTGCCTCTCATTTTTCTTTATTCAGTCTCGTAACTAAGAGTAACCGAATTTAATAGAAAACATCATTTAAATCTAAATGTGCCCTGCTGGCTGTGTGGTTTCTAATTTAACACGAAGCACTATTTTATTCATGTTTCATTGATCTTTTAAAGTACATTTTCAACTAAAGCAGCAGTGATAAATGGTTTAAATAAAATCATATGTTGACAAAGTAATTTGCTCTCGCACAGTCATGTAGTTTTTCTCCATGACACTGACTAATCACTATTCACCCTTAAACAAAGAAAAATTACAGTTCGTGGAGAGAGAAATATGTTTAGCAGATGGAGACCATAAGGACTTCATCTGCTGAAAAAGTGATTGTGATCTGTGGTTTGTTGCTGAAATGGGGAGGAAAGATAGGCATTTATCACTGTTGGGTGTCCAGCAGCCAGCATGAAACATTTTAACTGTGACCAACCACTTCTAAGAAAAAAGGAGTGACATTGCAAGTTTTTGGACTTTTATTTTTGATAAATAGTGAAACTTATGATTTAGATAAAACATAGTTCAAAAGAGATGAATACATATATCAATAGAAGGTGAAGTGTCCACGTCAAGGAAAATGTGTGATACTTTTATTTCTATTAAGTTTAGCAGGGCTTAAGCCCATCTGATACAGCCACAGAAGCAAAAAAGCACAAATTACCCAGTACAGTTTTCACTCCTTTGCCTTGAGTGGTCCTATTGTTCTCTTTTTCTACTTTGTCTGACTCTGACAGCAGCCACCGAGGTGCTCTGCAAATCATTGTTCTCTCCTGGACACCAGTGAATCAGAAACGGTTTGGTTTCCCTCCATTTATGACACGAAAAGTTGCTATTTTTTAAACTTTTGCATTGTTTAGAGCATCGTCCTGACCTGCTTTTCTTTGGCCTGTTAGAAGAGGCCTTTTTTGCCTTGCAGTGCTTTTCTGGTATTGAGCTGCTGCAGAACTGTGAATGAGAGCTCTCACCCAGAAAAACATGATCTTTCACCTCTACATTAGCCACAAAAGGAAAATGTAAGATTTTGCGAAGAGGTGGGAAGTTTATTGAAAAGCTCTCCTTTGCTGAGAAAAGCTGATTGCATGGGGCCATTTCACCATTTCAAAGGTCACAAGTGATAACATCATACAGAAAAAGATAACTTTGAGTTATTCTGTTAAGGTGGTTCTACAAGCAACTGAATCATAGCGTGTTCACAGCTTTTTAGCTATTTTATATAAAATCTTGATACCCTTACTCAATGCCAATACATTTCCTGAGTGAAAACTCTTTTAGTATGGTGTTACTTGTATATTCCTTCTTTTTTCACTTACCAACTTTCTTTTTTATGACATGTTGTAATGTAGATCTTTTTTTTGCAGAAGTGTTCCTGCAGTAATAACACTGAAAATAATTTACTTTGTTTTTATATCTGAAACAGTTCAAAAGTTAAATGAAAAAATAAAGTAGAGGTTTTAGAAAGTTTAGAGGAGCTGGTGAAGATTCATGAGTACATTTGAGATAAATTCAAATCTATTTTCATGTGACTCAGTTCATACTGCTTTTATTATTATTAACCTTGACAAATATGAATGTACAGACCTTTATATAAATCCTGATTATTAGATTATTTCAGCCCGCATGTCTTTGATGTGCTTACACATCCTATTTTACCTATGGGAAATATCATTCCTGTGGCAGGTCCCTCTATAGTCTATTGACACTGGGTGTCTCTCTGGACTTTCCCCAGCTTCTTTTATCTCAAGACCACTTCTCTTTAAATAACAGAGAGAGATGGGCTGTGCTCTCTGTCGTCACCGCACCACACCTGGGCTTTTGCTTCCTTCCTGCCCTCCCCGGGAATTCCTCACTTTCACCACCTGCAGAGGGACCCTAGTGAGAGGGGGGAGAGGGAGGACTCACTCCATTATGCCTTCCCTCCCTTTTTAAGACTTTGTCATGCATTTCCCCCCCCTCTCAGCACCATTAGAGCAGCGTGCACGGACTTGTTAGGTGGTAAAGTCCTGAATTTACTACACCTCAGAGATGAGACATGTGCAGCTCGTCAGCCTCTATAAAAGAGAGTTTGGCCTATTTTACTTTTTAAATAATTACCACACCCAAAGGTGACCCTCAAAAGATTCATTTTGATGGTCTCCTCAACCGCACTCCTACTCCATATTTTTTGTTCTTAGTGTCCTCTGCTGGTTACATTTAGAATGGCCATTTTCATTTATCTGAAGTTACAAATATAGCAGTAATGTGGTTACCATAGTGTATCTATCTGCCCAATATCCATCTCCTCTGTTTAGTGAGATAATAGCTACTTCTGGACATTTCAGCCAACAGAGAATGAGAATCTGAGAAACACAAGAGCAGGAAGCTACAACAAATACGTACGACTAAACTGCAGTTGATGTGAAAGAAACTTGACAACAGGCAATTCCGTGGTGAGCGTGTTTGAGCAGAGTGCCTCTTATCACTACAAATACACACTGTGCATCACCGTTTAATCTCTGCCCTTCAGAGTCTGCAAGCCTGCTGCTCAATTTACAAAGTCACAAAAATATCTACTGTAACCTTTAAAAGGTATCTTTGGGCACAGCGACAGATGCAGAATTTTGTTAGGCACATAAGGCACAATTTTGCAGCATTTTGTGTACACAGACCGTCTTATTTCAAGTGGCTGGTCCTTTTGCAAATCCGTCCAACCATTTCTAATAATAAGTCATCATTGTCATTGTGTAGTTTTACTAGCTTGATGAGGAGCAACCTATTTTATTTTGGCAGAAATATGAAAATCAGTGGACAAAGCTGATAGACGTTTATCTAAAAGCAACAAATATGCCTACAAATTAATTTATGGTAATGTTTTAATGAATCAACACATCAGTATTCTGTATTAACATAAACATGATAAGTCTCTAGTCTAAATTGGTAACATCTTAGAGGCTCTGTTGGCTGCCTGGCAACTTGTTTTCCTATGAAAATCACTTGTCAAAATGAAATGATGTTTCACAGTTTATTTACACAACACAACTTAAACAATGCAATATCAACAGACAAATGAGCTGTTTACATCTAACATGTTATACACAGAGGCACAGTATTGTGAGATATATGAGGTACAGATAATCATAAAAATAACAGAATTCACATAATGCAAGAGCAACAACTTTGTTGTGATTGCAGGTCCATCTGTAAATTTAGTTGTAAATCAACACAAACAAAAAGTAAAGTAAAATAATGCTCAAAAGTAAAAGATGAAAAGTTGTACATGGTCACCATCTCATATACAATGTCAAAAATGAGCTTGAATGATAAACTGCTGATCCCCCCCCACCCCCGACTTTATTGTATAAGTCATTGACCGATGACACATTGAGTAAGTCAGTTACTAAATACAGTTGTGCTGTTCCAGCACAAATATAATTGTCACCCTTTGTTTTCTTCACAAATACATATTTCATCTTAGTACAATGGCCTGTGCGTAATTCAAAAAGTGTGACTAGAAATAAGAATAAAAATATGCTATGAAAAAAAGAAATATACAGCTTTATGTTTTATACAGGAACACTGCTGTTGAACTATTTGACAGATGCAGGTAGTTCCTTCCCAACACGAATATGGTCAGGTTCAAAGACGCCTTTTTCTAGTTACATGTGTAGAGGACCACGTTCTACAAACCTAAATACTGGCTAACATGTATCAAAATGTAGTCCAAATCATATTTATATTTGTTCCAAGGTCTGTCATAGCTTTTTTTTCATAGTTTTTATCCCAAACTAAAATGGTAGACTGCAGCAGCATTGAGATGCCTAAATGTAAGCTACAAATGCACTGTGCTATTGGTTTGCATACAAATAGGTTCTGATTAAATACTAAATAAAAAAGGAACTATAGTTGAAATGTGTTGATGTGTCAATAAAATACTCTGTAGGAACCAGTAAAGCAGCCACAGCATAACACAATTCTGTATAATTATAAGACACAACAGTTGTAAACAGATTTTAATGATTATTTTCCTTTCTCTGCTCATTTACAGTTCATACAGAAAATAAAGTTCTTTCTAATAGATAGTACTGAATATCTGGTGATGGTAAATATTAGCATATGACATCCGGTTAAAATTCAGGATTTTGCCATCCTCTTCTCAGTCAGTGCATGTCCAGGTGATTAGCTTTGTCCTACTTACTCCTTTGTGAGCCAATCATGACCTTAGACACAAAGTTGACTATGGCACTTGCGGGCTGCTCAGGGTCGTGCTCAGCAAACAGGTGACATATGTTGTCCATGGAAGTGCCAGTTTTCCTCGCAACGAAGCCAAAGATTCTGCAAAGGTGGAGCAAAGTTAATTAACAGCAGCACAGGCAGATGACTGACAGAACATGAGAAAAGAATCATCCACTTACTTTGCTGAGGGGTAGCCATCTTTTTTCCACCTGCGAGCAGTAAAGAACACGTAAAATATACTGACTCCAAATATATTCGTATGAAGACACTTGTTTTGTATATTTGGACAACAACAGACAGGAATAATAACAGCTTTCTCAAGCAAAAACACAACAGATCAGCACTCTGTAAACCCATAAAATTGCATGTGCTGAAACATTACATCATTAATACTCACTTTCTATCTTGAGGGTCAAGAGCGCAATATATCACTGTGTTGACATTGTAATGTCTCCTGAAAAAAAGCCTGGGAAGCGGAAAAAAAAGAAGTTTTTAGAATTTCGTACATCTCTGAAAGAATATTGTAAGATTGTGTGTTTAACTCACTTTCTCTGGTTATCAGTAAGGGTGATTCCCTGTGAGGAAACTTTGAAATGGATCACAGTAGAGGTGGGTGGAGGGTTGGCGCTCAACGTCATACTGGTGGCTTTCTGCACCGCCTGAATGCCGGTTAATGACTCCATCTCAACGGACCCCAGGTACCACACATTACACGCTGCAGCAACAAACAAATCCAAATTATATATGTCTTTTCAAAATGTTAATAAAGGAAAACTGCATTTTCAGTGACCCAATGCATAATAACAGTCCTGAGAAAATGACTCATTTCCAAAAATCCTCTTTATTTGCACTCGGGAACTTCTAAACTGTTTATGAACAGTCTTTTGTTTGTCAGCATGTCTATACACAGAGGATGATCTTATACACCAGATTACCTGCACCCTGTTTTAGCAGCTCAGCAGCAGAGTTGGTGACTGATTGGGAGGTATTCTCCACAACATCTTCCACAGGATCTGAAAACCAAAGTAGAAAAAATCAGCAGGAAAACAACAGCTACACCACCTGGTAAAATGGCCATGAAAGTAATTAGGCTGTTCAACTGTCTATTAAGAGACATCCATTTCCAAAATAAGCTGAATATTTTCAAATTAATAAGATATGAAATATGAGCGTGTGAACAGTTACCTCTGTCTGGTATGATAAGTTTACAAGGCAGGGCCAAAGGAGTGATTGAATGTTGGCAGACCAATGCAGTTAAGCTTCCTGCGAAGAAAAAAATCAATCCATCAATCTTGCACAACAACACCTAACACCTAACACAATTTTTAAAATCATGTAAAGCAAAATAAAGGAATTAACGAATTAGGCGCGTGTTTCAGGTAATTCAGAGAAAAGACAAGAAAGTGCAATCCCTGTTGGAGAAATTCCAATCAAATACTTTATGTCCTTGCAATCACAGAAGATACTAACATGGGATCATAATAATACGCAAAAAATATCACATGATTTATGAGAAAGGACTAAAACCATTAATAGTAAACTCAAAGTCAAGAAGACACTTGATTCTTCTTGCAAGGTGCTTCTCTAATTTACAAAAAAGGACACTGGTATAGTGATCCACACGCCGGCAGAGGGCAGCATTGCTCATGAAGACGTTTACTCAAACTGTAGCCATGGAGACAGATTGTGTCATCTGACTACAGGTTGTGGGCACTCACCAAAATACGGCTCGTTGGGGCAGCCTTTCAGACGAACTCCTTTCTGTGTGCACTCAATCAGGAAGTGGCGCACCAATTCATTGGACAAATCTCCTCCTGTAAGACAGATGGAGCCAAGAGAGACGAGCGCTTACTCAAAACAAACCGTTTTATCAATCCGTCTCGCACCCCAGTTGCATTGCACTGAACACAAAATATGATTTCCCACCCTCAAGCCGTTCCATGAAACGTATGACATCACCACACTCAGTCTGACCAGAGATTAGGGGGATTATGATTCAACAGAAGTGACTCTGAGGGGGCAGGAGGCATCACTTTGAGGAATGTCCATACAAAAGCTCTCTGAAAAGCTGGTTTCTTAAGCCGGGTTGGGTTTCACATTTTTAAGGAGTTACAAAGCTGCAAGCTGGCAGTGCGGAACTGGACTGTGTCACGATGTCCACACAGGTTCTGTTGGTCTGCAGGGAGGTCAGGGCAAGCATACCAGGCAGGAGAGATGGGATGTTCTGTGACACTAGGAGTGATACGTTTCTTCTTGAAAAAAGTATACACTTTGTGCAAGTGGAAAACGACTCGAATAAAAGTGAATCTTCCGAGTTGAATTTAGATATCTGAGCAGATAGATATTTTGAGGTTATTTTCTCTCTTAGGAAACACAAAGATGCAAAATTTGTTGCACTTGGCAAGCAACAAGATCAAGCATCCTCCAAGAAAGATAAACTGCGATTTTATATTTTATTTATTATTCTAATTCTTTTTTGGTTTGTCTATGGAATTATCTACAATGCAATACTGTACCTCCTGCAACTGTTATTACATTACAGCATTAACACAACTTGAACATTCCACTGTAGAGACAATATTTAAACACAACAGTGACTCTGTTTTTCTGTTATTGAAGCATTTAGGTCGTTAATCATCATGACGACAGAAGAATTTTCAGTCAGGCTGCTGCCGTGCCACCTGGGTAAATTGTCTCAAAGCTTTTCTCAGCAATGAAGCGGCGTGGGAATTGTTAAATGCTTTCATTAGTAAAGACAGGATGGTAAAACTACAAGAAATCAAAGCTTCATGAAATTACATCTATCTAATGTTTTGACGATTATTATATATTTTCTTAATCCAATGAAAAATTCCTTGTAAAGAGTTGTGTTTCTGTCCAAACATCGTCATTCCTTATGGTTACAAAGCACATGAGGAAATCCTTTTATATCTGATGTGATGCTTTGTCAGATGATGAACAAAATATATAATCTGATCTGTTTACGATGAACCTTTAGTGAAATGTAATGCCTTTCAGTCCCCTTTAGAGAAGAAAAAAGCTGTAATTATTATTTCACAATCAGCCTTTGCTTTTGTGCAGAAACATGGACAAAAAACTTCTTGCCATATTTGCCAGCAAACTTTGCTGTCAAATGTAAATGTATTCCTTTCTCTATTTGTTACTTGTGCAAAATAAGCAAAGGGAGTAAACAACCAAATACATTGTGACTCTAGTCTGCAATTGAAATTTTATTTCAGAGTTATGTGGGGCAGGAGCTTCTCTAAAGAATGCCCAGGGATCAGAACAGGCTCATGGGACCAGCATGCCTTTTGTTAAATGGTGAAACTTTAGCCGCACATCTAAGGCTATCGAGCAAAAGGGATCTGTTTGGTTTCATCACGATGATGCCCAGGAGAGAAACAGAATGATGAGAGTTCACACACATACAGAGAGAGTGGCTCTCAGATTCCATCGTAATGGTGAGTACAGTGGGCTGTAACTGAAGATGTCTTGGGCGTGATCATGTTATGGTCGATTCCCAGGACGTCCGCAGTTCAGTCCAACAATCCCTGAAATCTTAACCCTGACAGCTGAAAGCATCGAGCTAAAACCTTTTCTGAATAACTGATCGCTAAAAAAAAACTAAACAAACTATTGTAGTATTTCTGTAAACATTAGACAAAAAGAACTTAGTTCTTTCCCCAGTGTTCACTACGTAAGCTAAATTCAATATCCAGAAAGCTCTTTATGCAAACACTCAAACCTAAAAGTGCCTAATCAATTTGGCTAATAGATGTTCATTCAAATAGGTCTGCAAAAATATCCTTCTCATAAAACTAAACCATCAGCATGTATTTCAAATCAGGTAGAGTATTTAACACCTACCTTTTTTGCTTTGTTGGAGAACTGAGGGAGGGGGTGTTGCCACCTTCATAGCCAGACCATAGGCTCCTTTGAAGGAGTGGCTGTCTCGCACAATAAAGCAGCCGGGCTCTTTGTCCTTCAAGACTGAAATTGCTATATGAAGAGAAACATGTAAGCTGGGAAGCTGAAAAAAAGTTAGCTTATTTTATAATAACCAAAAGGTACCGAGTACCCACCTTGATCCCTTGAGATATCTGGCTTGTACCAGAATTTTGATGTGTCCTGTACAAACTTTACAGTCACCTGCTTGCTGGCGAGTACATCTGGAAAACACAGTCGTCACACGTAGAAGTAATTATATGCGCGTGATAATCAAAAGATGAGACGCCCACAAAGCCAAAAGCAAACCTTGGCTCACCTGGCAGAGGCGAGGCCGTGCGTGGAGTCTGTGCTGACAAGTCAGGCAAAACATTGGGGAAAGGAATGCTCAGAGAGCTCCCGCTGTGGGGACTGGAGAACCCACTAAGGGCTGGAGAGGCCGTTCCCAGCGAATGCTCCCCATCGGACACCCGCTTCTTTTCGGGCAACAGAGGCGGCTGGTTCTGGGGAGCCTGTGACTGTCTCTGCCCGTCCGTGGAGGTCAGAAGTTCCCTGTCGGTGCCCGTGCTCAGACAGTCCGTGGCGTAGCCGCGACCCAAGTCGTCCTGTTCGTCGAAGCTTTGGGCAGGACTGCGACTGAGGGCATAGCAGGCCACGCGGCTCCGCTGGCTGCTCCGGGGAGAGCTGTGGGCGTTGGGGGCCGGGTGGATGTGGGTGTGGTGCAGGGGAGGAGAGTGGCCACCGTAATCCAGAGCCACAGAATGCTGTGGTGGCTGCCGGGCCGAGGGGAAATTGCTCACGGAGGTGTGGAGGCTCAGGACAGGATGCTCCGGCCAGGACTGGGTCACAGAAGAGCTTCAGTGAAGACAAACAAACACCGGCGATGAAGCGGAAGTGTTGTAATTAATACGAACACGTGGTTAAGTGTTTCATTTATTCATTTATGTTCCTTTGAGCGGGAGTTCTACCTGTCCATCTGCTGATGGGTAGAGTACGAAGTGAGTGTCCTGTGGCAGGTGAGGGAGGAATCTGGCAAAGCCTCCACTCCCACATGACCGATGTCAGAAAAGCCCCGGGAATCTGCACAGTCCAAGAAAAAAAATACTAATTTTAGAATATTTCAAGCAGACTTTAGACACACACATATATATACATATATATATATATACAAGAAAAAATCAGAAGAACAAAAAGAGCTGCTTAACTAAGAAAAAACAACTAAGTAAAAACAACCAACTCAACAACATGCCCTCTAGAGTCAGTCTTTACAGAGATTTTTTCTCTGTGTTACTTTCATAGAAACTAAAGGTGCAACACTTAAGCTTAAGGTCCACTGGTTTTTCTGTCCCCATTTCTCCTCTATATACACAGAGACACTTTCATTGGGGGAGAAAAGTTTTTTTTGTGCCATGCTCCCTGATCCACAGTAACCATGGCGATGCAGTGGAGCTGAATGCAGGGATTCTTGCCTGGGTGTCTGAGGTAGGAAGAGGCACAGCGGGGGCACAGATCTGCTGCCCGGCTCAACAGGATTTTAGCATACTGTTAAAAGCAAACATACTGTCCATCTCCATGGACACAAAAAGGTCAAAGAGGAATGTAAAAGAAGGTGGGTGGTTGTTTCGATTCGCTTTGTGTTTTTTCATTAGAAGGGAGACATTGTAAAAGGAAGATTTATATATTTTTAGATGTATGACCCGTTTATTATTATCTTGACAGTATTTTAGAATTTACAGCTTAGTTTATTGAGGTTCGTTCCAAAACTAATTCTGTATACAAAGGCTGTGTTTCACTACAGAAAAAGAAACAAAAATTTACAGTACCAGTTTTAATTTCAAGACCGATCCGAACATGTTGTTACAAGCTAAGTCGCAGATAGGTTAGGAATCCCCGTTTCTATCCACATGAGACATATTTGTTTGGAGCCTCTCTCAAAAACAATGCCCCCAGTATTAAAAAAAACAGCCATTATAAAGTAAATCTGCTGTAATGAAATTGTGGTTCCAAAGACATCCTTGTATCTTTCACTCATTCTTTTGTCTCACACACTATACTACATTAGTTGAACGGTAAGCAACATAAGGTTCATAAAAGAATATTAAAGACATAAGAATATACTATAAATGTCTTGTTATTACTGTTTAACCATCACCTTTCCAGATAAATCTATTTGTATGTTTGATAGGTTTCTCTTTTTACTAATTTTTTTCTATAGTTTCATGTTAACTTTCTTTTCTTTTTTTCCCCAACCAAAAGCAACACCTACTGGGTTTTTATTCATTTTGAGCGTACCGTGATTTGTTTTGTAGCCTCCATAGGACTGCATGCTTGGGGTTGGAATCTGTCTGAGTTCCGTAAATTCTGACATATTTTTCACTGTTAACACAAAGAATACAATGGTGTGACATTAGTCATACAGAATCATATGATATAAATCAGATATAAAAGAGAAACCTTGAGAAAAAGTATTGGTACCATATGGAGTTGGGGGAGAGATGGGGAAGGCGGGAGTGGGTGGAGTCATGTCACTACCAGCCTCGACTCCGCTGTCCATATCTGGGCCCTGGGCCCTGTAATCGGTACTGTCACTTCGATACAATATGGAATGCTGCAACAAAGATAACACACAAAAATACATGTGGAAATCCTTTTGGCAAACGAGGAAGCTTGAACGACAGGAAGCTGTTATTACATACAATAACATACTAATCTGCTGACTTACCTGTGAGACACAAGGGGAATATGTCCGCTGGCCCCTGTAATCCTCTGCCTCACCCCACCCCGAGTTACAGAAGCCCGGGTGATCCATTACATCCCTCCCTTGGCAACTTAGACTCCGTGTGACACCCACTCGCGGGTCACTGGACTGGACAGCTGCATACACACAGAGAAACAGCAGCAAAGAGTCATTAAATGTTAAGTGGTTTATAGGCATCACTGATTTCAAGCAGGAAGTGCATAAAAACACCATGAAAGCAAAACAGCAGTTCCATTACCTGTGGTACCTTTCAGCTAAATGCATTTTCTTAAGAGAAGAAGTTTGATATCACTAGGGTTATTTGAACGAGAAAAATAGATATGTGGAATGATAACTTTAGCTGCAATCATTAATTGAACTTTGGCCACTGACCACACAGCTAAGTCCATGTTTTGCCTCAACTGTTTGGAGAAGACAGCTGAGGATTGCCAAAGGTCTGGTTATTGGGAAAATAGAGGGCGTGGAGTGTGCAAATGTGCGAGTGCAAATGTGTGTGGTGGAGGGGGGAGGCCAGTGTTGTGACTCCTCTAAGCAGTGTTGCCACTCATCACCCGGGTGTTAATTTGAGCCCTCACAGCGAGGTCCGGCCTCTCAGCCCCGAGGAACGCTAATGATGCAGAAGTGCTAATGCCTGGAATCATTACTCACTTTTGCCTGGTGCAAAGACTCTTTAATGTAGATCTAACAGTGCCTCTATACATGCCACACACAAACAAATATGTTTGTGAATAAACACGCAAAAAAAGAAAAGCATTAGACCAATTTCAACTCAGTCAAGAGACAAGAGTACGCACTTATCAGAGTTAATTCAACTTTGGCCCTGTAATACACTGACAATCCGTCTAAAGTGTAATCACTTAGTGGCAGTAAACAGGCATATAGATATGTAGTCTGGATAGGCTGCTAGACCCAACAGGCAAATTCCTGATTAAAGTGTGAAGAATCCACCTCATTTGTTACCGGACAGCACTGACTGATGCACAATCAATCTTTCCTTACTATGTAAGCATTTGTTGTTAAACACACATTTCTAACAATGAAGTGTTCATTCTTTTTCACTGAATACATCTGTTATTTATAGTTTGAAAATAGTTTTATTTGCTTAATTTGGTTAGATTTACAGAACTAAAAGAACAAAAAAAACAAAAACGGGTTATATGAACAAATAATTTGGATAAGTCAAGCCAGTCTATTCTTAGTTAAAGATCTAAAAAAAAAGAGTGATCTAAAAGAATCAGGAGTAAATATACCCAAGAACACCATGTAGACTTTAGTTGAAACTATTTTTCTCACTTTCTTTGCTTTATTTCTTTGATTAAATTAACAAATTAGTAGTTTTCTTTTTGTATGAATACTCAATAAGCACGCATATTTTAGTTGGTCATTCAAATATTTACTATGGGTAATGTTTTGGGTGTATGTGCTGGTTTGAAAAACAAGCATGCATTTTGACACTGTTCTGAGAGAGAAAAACAAACATTCCATACAATTACTCCCTTCAAGTGCTGGATGTCTGCTGTGAGGTAACAAAGGTTTGGCTAAATTTCTTCAGGTACTTGGCCATGATAATAAATCAGCTATAAATGTTTTTTTAATTTAATTTCTTTAAAATGGAATATGGTGAATGATTTACTTAAAAGAAAAGCTTGTTTGCATAGATAATTCCTTAAAAGATACTATCGTAGGTAACAAAACATACTAAGATTAGGAACCCCAGAGCAGAACATTTGTCTTTTAGAATAACAAGTAAAAAAAATGGAAAAACTAAAATTGTGATGCCTCCTAGAACCCATTAACCCATTTGCTTATGACCCAAACATAATGAGAAAATCCAGTGTTGCAGAAAATCTAACCAGTTTATGAGCTTCAACCAAACAAAGAGACTTTTTTTTTTAAATGTCTAAAAACTCATTATCTTAGTGGGCTTGAGGATGAGCAGGTAAAATATTGTAAGTAACTAGCTGAGATAATAGCTTCCCTGTCACGGTTTTCACACAAAGACATTCTTTCCTAAGAAAACTCTATAGGTGAAATTCCTCCCCTAAGTTCCTCGAAACCTTCAAAATGGATATATCTGGAGCATGTCTACCATGAAAACTATGAAGCTGTTTCTTCCCTCAGACTGCAGCCAAGTTTCTAAAGCTTGTTTTTCAAATGAGCTGAATTAGCCTCTGGTGTCTCAGAATGGAGCTCCTGTGTTGATATGCACAGACAGGTAAGCCTTTGGAATCAAATGGAAAAACTGTGCCTGCAGGCTCACTTGTTCCAACTCTGGAAATTCCTAAAACTCCCCATATTGTGCCCCCTCTACAACCAAATGCTCATGCTGTGATACACGCAGCCACGTGGATTTCCATGTTCTCTCTGCCTCACTGGGTTTAAGTCCCACTGCACTTAGAAAGAATATTCTTTGATCAACAGTACAGAAAGACAAAGCTAAATCTGAAAAATGATGATTAACTTAGGAAAATAAAAAAAACCTGTGGCCTGATGTTTTTTCTGATCATGTTCACCATGACAACGGGGTTCCAGGCAAAACAAAGTAGAATTTTTCAAGCTGCAAATTTCTATTAAACCAGCGATAACAGCTTTAATCCATGAGCATCAACATAACTTTGGCAGATATCTATTGTAAATACAATAATTATTAGGTTGCATAACCTCTGTCTGGTTTACAGACCTCATGTTCAATGGAGATATTCTAGTATGAGAGTCTTGTTGAAAATGTGATTTAAATGATTTACATCGTAAACTTGTACATATATGTATTCTAAAGATGTGATTCATGCAATCAAACAGCAAAAGACAGATATGTCTTGATTTGTCTTGAAGCTTGATGACAGCTGCTGTCTTTCTTCGTGTACCTTGCTGATCCTGTACACAGACAAGTCTGGACGGCCCTTTCTCCTCAGAAACATACTGAAAACATCTGAAATGTTGCCAAGAACCCTGCTATTTCTGCCACTAAAACATGCCAGAGGGGAGAGGGGGAGAATGAGTGCTTTGTTATGTTGAATGAAAATAAAAACTGAGCGTACTGGAGGAGAACTCTTTAAGTTTGAGTATTCGCATAAGTTTAGGTAGCTCTAGGTTAGATAGCTTCATTTTTTCATACTCGTTTGTCATATCCAGGTACATAACTTTGCTGATAGAAAAAAAGTAGCTTTCACCTGCACACCAAACTCTCAGTCTCACTAGCTTACCTGTCTGCTGTGTGTTTTTCAGGGTTGCTGCATTACTATCGTTGAATCTGACACTGATGCCATTTGAACATTTGCCAACTGAGCCGTTGACGCGAGTCCCACCGTTCCTCTTAACCGAGCTGCTGTGGCTTGACACCGGCATGAAAGTTGGGTCTAGGTCCATGATCAGCTGATTGAGCTGATCAATGGAGTTGTCAATGTCTATCGTGAGAGATTTGAACTCCTCGTCTCGTTTGACGCTGTTGTTGTTGTTGGCGGTCACGTCTGGTTCTTTGTGAAGTGCTGTGTTTCGGACAGTATCGCCTGTTGTGTCCCTGACGGCCTCCTGTGGCTCAGAGGCCAGCGCCGCTTTGGATGAACCGACCCCCGGCTTGTTCCCGGGGTATCTGTCTGAGTCGTTTCCATCCTCGGGCATGTAGTTAAACTGCTGTGCAGCGACCATCTGCTGCTGGCGGACCCAGGACTGGGTTGAGTAGCTTCCTTGTCTGTACACGTGCTGCTTGGGTTTGGGAGCACTGCTGGGATTAGAAGAGGCCACGGAGTTACTTCTGGAACTCAAACAGGCCCTCCTGGCCTCTGCGTAGTCCTCCAGAGGTGGAGATGTGGTATGATGCAGGTGGTGCTGGCTTTGGCTCTGATGCTCCTCTCCTCCAGGACACCCAAAGCCATCTGACAGAAGCGAGTTCTGACTGCTCTTGTGGCATGACGATGACAAGGTCCCAAGGCTATCCACACTGTGAAGATCGTGACCTGTGATGACTTCATCATCAAGAATGTCCGTTTCCCTCTCGTGGGGTCGGTTGTCCCCGTTGATGTGCACTTGTGCTGGGACTATCTGCTGAGTGCCCGCTCGAGGGCCCTGATCATCCATCTCCTCAAGTGACTGATCCTCAAGACCAAAACCACTTAGGAGCCTCTTCAGCTGGACCTTCTCTTGCTGGCTGGGGCCTTGGTTAGCTCGGATGGTGTTGGTGGCGGTGACCGGTGTGGGCCTGTCTGCCCACAGGGAAGTGCTAGACAATCCCGAGTCGCTGCTGACGGACAGGGTGTGGTCACTATGGTCGGGGCTGGAGGTGGCCGAGGTTGTGCGGGCCCCTCGTCCAAGTGTGGCCTCTCCTCCGTTGAGGCTCCTCTTGCTTGCCTCTTTGTCCTGGGTTAGGCCATGAGAGCGCGGCGCTGCAAAATAGAAGAGATGCAGCGCTTCATACAGTCAGCTGGTATGGGCACACACAGAGACACACAAATGTCAGACTCACACGGACAAAGAACTGAAACGGCACAGACTGCAGACAGGACAAGACGCTGTTCACATGCACAGTCACTTCAGTACACAAACTCAGACATTTAGAATCTCTGATTGACAAGGTCACTTATAATGACGCCTCACCTCATAAAGACAACATTCCAGACATGACAGAAAACAAATAAACCAGGGTATTAAGACAAGAACAGAGAAAAACATTCATAATGTTGCTCAATTGAGACAAATTACCCATTTACATCTGTCAGACAAAAATGTAACCAAACATTTGACGCAAAGATAACCCCTTCAACCTCTCCCATCCAACCTACAGGTGAACTGTCAGATTTGTAGTAGTAACAAAACAGGTTAATGGTAAAACATGTTCTCTGAGTACAAGTTATGGATGGGATGTTACATCGTCTGCATGCTGCTACAAGAGCCAAACAGCTATGGATCATGTCTGACCTCTGCATTCCTCACCCTGCTGCGATCAAGCCACCATACTCACTCTCACTTGCCCCCTTGACCCTCAGCATATGTCCAAACAACCTCCTTAATCCTCAGAAGTAACAGAAAAATCAGAGGTCCGTCATTTTCCTTTGAGTCCATTCACTACCTAGGGAACCATTCAAGAATTCAAACTGCAGACTTCTGCGAAATGACCACCAGAGTTTAAATATTAAGTAATCAAGCTGCTGTTTCGCTGCTACTCTTCCTGTGTGTCATCAAAAGACAGCTTGAACATGACTACTATGCTTCATTCTCAACTTACTGACTTAAGTGCTTGCCTGTCTGTAAAGCCTTCACCGGAGGATCCGAATACCAGACACGCATGATAAAAGCTCCCCCTCAATCCACCCCCTTTTCTCCCAAAGCTCCTGTTATGTGTGGTTTACCCCCTCAGATCACACAAATCTGCATCCCGTCTTGAGCAGCTCAGCTAAAAGCCAAATACAGGCCAGCTCCACTGGGAATTTTCCAACAGGTCCTCTTCAGATCCCTCTTGCACGATGTGATCTGGTTTTCAACCTCTTCCCCCCAATACTTTTTTTCTTCTGTCACCCTTGTCATCATCATACCTGTCTATTCTCCTTCCACACACATCCCAACCACTCATTTGAATCGAGAGGAAAAGATCTTACCTTCTCTGTCCCTGCTAGGTAAACGTACAAAACAAACCAAGTCTCCAGTAAAACCAAACTTGAGGAGGAAAAAAAACAATGCAGAGGCATGAGGGTGGACTTTTACTTTTACCCAGCAGATAATCGTGAGAGGTAAAATGAGCTGTCCCAGCTCTCTTTTCTGCTGAGAAGGTGAGAGTGTTTGCACTCTACACAAGGGAAGAAGGGGGTGGGGCTTGGGATCTCCAAATAAGGGCAGAAGAATGTAAACAAGTGAGGCGGGGCTATGAAGCAGAGGCGGGCCGAGGAAACCAGACATCTAAACCATGCATTATGGGACAACCCCACTGGGGAAAATGAGGGGGAAAAAATGGAATAGAATGAAAGAGAAGGCGGCCCAGAGCAGATCAGAGGATGAAAACAACATTCCTGCAGCTCAAGGCATTTTCTCTGTAAAAAAAATATACTTTTTAATTAAAGCAATCATTAACTTCGGCTGGGAGCTCCCAGCAATTTTCATGAAAAGTGGCAACTAAGTTGTTTTTGTCTAAGTCATATGTGTCAAAACAAATTACATGCTTTCTGTCCTCGTGTACAAAACTAGAAAGAAACAGATGTGTCCTAAACTCAATTATGGGTTTCAAGAAATGTTTGAAAAAAAAGAAAAGAAAAAAGTTTCACCTATCTGTATTTCAATGACAAGACAACGATGGCTGTAAAGTTGAAAGAATCAGTGTCACTTAAGCCATGTGTGTCGAGCTTGGTTCATGTTGGCTTTTATGGTTTGAAGAGTTCCTGAAACATTCACCAATTGCATTGGAAGGAGCAGAAAAACCACAACTGTTCCCTACGCTGCTCCCCTGTCATGTGAGGCCATGGTTGTGTTTTGCTATGTAATTACTGAACTCTTTCCATTCCATCTCATCCCCTTATCCTAAGTTTCTATGCATAATTGCTTGTGATCACAGCCTTCTATCTATCCACCAAGGTTACAATATTCTCATACAGGCAGATCTATTGACCAAAGTGTGTTAGGCTTTACAATAGGAGCAGCTACAATAGGTGGCACTATGTCCCCTTTCCGCTTGGGAATATTAGGCTTTTTCTGGTTGACCTGTTATGTCACAAACCAAAACAACTGACAAGCAATTTAGCCGTCTGAAAATTGGTACCAGTGTGAGCAGTGAATCGGACAGCTTCACAGCTCATTGCGTTTCATTTTCTAAAAAATGAGATGCGTCTTCGTCTGTGACCCGTCTTCAATATGCAGCCTGTCTCGTCCAGCTGGACGAACAACCACTAGCAGGGGAAAACTATCTGCGTCAGGAGCCCAGTGGTAAAATCTAGACAGGATTCTGTGTTTTAATGTGGGCTAGAATGAGCCATCAAACACCCTTGAACCAAGTGAAGATATTCTCCAGTATCTAAATACTAAGTGAAAGTTAAGTAATAACCTAACTGTCATTAACTGCTATAGAAAAAAAGATGAACATCCTTTCAGGGGGAGCGGTCTCAACTCTTAATTCACACATTGAGATGAACACACACTCTGGCAGCGGAAGAACAGTCACTGAAGTAAATTAGGTTTTCTTTTCCCAAACTTAGCACTACAGTGTCAAACAATTTCAAGACTTCCTCCTCCTGCCCAGTCTCTGGGTGACAGACTCTGAAGCAAACTGGACCTGCCAGAAGATGACTGCTGGTAAGTACATGTAGAATTCCAATTAAGCTCCCAGTCTTGCCTCTCACAAGTAGTGTTTACATGACAAAACAAGGCTGTAAATTTCCCACATGAATGCTTTGGAATCAAGGCTGCAGAAAAAAAAGCAGTTGGATGATTTCTTTGCTTTGCTTTGATGAATTCTTAAATTTGATCGGTTGGACTTTAATTGCATGCCCAAACGTAGTGATAAAATTCTATGTGGCTGCGTGTGCGCGTTTTAAATAAAAATAAAAAGGAAACTTGTTTTCATCAAGCTGAACTCGGCTTATAAAAACGCTCAATGAATCCTGGAAAAGGGTGGATCTGCGTTTTAATGCTGCCACCGTGTTATTCTATTCCGGGAGGTTGTTGTGAATTCTGTGGTTCAGTGGAGAGCAACAACCACAGCTAAGATGGGATGCTCCGACAGGGTGGCTCTGAGTGTGAGGATATATGAGTGTGTGTGTGTGTTTGGGGGGGGCACCAGTGAGAGTCTATGTGTGGCTGAACCATGCCTATTCATTTCATGAGACAACAAGACAGAAATCTCCTGAGAATTGGCTGCTCTTCCTATAAACCCAGCATTCCCCACATACAACAACACTCCACTGCACTTTACACTGAAATAACACTCCTTGGATTTTTTCTTTTAAAAAAATGACTAAAAGTAACTTTTAGTCTCTGTTTTTTCCCCTCAGTATAAAAAAAAGTCTTGTTTCCAAAGGCCTGGCCTGCCGGCTTGAGTTTTAAGTGCCACTCATTAGAAAGGTTATTTTATGTAAACTGCAGGTAAAACCAAGTTTATGTTAACTGGGTAGAAATGTAAATATAAACACTGATCTGGGGGGGTTCTGTTATATGGGCCTGTCACACTGTTAACTCCCTGTGAGAGGAAGAGTTAGTGTGTTTGTTTAATTGTGCAACACAGAGAAAAAGGTGGAAAAAATAATGCGTAAAAGATGGTTTAATGTCTTTGGAGAAAAAAAAGTGCGTGCATATATATATATAAATCCTCCAGCCATATATTCGCTCAGTTGGTGCCTGAGTCATCAGGTAACCTTGGCATTGTTATAACAAAGTGTTGTGAGTCATGTTGCGACTAATGCTGTGTAGGAAGTGTACCTTCACCATCACAGATGTTCTGGTACGAGTCCCAGCGGGTTAGAGAATCGGCAGTGTTGTAGTCAACAATAACATCTGGTCCGTTTTGCCATCTGTCAGCACCTTGAACAACAAAAAAAAAAACATTATGGCAGATACTATCCTGATGATTCACAGATGTGTTCATCTAAAAGATACACAGCTCTTTTGTGATATGTGATTCGTTAGAAGTGGTAGTAAAGTAATTTAAAAAAGACACAAACATAGGTATAAGAAAAACAACCACTGTGGTGGACATCTACTCAGGGAAAATGGAGAAATAGCTAAATCAGGAGTTTTTTTCAATGTGGGGTATTTTGGAATATCTTTCAAGACAGTCCTATTCATTTTACAGAAATGGGTGATGTGTGGCATAATTCAAGCTAGATCAGAAGTGATCACAAGTGTTTCCATGTTTTTCAATAGCCGACAAGTCCTCCTCCAAACAGACTTCCGCTATGTTATAAAAACGAAAAAAAAAGAAAAAAAAATCCCCTTTTTTTCCCCATCACATTTCTGAATGGTGATGAAAACTCAAGTACATACATGTTTTTTGTAATGTGAATGTTCATTCTAGTCAAAGAAAAAAAAAGAAACAGAAAAAAAAAGCACAGACGTAAAAATAGTACTGAGTAAATCATTCAGACCCACAGAGTCTGACGCCTGCAGGGTCCTGGAGAAGGACACGCAGTGCATCTTTACCCCTCTGTCAGCACACACTTCACACTACATTTCCCCTCTGATGCATTCCACATCCCCTCTCACCAGGGGGCAGAGGGGGAAAGCATGGAAATAAGAATGTCGAGAGCGCTGTATCTGCTTTTCCGACTACCTTCTCCTGGACAAACGCTTTCACAAGCTAGAGTTAAGGATCTACCTGGGATCTTCTCGGGTCCCTCGGAGAACACCAGCTCAACTTTCCCAGAATCTGGAAATCTGAGATCTGAAATGATAGCACACATGCTAAAGCTATGACAGCGAGCCGTTCAGAACCGGAAAGATGAATGATGTTTTTCTGAAGCTTCTCTCAGTACACGTGACATGTTTAGGAAAACAAAATTACTGGGCTTAAAGTGCCAAGTTTAAATTGACTCCAGACTGAGCCTTGCAGACGTTATGTGGAGCGGAAGAGATGCTGCGGACTGCAAGTTGCAAGTTGAGACCTGCTCTCAAGGTTTTTCAGGTGTACCTTTGTTGGCATTCTCCATGTCCTCTTTCTCAAACATAAGGTTGTAACCTTGCACTGCTCCCGTGTGGAACTGAAGTCGAAAAATAACCTCCCGCTCTGACGTTAGGTCACTTTTATGATAGCATTTAATCTAAAAAACAACAACAACAACAACAAAACAATCAATCAAACAACAAAAATAAATACATGATTACTGGTATTCCTTCTTTATTCTTTTCTTTTTTTTTTTTACCATGATGTCCCCTTTCAGGAGCTGGGCGGGCTCCAGCGTGATGCACACACAGTCTCTGTGGCCTGGACCAATGTGACTTAAACACAAGTGGAAGAGAAGACAGTAAAAGTGAGCCAGTGTGTTGAAGCAATTAGTGAAGTTTACACAAACCAGTAAATAAGAATCAAAATGAAGATTAAGCTAGCTTAAAGAGAAAGCTGCTTTAAAGTATCACAATGTCCTATAAAAACAAACAACAGTTACAATGACTGCGTAACCACATGTGTAGGATACTTACTAGACTCCAGATGAATAAACTGCCTGCATTCCCTGGTAAACCTTGATGTATGGGTGACATACTAAAAAACAAAAAAAACACAAAAATATAACATTTTTACTTCATATAGGTGCCTGGACAACATGACTTTGAGAAACTCATTAAGAACTTCACTACAAAGTTTACTTTAATCATAGTTTAACAGTGATAATCTGTTGTTGTGAGGAGGGAATTTTACCTCCATGGTGTGATGACAACCTCTGTTTTCTCAAGTAAATTAGTAAAAACCACAATTTCCAAACAAACAATGTGAATGTGAATTTCCCATAGTTTTACTGGGAACTGTGAAGTTCTCTCCTCAGTTCTGTTTATGTACACAACCTACATGGGCCTGAACATGCAAGTGAGAGTCGGAAAAAGTTGTGAAGTTCAGATAACACTCCAGCTCCAGTGTGGTTGCATTTTAAATATCCTTTACTGTATTTTCATTGCAGATGTGTGTGGTGGTAAACAATATGAGTTTAACCTCCGGTAGCGTCAAAGTTTGGCATCCCATGCAAGATGACGCAGTGCAGGAACAAGGGGGAGGCATTGATCTTCATGGATCCACTTAGTAGACTGTTGAGGATCCAAACATACCTGACAGGAGAGAGAAAAGGTGTGTGTCAACATCAAACAAGGCTACTTTAAGTATTCCCACAGTAGCATATATGCTACTATACCCAGAGAAGGGTATAGGACGTGGTTACTGCACCAAGTATTAAATTCTGCATAAATGGAATCCATCATTCGTGCATTCATAAGGAAGTTGGACTAAAGAAAATCAGTGTAGCGGAGGCCATGAACCAGAAGCAGAACAAACTCCCTTTTCTTGTAGAAAATTGCAACTTGATGTTTTCTCAGCAGCCTTTGTGCTTTTTCTTTAACTAAGTTGCAAATTTGATAACAAAAATGTTAAAAAGGAAGACACCTCTGAAAATCCACTAGAACACAAAAAGGCTGGAAACAGAGGGTAAAAACAGTTATGCTCAAATGGTGCAGGTTAATAAATGCACATTAAATGGATATCTGAACAGAACTGCAGTGGAGATGGAAGAAAAACAGAACAGAAACAGAACAGATAAATCTCCTTCCGCATATCTACAATCAGAGGACATTATTAGATAAATATGACAACTATTAGATAACACAGTCTACAGAAATCCACGTATGACTTCTTGGTCTCTGTTAGTGTAAAGATCTGCATAAAGAAACCTCAAGGCCCAAAGTAAATTGCATAATGTGAGTGAAAAGATACTATCGCCATGTTTTAGTGCTGACCATGGCAGAGTACTTTGAATAGAGACTGAAAAGGTTAAAACAGCTATCGCTGCTTCGCCAAAAGGAAACCAAATCTCCTTTCCGGCACCTCCAGAGATCAGTAATCATTGTCATTGTTGAGGGTTTATGATGGAAACAAGACTGTTAGGAGAAACCACTTTTGTCCATCAGTGTGAGCAATGATGAATCACTCTGGGTTTGGATTACACCAGGTCATCATGGGATTCCATTCTTACTGAAACTACAAAAACAATGACTGGCTTTCAGCTTTTTAAAAAAAAAAAAAAGGAAAAAAAAGATAAACAGCACTGGGACTCAGTGTTTTCTCCTGAATGTTGGAGATCTGAACGTTTGGACGGAGACGTGCGGTACGGAGCAGGGGGGTCTGCTTATCTTACCGTTTCTGTGAAGGTGTCATCAGAGCTGAGACTTTGTCGTCGTAGTACTTCCTCATGGCGAAGCGGTCCAGTGCCTGATCAGCACTTTGTGGGAGACAGAGAGACGCACTAAACACCTTAGGTAATTATGACTCAAGAAAACACTCTGAGCTATAATTGAATAGATTTAACCCCTTACTTCAGTCGGGGCGACCCAAACCACACATGCACACACGTAATTGACAAGAGGGAAAGTAACTGGAAAGACAGAGGATTCCAACAGAGAGGAAGAGAATGCCAGTCTTAAGTAAACACAGAGGGGATGAAGGGGACAGAGAGAGGCCAGAGTGTGTGCACAGCTTGGCTATTCAGACAGACCTAAAATCAACAGGCGCTGCAGCCCTTTCAGCACAGCTCCGTTTTTCCCTCCCATTGACCATCTCTCTCTCTATCTGCCTTATTGTTTTTCTATCTCTTCCTCTTCTCCTCTTTTTGCCCTCTGTCTCCCACACTCACCTACACTCAGCCAATGTTTTTCAGTGGGACACCAACAGTAGAGCAGCCAGGGCTTGGTAAAAAATCAAAGCCTGAAGCAGGCCCATGCTGTGATGTACCCACACTGTGTGCAGAAAGGCTCTGCATAATGGCACAACCCCAAGCCATGTAAACCTCAGTGTTTGTTACATTTCTTGACTTTACTGCTCTCTAAAGGAACACCACTTCCATCAACTAACATGCTTCTAAGTTGATTCATGCAATTCAATATGGGTGATTCATGCCTTAAATTGTGTGGTTTTCCTTTGAATCTGAAAGATTAACCCTTTTCTTTGACTCACTTTCTGAACCACCTCGGCCTTGTGTTAGAGGGCGTAAATGAATCAAATGTGGTTGAACAGTGACAAAGGTTATGGTCGACAAAATGAGCCTTCATGGCTGCGGCTTGCTGTTGATATTGTTTACTGCCAACAGTGGGTGGGTGCGCCCATAATATGATAAATCCTGACTTCAGACACAAAGAGAGAAAACGTTTATAGTAACATGACATGGCGACATATGGTTGTGGTTACCTGGCTGATACATCAGTAAAATGCACAAAGGATGAAATGACAACACCAATTCGACCCTTGCCACCCTAAAAATAAAACAAACAAAAAAACAACATGACATTGCAGAGAATGATTCCATAACCATGCAGCAATTGTGGTTTTGCCCTATTTTAAGGGCCAAAAATGTAGCTCCTATTATGTGCTATGTCATAAACACACCATATTCATCATCAACTAGTTGACAAACACCAGCCTATCTGTGTAACATTCTACATACAAATCTTAATAATTCTGATTAACATCACCTTTCTTATTTAGTCACAAACATTTATTATACAAAATAAACAATGTTTTTTTAATTGAAGGATCTGGTATTATCTAGAGCTACTGAATCAATCGGTGAGTGAAGATTACAGGTGAACTGACACACAACTAGCCAACAGTTGCTCACCCTGCAGTGTATAACGGCCACATGTAGAGGGTCAGCATTGAGCCAGCTTTCCATGGCCTTACAGATGGTGCAGATCTTATCCAGAGGTGGAGCATGAAGGTCCGGCCAGCCTGTATCCAGTGTCTGAAACACATCAAACACATCACCATAAACTCTATAGTAGCCGGCGGACAAGATAAAGTTGATCAAAGAGTACGTATGGAGATAGGATTTCCATTACTACAATACTTTTTTGTGCTCTCTCCAAAGTGATCTATACCACTGAGATAGATCTGTCAATAAAACTTACCTTGGGGTTCATTTTAGAGAGATCGTGTCTTCTCTCTGACAGGTTAATGATCTAAAGAAAGCAGAACAGGTCAGAGGGCTTTACATGGTGTCTCTACTGTATCCTGTTTTAACACACACAATGTCTTTAATGTCCGTGTCCCATGAAAGCCCTTCAGCATTAACATGAGTGCCATGTATAACACATGGACAAACCGTACTGACCAGATAATTGTCCGCATGTTTAGATTTGAGCATGCGTGTGACATCCTTCAGGTTGTGCGAGTAGACCTCCTCAGAGCAGCCCCGGGGGAAGGACACAGCTATGATACGCTCTGTTATATAAGTGAGGTCCAGCTCATATCCCTCCTCCATTGTGAATTTTTCCTAAAAAAGAAAAAATACAAGCAAGCAAAATAGACATACAGAATTAAAAAAAAAGGCCTTCAGGTCTCTTTCACCATTCTAGTTGTAAGCAGGACACTTTCCTTAAGTCAATATTTGATGCTCAAAGTCCTCAGCTTTAGTCACGCGGTTCACATTGTCCACACATATCTTTAGAGAATGACTTCAGCTCCAGATTGCAAGACAGAAACTATTGTGTGTAAGGGTATGGCTCCCATCTACTTGAATCCCCTTGCAAAGGCTTATGTCACAACTCGATCACTCCGGTCATCAATGGATTGTCGTCTAGCAGTGCCTTCACCACGCTTAAGACAATCCAGACTGTTTGCATGTGTCGTTCCAAGATGGTGGAACGACCTACCAAGCTCCACAAGAACAGCAGAGTCCCTGTCTGTTTTCAAGAAACTCTTGAAGACCCACCTCTTCAAAGAGCATCTCCTATCCTAACCCTAACCCGTACCTCTACCCCCCCCACAGCTCCTTCTGTAGCCCCTCTACCTCTATCTCTATCTCACCACTGACTCTGATCAGTGTTTCTGTTCTATAAAGTTTATTGTCATTGTGATGAGAAATGTAATATTGTGTCTACTCTGTAAGTCGCTTTGGATAAAAGCGTCTGCCAAATGCATAAACATAAACATAAACATACACAACAGTTGACATTATGTGTCCCAAATATCTCCCTCACTGAATAGAAATGAGGAATGCGAACACATAAGATAATAGCTACTTCTCTGTAATTTGAAGAGAATTACAGAGCAGCCATATTAACATACTGGACACCTAGAAAGTAGCCCCCAGAGATAATCAGTTAGAGCGACAGAAACAAAGAAAAGAAAAATTAAAAATAAAAGACCAGTTGAAAACCAGTTGTAAATCCCTAATTGGCGGCTTGTCCCTGTGACCTCATGTCTAAAGAGTCTAAAGAGAGCCAGTGTGCCTCCTCCCACCCACCCACCACATTTCAGACACATCCCTTACTGTTTTATCTCCTCATCTATGTGGAGTCTCCTGATCCATCAGCTGGAAAACAGCAAATTGCCGTCTGATCCTAATGGCAGGATTGAAGTGAGGAGATGAACTAACAAAGGCCGTACACAGAAGAGCAAACAGCAAAGAAAATCTAAGAGCTATCAGCCTTGACATGAAAACGGGGAACAAGGTTGGTCATCTTGTTACAAACGCAACATTCCCCTTGGTTTTGACACACACAACCGGCAAACAAATTGTTCAAATTCATAAGGGTCAACCCTACCTCATTATGGAAGAGACACCACACCACAGTAACTATTCAAGGAAGTTTAAAAATCTCAGTAACATACCCAAGGCACTGACTCAGCCTTCACACTCCCAACCAACAAAGAGCTTATTTGACAGCCAAAGACCCAAAGGCTTTGCAGGGCACCCCAGCAGATGTGGGGTTATGAAGGTTATGTAAAGTATACCAGGGCTGCAGTTCTCATTTTGAGCTTATCTGCATACAAATGTTGGGAGTATTAAAACAGTCTCTGGGCTAAATTCTTTAATTAAAATTACAAAAAAAATATTTAAAGGAAATGTGAGAAGTGCATATACATAATTGCAGAAAAATAAGTTTTTAGATAACTGAATCTAAGGGGGTTCAAACTTAGTTCATGAGAAGCAGGAACATCATGTAGTTTTAGCTTTCAATCGCCCGTGCTCTGAAATCCATTTCTAGTATAATTTCAACGTGGATCAACTTGATCCATAAGTTTGTGAGCAGATGTCTTTCCTGGCATCTGTATAAGGTAACAACGATAGAGCACGGGGAGTCCTTAAAATCGTAGAGCTCACAGGAGGCAATTACTGCAACAGTCTGATAGGATAAAAAGTGATGATTAATATTTTTTCATTAGCCATTATTTACTTTATTGTGCAGGAGAAGGCTTCAGAATGGAATAAGAGATTCTTCAATACCGTAAAGTCAGAGGTGTGATGAGACTTTGAGCTTGTAGTATTGGTTTTAGATCATCAAAAACAAGAGAGCAAACTTTATAAATGTTTTACAATCTTGTCAGCTGACAAGTCAAATTTAAATCATAAAAAACTACTGACTACACCTTTGTTTAATAGTTGTAAGTTGCATTCCACACAAATGCACACCACAAATGCAAACACATTTCTACATCTGCTGAAGATGTTGTGCCTTTCGCATGACCCTGATTCCAACGATCCACACACAAAAATGTGTCCATCGGTTGAATCTGAGATGAATGCATACAGTCCACCGCTACGAAGGCGGATAAAAGCCATAAACTAAGAACAGCGTAGTCATGGCTTAAACCAGCCCACAGAGCGGAATGAAAGGGGCCATGTGAAGAGGTCATCACTCGGGGAAACTGGGTTGTGTTTGTGTTATGAGTGTGTGTTGGTGCTGTAAGCTGGGTGAGGTCCTTTGGGATTGTTAGAACTAAGGGTTGGTTTAGCCTCTTTTTCTATGGCCATAAGAGAGCCTGTCAAATAATTGGATATTAATGAACAGATAAGTTAGTACTTAGGTCTATGTCTAGGGCTGGGCTAAAGCAAGACAAGAGACTTAGAGAAACCGTGCAACTTTCTGTCACCGACAGTATTTGTGTGGTTTAGTTGAGCAAACCTCAACTATAATATATCCAAAGTAAAATAACAAGGTTCAAAATAAGTGAGCAAATAAATGGTTTGCAGTCTGACTATAAAGAGGCTACCAAAACTGTCCTTTTTATATATGTGTACAAAATATATAAATATATAAATAATAGGGATGGGACGGTTTCTGAAAACCGTCTGAACCGTTCGGTTCGACTGTCTCGGTTCGGTTCGCGTGTGTACCGCACGGTTCATGCACTGCTCCTTTTTCTCAGAGGGAAGCGTGTTCACTCCAGAGCAGAAGGGGGCGCTACTGCACCCAAAGTCAACCACCAGTAGTAAACAAGAAGAAGAAGAGAAGCAGCGTAGCCGATAAAAATCATCTGATGCGCCAACAGCAGTTTCTACTAGGTCTGCTGTATGGACCAGTTTGCATTTAGAGGGAAGCACATGTTGGAATTAGCACTGTTTCCTCTCTTGCAATGCCATAATCTCACCTACTTTTAACCTAACACTGTCACAATAATGTATCAAATGTCAGACTACCCAAAAATCAATAACGTTTGGGCTTATCGATACCACTATCGAGTCTGGTCGTTTTTTTTTATTATAATAGTAATTGTGAAATCTGTGTTGTAATCGGCAGCATACAAGCTAGTTAGCTTGAAAAGTAAATAAAGTTTCAGACGTGCTGCGTGATGATGTGTTCAGATTGGCTCAGTAAAACGACAATTAGGTTATCATGATGCGTTCAAGTGTAACGTAAAGAAAAGGGAAATTGAGTTTTTGGCGAGAAACATGAGTAATACAGTTGTATATTGCTCTAATTATTTTTAGAATATATAATTAAACTACTGATGCCAACATTTATTAAAAATTACATTTAATTTAAAATACAATTATTTATTTGTTAAATATTGTTGCATCGTCTTTCCACCAAATAACAGAAAATTATCGATAGTGGTATCGATAAAGACTCGGATCGATAAGGAGTATCGATAAAAGTATCGATATCAATAAATATTAACGATCCCCATTCTTAGTTTTAACCTGACTATACAAGACGTAATAGATTTTCCTAACAATCACCATATACCGAACCGAACCGAAAACCGTGACCACGAAACCGTGAAACGAACCGAACCGTGGATTTTGTGAACCGTCCCACCCCTAATAAATAAATATAAAATTCAGCTAAATTTTGGCAGGGATGTTAATACAAATACAAAATATAACGATGGACATTCTGAAATCTCAGTAGTGCTCAGAGCTGATTTTGTAAAGAAAGAGAATTGCAGCGATGACGAATTTCTTTGTTATGAACAATTAATAGTAGTTGATTTTACATTGGGACATTTTATGGAACTTAACAGATTGTTTAGTGATTGTTGGGGCTCACATGAAGCAATGACATCAAGCTCGAGTGTCTGTGTGATTATTGTTAGCAACAGCGGACGCTAATAAGAGAACAGTCATCTTCCTCACTCTAGAGCACTCATTCCAATCATTAACTAGCCTTTTTATTCTGACTCAGCCAACACATACACACATTTTCTATTTTCTACACCTAAAATTTGACGTCTTAATTCATAACCTTAAATAGGACACTTGTTATAACAGGATACTTTGTTTAGCAACCGTCAGCAGTGCAATTTAATTCATTAAATGCTATTGGAATATCTCAAATGAAACAGTTTTTTTTGCAGTAGAGTGACTGTAGTGAAGGTCCCTGTGGAAGGGCTAGGCCCCCATTTTCAAAACCATTACCAAAATGCACAAACGCAACACACATCAAGTTACGAAACGCTTCGCCTAACTCAATCCCAACACTTACCTATGTGGAGCACTGTGGTTAATTCATCTGTTTTGTTTCCTGCGAGAACCTCCACCTCTCCCACTCAACATTCAAGCCAACATCACCAACTTGCCTGAGCACGCAGTAAAGATAATTGGTCTTTAATTTGCACTCACTGCTTTTGTTCCCGGTTTGAAGCACAACATTAGCTCACAAAGGCAACATAAGCAGGGGCGAAGAACTCAAATCCAGAGCCCACCCATGGCACTGCTAGCTAGGCTGGCAGAGAAGAGGGGTAGCCAAGGAGATCCAAGCAGATAACTTGCCAGGTCTCTGGTGAGCAAGCCGCAACAGGTTTACGAAGGTCAGGATGTTGGGGGATTAGGGTGTGTCTGGCTCCCCCGGCTTCAGCCCCTGCAGGTAAGTGCTTGACGAGGCTGTGCTGGTGCTGTCGGCCACGTTTACACATGCATGACCATTACTTGGAACCTTCTACAAATGCCATTCTTTCACTTACCCTGAACGGTCCTGAAAATAAATGAATCAAACATTCCATTTGCAAGTATAATACATGCTGAGAGGTGCTGGATGTTGTGTGTGTGTGTGTGTGTGTGTGTAAGACTGGGATGAAGCCTGTCCCAAGAGAGCCACACCCTTCATCTGGCCCGCCCTGTATGGAATCTTCCACTTAGCACAGGCAGGTGATCCACATAATAAAGGAAGAGGTGTTATGGAATCACACAAAATCTGCAGAGAGAAGCATCTTCGTCTTCCAGACACCAGTTAATGGGACAGTAATGGTTAAATGGTAGCCTCCTTGTGATACCTCCCGGCTGTTTTCATATTTTAGTCGACCCGCCACGACGACAGCTGGCGAAAACGTTGCATATTTATCTGTAACAAATAACAAAACTGACCAAAGCCACAGCAACCAAATCCATTTGTGAAAGTGTGTGTATGAATAGGCTGGTTGCAACATGTCTGCCCCATTCCTGACTGCGTTTCCCATTAGTGATTTCACTGTGGTCATCTTTGTGCAGATTCTTTTGAAATGTTTCTCCAAAGCAGCAGAAAAAAAAGAGTCAAATCATGTTTTCCGTGCTTTTTAAAGTTTGACTTAGAGATTACAACATCCTAGAAAACCCAAAATTGAAAGAGAAACCAACAGAAGGTCTAAAGGATTCAGTCATGTGAGGTGAATCAGAGTTGTTCAAAGTGAAGAGGCTAACACGTGTTAGGCCCTATAGAATCTTTTTAGAAGAAAATTTTTAAATGGATAGGTTTCAGATCGGGAGGAGAGGAAAAAAAGAAAACAAATGCACAACCATTACACCCGCACACATATGAAAGCAATCAAGGTGCCTCATCCCCCATTCACACACCGATCAAACCTGATTCTACTGGCTAAAATGTCTATTCTATGACACCTCAATCTTTACAGGACATGGACATTTTATGATCTGGCGCTCGATGAAGTGTTCAGCCAAGCCTACTATGTGGACATTGCAGCTGTTTTGACCATTTGAAAGAGCAGCAATTCATACTGTGCTGTCAATTACTGTCCCTCACAGGGTCTCTGGACAGCTCAGTGAGCTCTGGACTGTGGATAGGCATCATACTTTCCTCAGTCCGACTTGTTGTTTTGTTTGCTTTTTTTTTTTTCTTCTTAAGAATGTATTTCTTTTCAACGTATTGGGATAAAATTGATCCTGTTGTGATGGCTATTCGTGACGGTCTACCCTTGCATCAAAAGCCAGACATTCTAAATTTGGTTTGTGCCTTTCCTCCTTGGCTGTTTAATATCTACATCTATGGGATATGTAATAGATCGAATATCAACAGATTTCATCATTACAAACATCTTTTTGTTCATACTTGGTGCTTTCAGACTGCGGGATAACATGTCCAAAAGTGACGCGACTGGTGTAAAAGCCCAGAGAAGGACAAGGCCACAGTTTGTTCTGGCCTTTTCCTGTCAGGGGCTCTGTAGATTTGTGCTGTGGCTTTGACACCCATTCATGGCTGGAGAACTGAAATAAACAAACCATGAGAACCATAGAAAAAAACAAGCCACAAAAGTGGGTGAAGGGTATTTTTAGCAAGTTTATTTTGCGGTCCCTGGAACTCTAGCATGTATTTGTCTCACATTTTTTCAAGAAAATATTTTGGAGGGTATAAAATTGACCGTCCTGGCGTTGAGCAAATGTGTGCACCGTTAAAGCTCACAAAGTGCTCCCTAATTACCATTTTCTATCCCAAGGTCATAATGGAATGCGTTCCAAAATAGATTATGTTCCCACTCTCACTCTCCTGCTCTCTTTTCCCCATTTCTTGCCATTCTGTGCCCCTTTATTGCTTTCATTCTTCTTCCTTCACCAGATTTCAACTTTAATGACTAACACATGTCAACCAAGTGCCCGTGGGAAGTCCTATGACAAAATGATATGCACAACTACTGCATCCCGTGCTGCAATCAGTGCCCCGCTTATAGTATACAATTCAAACCCTCTGCCAACCCACACATGTGAGGAAAGCCCATTGCAATGCAACCTGGTATTAGCCGGAAAAAAAGAACATTTAGAGTTAGTGATATTCATTTTAATTTTGTTTATGGTTCGATATTTTTCATTTTACTCAAGTAAGAAACATAAACAAACGCTTGAGTAGTCAGTTAAGACCATCTTAATTTCCTCTTGGTCTATACAGCAAAGTATGATTACTGCCACTAAAGTTTTCAGAGAAGCAGATCCTGATGACAGTGAGGTGTGCAAAGGGTGTGGATACTGGTGCTCATCGGATTTTTCACGGGAAGTGATATCCATTTGAGAAGAGCTGTGATGTAAGGACACTTGTACATGTCATCCACAATGGCTGCCTGAGAAGCAAAGCCTTCAGGCTACAAATACCACAAAGCAGCTGTAGCTCAAACAAAAGAGGCTATCAATATGTTTTTCTTCATCGTTTAACAGCAGGATGAAGTCCCCAACAACTATAGGGGCCAAGCATGTCCCATTCCTCTGTGAGAACTCCACACCGCTGGGTACACAGCTTCCACAAGCATGATACCATATGTTTCACATTATGAAGGTCTTTGGTGCACCATAACCCACAAAAGCAAGGAACCCGAAATTATAGCCAGAGCAAAATACAATTCACTGAAGACATTTAAAAAGCTAAAAAAGATCCAATCAGGTCAAACCATGCCGTAGGGAGTTCCATTCATTGCTCTCTATAATGCTCTCTTCATAACACATGAAGAAAAAAAACATCACAAGATCAGTTTTTGCAGTTTGAATGACTCCCTTTTCTGTCCACACAGACCTCACCGAAAAGAGCCAAACACACACACACACACACACACACACACACACACACACACACACGCACACACACACACACACCAGCAATACATACTCATACGTCTTTGGTTTGAGCAAATATACAGATCAGTGTTCTGTTTTCTTTAAACGAGAGAACAAACTCACTGAAATGTGACTGAGCAAAGGGCTTAGGATGTAAATGTTAAAGTGCACGACAGGACTGAAGGGATAATCTTGCAAAAACTGACCAGCCCGATTCCCCAAATGAGAATGAAGAAGTCCACGCGTCCAATCTTACCTTTTCAACTGAAAGCGAGAACTTTTCCGACGGCTTGACTGTCTTTGTCAGCCAGAGCCGCTGAAAACTGAATGAACACGCACAAGTCCGAAAAGCCCGTCACACAGGCTCCCTGCGGACTGAGAGGCTCATTTCCCTGTGCCGGAATTTGCGCTCCGGATGATCAGAGACGCGTAGCTTACTCTGCCCGAGCTGGATTCTGCTCTGTCTTCTACCCTTAACTGTTTTTGATACTAAAACAAAAAAATATATAGAAGTCCTTGCCGAGCTTTTGCTGAAGTGCTGCTCCTGCTGTTTTCTGCTCAGCCTCCAGATCACTTCCTACCGTCCAGACTACCGCTGCAGCCACCAAAAAAGTTCTGGCATGGGACAGTCCTCCCACTGCACGGGCTCAGGCTGCTTCCCATGTTCCCTCCCATTTCGCGCAAACCTCCCCTCTTTGTGGCCTCCTCCCCTCGCCCGCTGCCTCCCTCCATTTGTTCTCACCCTTACTCCTCACACGCACTCGGAGACTTCCTGTCATCCCCCCACGGGACCCCCCTCAACTGGGCTTTCATACGCCTGCAGTTAAATGCATAGCCTGCTCAAGCTGCCTTTTTCATTCATTGAAAGATTAAATAATCGGTGTATTAGAGTCATAACAGTGCCCTAAACCCGCCTCTAAAAACAGGACTATCCTTTAAAGTGCTAAAGTAACTAATGGTCTAATCTAACGTGGATGAGATGGGGGTAAATATGGATTTGAATCAGGAGCATTTGTCATATTGAATATGGGTTTGTACGGCCGCTGCCCTGTTAATTATCTTGCCTCTAAAACTCAATCTGAAACCACATAGTTTATATTTTCCAAAAGGCGCTTCAACTCCAAGGTATTTGTAGTGAGAGGATGCTATACAATCATGGCCCTGTCACGAGTCTTCTTGAGACATATTGCTGCTAATAAATGCAAATGCTTGCCTTGAAATAGTTAAATAGCCTAATTAAAAAAAGGTTTTCTGGTGCATAGAATATGGGCCGTCCAATTAGTGCATCCTGTTTACATGTATATTCTAAATGACGGCCTTTTTTCAACTTGTACTGTGGTTGAGTGTATTTCTCTTTTAGATGTATTGCTATTTAGGTATCAAGTTATACGAAAAAGCAATATTGTCAATGCCTCAAGCTTGCATTTTTATATAAGTATTTGTATGTCCTTAGGTTGTTCTACCAAATAGATGCATCAAGGCCAGACAATGTTATTATCAACTGTATACAACAGATGCAAATATCTCAAGACAAAGGGCTTACGTAAGACTAACAGAAATGCAACTGAAACTGGTGTAAAAACTTTATTTGTAATCACTCAAGGGAGTACATATTAGAAGAAAATAACCTTTATAGCAAAGCATTACTTTGTGGAAATTAAAAACAAACATCAGCATCCCTGGTTAAAGCAATTTTCTCTGAATATAAAAACTGATTTATATGAAACTACAGAAACTAAGAAGAAACAATTGTTCTACAATAGTAAAAGAAAGAGGAAAAATAGACTAATTGTGGTGATACTGAGGATTTCATCAACAGGCAAAACAAATTCAAATTAAAAAATGGTATGATTAGCTGTGACAAATTTTCAACCTTCTGTTATCAAATGAGAGCAAATAATACTCAATCATCTTCATTGAAAACTTTCGAAATTGCAAAAAATAAAACAATATATATATATATATATGTTCATAATAAGATTAAGCATCTAAATAATTAAACCCTACCAAAGTTTGTAAGTAGCAAACCATGCATGTGAAGCAAACATTTTAAAAAGTTACAAATGCAAGGCAGTTAATTTGTCTAACATCATATCTCAAATAATGCGCATTAGGAATTAATGTTGGAGCTGTAAGTGGAACTGCTGGAAGAGAAGCTGTAAGTGTAAGAGGAGTAATCCACACTGCCTCTGCGAGATCCACTTCTGGAGCCAGTTCTGGAACCAGCCCTAGACCCAGAACGCGATCCTGGGTTAGAGACATTGTAAGGGCTGCTGATACCCTTGGTGGATACAGAGGAAGCCTGAATCATCTTCATACCATTACTTTCTTCAACCATGCAGTTATCCATGGCCTCCTTGTATGTGATCTTCAGTTTTGTCTTAGGACAGGTCAGGTTCTTCTGGTAGTTTCGAGAATCTTGAAGCTTTTGAGCTCCTTTACCATCCAGCCAACCTTTGCGGATCGCTTCCTCAATGGTGACGCGGCGTCCTTTACCAGGCTCTATCAAGCCCCCGGTCAGGTATTGAAACTCCAAAAATCTCTGACCAGCCTCATAAGGCAGCCACGATTCTTTTACTGCCTCAGCTGCAGACATTTTTCTTTTTGTTTTCACATCCTCAAACCCGACATAAGCTTTCTGAGCAGGCTTCAGCTTAGATGCCATGGCTTCATCAATGATGCTTTGATGAAGGGCTTCTTCAAGAGACAGTCGCTCACCAGTAGCTGGGTTGATGATGCCGCCTGTGCAAGCCTGGGCCTCCAGCAACCTCTGTGCTGTTATAGTATCAACTATACCCCTTCTGAGCCCCTCAGAGACTGTTATCTTTTCCAAAGTCTCTGTGTCAAAAATGGCTGCCACTGGGCTGTGGTCATCAAACATTTCTGGGGGTGAGACTGTAATAGAAATACTGTTGAAGCGTTTACGGACGGTAGGAGAGGATGGTGAGGCGTGGGTGGGGCTGCTGCAGGTGACCATATCATCAACAGTGCTGGCTGTGAAGGTCATTTCAGTGCTGCTGGTTTTGCTAGTAATTTGGTCAGCAAACTGGGTCAAACTTAGTGTTCCCGCACGATACTGATCTAAAGAACCTTGGTTAATGATACCCTGGTCCAGGCAGTTTTGAATGTCATACTGGGTTCCAGTTTTTCTGTCCACAATCACCAAACGTGCAGAGCCATCTGATCCTTTGATAGTGATTTCTTCCCACTCACACTCCTGCTCTGACAAGTCCAGGAAAGTATCATAGTCAATTAATTCCCGGTGATAGGCCTCCCTAACTGACATCTCAAGACCTGTGTCGGGGTCAACGATTACTACCCGCCTCTTTCTGAGAACATTGGTGCGGCTTTCATGTGACTTCTTGGCCTTTTTCTTGTCACCTAGAGGTAGAAGTATAAGGCCTGTTTTGGGATCTGTGATGCATCTTTCTTTCAACTGAAGATAGGTCAAGTTCTCCTTTGTATTGGGGTCAAAGAAACCTTTTGTGTCATCTCCTTCATAGGTTAAGATTTCATTCATCTCCTTATCAAAATATCCTCTTTTATAGGCAACAGAGACATCAATTCGGTGGCTTTCAACAGGGTCAATAATCCCCCCACTTGCGATCTGAGCTTCAAGCAACCGAATTCCATGACCTTTCTCAATGAGATCTTTCTCAATAGCCTGGAATAAGGAGATTGTCTTTCCTGTTGATGGGTCTCTGTATCCTGTTACTGCCTTCTCAGCAGACATCAGCTTACTCTTAAACTCCTTCCCTATGAGGGCTCTCTTTTCTGCTTCTTCCACAGTCAAGAAGATATTGTTGACTGGATCCACAATGAAGCCAGAAGCAGCTTGAGCCTCGAGAAGCTCCAGAGTGGTTCCTCTCATGAGCAGGCCCTCTTTCATTGCCTGATAGAAAGGCATTATTCTGTCATTGGCTTCATCATATATTCCTGCAATGCATGTGGACCCATAGAGATAAGACTTTAGTTTGTCTTCAATATCTTTGCTGGTGAGCTTTCCCTGACTAATCTTCTGCAAGTCAGTTTCATCCAGTAGTTCAGATTTGACAAGTTCAGAGACAGAAACCTCTCCTCGGATGCCCTTCACAGTCAAGGGTTTTTCTGGACCACGGAGAAGGAGCAAACCTGACACAGGTTCGACAATGCACTTCTTCCGAAGGTCACTGTAACTTATCTTCTCTCCTGTTGCTGGATTCACATAGCAGGCAGGGTTTTTATTCAATGCCCTATACAAGTCTTCATCGATAAGATTGCGATCTAAAGCCAGATCTTTTGGGAGGAAAACACCAAGAACGGGGTCCAGTATTCCTCCCACAGACTCCTGAGCCTGGAGCAAGCGGATGGCAGTTTCCTTGTCAATGCGGCCATGTTTGCAAGCCTGTCCAACTGACAAAACTTTGCCAGTGTACGGATCCTTAAAGCCAATGCTAGCTGCCTCAGCCATCACTAGGATATCTCTGTCGTCTGTGTCTACAATTCCTCTGGAACAGGCCGTATCCACAGGCATCCTTTCATTAAATGCAGGGTCAATTATATAACCTGTTGCCGCTTGAGCTTCCAAGAGCATCAGGGCACTCTCTGCACTGAGGAGATTCTTGTGTTTGGCTTCAGTAAATGGCATTTTTCCTTGAGAACCCGTAGTCATTCCAGCAATAACTCCAGTACCCTTAAGGCTAAGCTGGATGTCCACAGCTACTTCATCTACTGTCTTTTTGCCCTTCAGCAAGTCATCCAGGGTGGCTTTGTTAATTACACCACAGTCACAAAGTTGGTGGGCTGTGACTTTACGGCGCACCCCATTAAATACAAGCTTCGATGGATCAATTGTTGGAACTTTCTCATCAGTCTGGGTCTGCCTACTCAGACTGCTTGGTCTCTGCATTAATCTTTGTATTTCTCTCTCCAGGGAATCTCTCTTCAGAGACAGTTCAGATGCCTCCTTTTCTGAACTCATTAGACGGCTCTTGTACTTGTCCTCAACAATCCTCAGCTCCCTCGTTAGCCTCTCAATCTCACTCTTCATGGACAGCCTTTCTCGATCTGCCTTGTCCCTGTCAGATTCACACTGCCTAATCTGGATATCTTTCCGTTCATACTGGCTTTTCATGCTGTTGAACTCATTCAGAATTGAATTTTTTTCATCCTGCAGCCTCTGTTTGTTACGAATCTCAGTCTCTAAAGTCAGCTTGATGCGAGTTAGTTCCTCTTCAAGTCGTTGCTGCCGGTTCTTGTCCTGCTCCATCAATTTTAGCTTGGAAAGCAAACTATCCCTCTCTAGCAGCAGGTCACTGTATTGGCTTTGTGATTCATGCACCATCATGGATGTCTGTGGAGAGACAAGGGTCACTGTTATAAGTTGTGATATAATTTTCATTCAAGTTAGTAAATGGAGTTCAATCACATGTCCTCCAGCAAAGTTTGCATTAATTTAAAAAATGTTAGTGTATAGTGTTTATTAACTTACTTATTTCTATGCATGAGTGAAGTTTAGCTAAAACAGGTGGTATTATTAAAAGACTTGTTTACATGCATATCCAAACATAAGCATTTGTGAGTGAGCCAATCTCATGCACAGTAACATTTTAAGAGGTATTTAAGTGTGTCACAATTATTGCAGGCAACTTTGAAGTTAGGATGCAAGCAGAAATACAATTTAGTTGTGATATGAGGAGATCCTTCAGTGCTATCAAAATACCTCAATTGACTGCTTTTGGAATTTTTCTATTTCCATTTTAAGTTTTTCTCTCTCCTTGGTCAGGTCACTGATGAGAACCTGGAGTTCTGTTGTCCTCTTGGTGCTACTCTGTAGCTGGACATGCAAGGCTGAGAGTTGAGTAGCAGTTTCTCCGTCAAATGAGTCTTTCTTAAACTTTAGATCATCTCTCTCTTGTCTTACTGCTCTCAGTTCCTCTTCTAACCTCAACCGCTCCTTTGTAAGGTTCTGCGTCAGACTCTTCAGCTTTTCAATCTCTGTAGTGAATTCATTAAGTTGGCGGCTCTTCTCCTCGATGGTCTTATACAAGCTTTCATTACGTAGGTTAAGCTCGTGAATTCGAACAAGCTCCTGTTGAAGCTTCTGTTTCAGCGTCTTCAGCTCTGCAGTCACAGCCACAAGTTCCTCCTTGGTAGCTTTATGATCCCTCAAGCTCTTGTCCAGTGCCTCCTGGAGAGCCCTGAGGTCCTGCTCATACTTTCTCCCAGAGGTGGAAGCCTCTATTTGAATAGACTTCAGGGAGCTAATTGTGGTTGTGTGCTCTCTGCAGGTATGTGTCATCCTCTCCAGTTCAGCCTCCATTCGCTTTCTACGCGTGAACTCCTCCTGTGTTGCCTTCTTTTGCTTTTCCAACTCAGCTTCCATCCCATCCAGAGAGCATTGAAGTTCCCGGATACGACTATGCAGTCTGGCAGAACCCTGCTCAGCTTTAGTTTTCTCAGTGGACTGCTTTTCCAGCTCCATTCGGGTGATGCGGATCTCCTGCTCAAAGACTTTAAGCTTGTTAATTGATTCAAGGTAGGAGGTGTTTTTTGCCTTAAGATCTGCTTCAGCTTGTTTCAGATGATTGATTTCCAATTCCAAAGCTCTCCTCTTCTTCCCCTCTTCCTCCAGGTTCAGCGTTAACATGTTTATCTTTTTGGACTTTTCCTGATTGTTTTTGTTGGCTTCAATTAATTTGAGCTCATCGTCGCCTCTTTGCTGCAAGAGTGTTCTCAGTTGCACCTCCAGCTCCGTACGCAACCTCGTCTCTTGTGTCACTGAGGCCCTCTGCTGGCTGACCTCCTTCTCTGCCTTAATTTTCTGCTCTTCTGAGTGAGCCACAGACTGCCTCAGTCTTCTTAGCTCCTCCTCCACATCTCTTTTCTCAGCAGTGAGTCGCTCAAGTTGCAGCCTCAGCTGTGTTGCATCTTCCTCCTTCTGTTGGGAGGCTTTCTGTATGGTGGTCTTGGTGATGTGGATCTCTGTCTCATAAGTTTTCTTTAGTTGACTAATCTCCTGGGTGCACTGAGTTCTTACCTTTGAGATATCCGTTTCAGCATTTCGTCGCCGTGTTGCCTCCTCCTCTAGTTGTATCTTCAGCCTCTCCAGCTCACGTTCCTTGTCCTTCACAGACTTCTCTAGATCAATCTTTACCCAGCTGAGCTCCTCCAATTCTTTCTGTCTGCGGCGAACCGTCGCCTCATACTCTTCTTGCTGGCTGTTGTAGCGCTCTTCTGCCAACCTTCTTTTTCTCTTTTCCTCCTCCAGCTGGTATCTAATGCGGGTCAGCTCTTCGTTAAGATCTTGGATCTGACTTTGTGTGCTACCCAGGGTCTCCTTGGCAGCATTAACTTGCATTACTGTGGTTCTCTTCACTTCCTCCATAGAAATAAGGTCATCTTTTGATTGATTGAGCTCCAACTTGTAGCGGGCCAAAGCATCCTCCAGAGACTTGTTTTTATGGTTGCTATCCTGGAGGTCCTCCTTTAGACGCCTCATTTCCTCCTCAAGTATCTCAATTCTGGTGTTTCGTAACTGAGGAGAACATCAAAGTCAGACAATATGTTAGTTACCTGCCCATATGTGGTTGAAAAAATACATTTCTTATTCTTTATTCTTACAAATGTCAAATATATGCACACATGACCAGATATCTACCTTTAACTCCTCCATGTTCTTCAGCAGCTCCCCTAAGAACTTGTAGTAGTCACTAGACTGTGTAAGTAGCTCAATGTAGCGAGCTTGAAGGTCAGATGCCTGATGGGAGTTAATAATAATAAGATGAATACTGATGTTGAACATTCCAGAACTAATTACAATTCAGTCTTATTTTTCAATAACAAGTATAACTGAGAATGCAGCCCTGGTGTAGTATGAACACATAATACTTAAGAAATTACCATGGTAACATTTATAAAACAGATGATACATTTTTCATACTTAATATATGAACAAATATACAAATTAGAGTAACATGAAAATGGCTTAATAGAAGGCCAGAGCTCATACCCCTTGTCTGACCACAGAAGCAGGGGACTGCAGCATAGTTCTCTTGATAGGAATGTTAAGCAGAGTTTCCAGTCCTGAACTGTAGGAAGCAAGCTGAAGCTCATAGTCCTAAAAACACACAATGCAACTTGAGTAAAACATGCAAATGGTAATTGGGCAAGATACTTCAATATATCTTAAACTGAATGAGATATGCACAATCACTGACTACCAACCTTTATAGATGCTGCACAGACGTCTGCATTTTTATGCACTTCCTCCACCTTCTCCTTCTTGCCTTTGATTTCATTGTGAAGTGCCTAGTCAACAAATAAGGAGCCAATGAATATGACATGTCTGTTAATGTTTTCTTCTTCAATGGAGATTTCTTGTTACATTTCAAATTTTATTAGCGTTGGGTGGCCTCCAAATTTTGATACCTTCATATCATTTCCACATTTTACCCTGGTATACAGTACAACTGAGAATAATTTCAAATTATAACTTAAGTTTCAGACAGCGTCACCAATCAGTTGTCTCATGCCTACACCAGTCGGAAACTGAATACCAAACCCTAACAAAGAAATAATAGCAATATTGCCAGACTGCTTAAGTCTTGTCTTCTTAGCAACGTGCAATCTTTCTCTCTCTCCTCAATGGTGTCACGCGATGACGTCAGGTTCATAAACTTTATTAAAAGTCTCACTACTGTGAAAGTAAAACTGAAAATTAAACCACATACAAGTGCTGCTGGACATGGATTCATTTCTAGGCATTTATTTAATTATATCTTATGTTTAATCCTTATTTCCTAAATAAGCGCATCTTTTTTTTTTAAAATGACTATTAAAACTAATACCGTTGCTTTTGAAAGATGTCGCCAGTATAACTTATCACCGTATTACCGCCCAACCCTAAATTTGATCATACATTTTTACAAGACAGTAAGTAATTTGCTGTATAACTGCATTTTGCAACACTTCCTACATATTACTGCTGTATCATTTCCATAATCTACACGTGGTCGAAAGTTTTAAAACTTGAATGGACTTCAAAATTAAAACTTCTTAAAATTAAAAAAACAGTTCCAGTAAAATGTTACTGGTGATAATCCCGAATGAATGCAAATAGAGGGCCATGCCTTTTGGTGGTTGAGGTGGTCCATTAGGGTCGTGATGTCGTGGAGTTTAACCATCTGAAGGTTCTCCTGGCGTTTCCTGGCATTGTCTAGCCACTGTTCCAGGGAGGTGCTGCCCTGCTGATATTGCATTAACTGCTTCTCATGCTTGTCCAGATCCCACAATCTGAGCAGGAGGGGAAGGAAAGGAAGAGGAAGGAATGAGAGGATGTAGCTTGTGTTTTCGCACTCAATGATGAATGTGTGCTGACCGTCTTGCTCTACCTGCTATCAATCTGAGTTTGGATACGGTGCCAGCGATCGCACAACTGGCTCACCAGGTCTGAGTACTTGGACAAATCCACATCACACTTGTGGAAGGAATCAGAAATCTGACCATTCCAGTGAAATGCTTTATTCAGGTCAGACTCCATAGCTGTCAGCAGGTCCCGTTTTTTCTCCAGTTCATTCTTCATTTGCTATAATATAGAATCCAACAAGATTTATTTGGATTTATGTTTAAATATCTGGCATTTAATATACAGTTTGTACACACTTTTACATGCATTTTGAATGAGCGGATGTGTCTGTTTGTGTATATGGAAAAATATATGGAACATGACAAAAACCTTTAGTGAGCTCCTGTAGTTTTCCAACTCTCTGATGTCCAGGGAGCTGGTCTCCTTCTCAGTAAGCCGGGCCTCGTGAACTTTAATGATATCCTCAGCCTGAAGAAGGCTTTGAAGCAGCGCCTTAAGCGCTTCCAGTCTGATGGAGAAATCTATGTTCATTAAATATGTCTGAAGAGATTAACCTGCTGATGAATGTGGGTTTAATTCCTTTTAATTCAAAAGAGTATACTTTACCTCTGAACATAGGTTGAATGGAGACCCTGCAGGCCTCCCACTTTTTCACTGATGATTTCCAGTTCAGCCCGGAGGAACTTAGCCTGGTCTGAGTCTGCAGGTATTGTCTTTAGCTGCTTTATAATTTTCTCCCTCAGGTGGAGGTAATCATCATGAACTGACTCAAGATGTCGGTGCACATCCTGAAAATCGGTTCAGTGAGACACTCTGTTACATTTTTACATATAAAGGACATTTCTAAGCTTTGATTTATCAAAGGAATCATTTAGAAACCAGTTCTGAATTTTCTTATGAAGGTCTCAACAAAGACTAATGGTAAATGTAAAGTAGAAGAGGCTGCATACATGGAGCTGCTGGATGTGCATCGAGCACTTGTGGACGCTTTCGTCTCCCAGAGGGATGTGGAGATGATAGGTGAGGTCAGATTCAGCCAAATCCAGCCGGCGGCGGATTTCTTGCAGGCTGCTAAGCAGTGTGAGTGACACGGAACTGGCTGGAGGGGACGGGGTCTTGACTTTGGTGGTAGTTGACGCAGTCACCTTCTGAGACTCCTCAACCTTCACCCCATCACCACCTTAATTCCATGGGGGGGGGGGGTCATTAACAGAATCCAACAATAGAAAAATGCTATGCTTTCATTTCTATAATACAGTTATGCTACAAATAAGCTATATTGCAATGAATTCAAAGGAAAGACCGGTTCTGAGAGATAGTAATTGTGCTAAGCATTGAGGTTCAGTATCAAACCCAGGCAAAGGTCAATGGCTTTTTTATACACACTAAAATTTAGCATCAGATAACAAAAAGGCTTTCTAACTCACTGTATGTAGGCAGCTGGACAATCAGTGTATCATAGTGTTGTTGGGCTTTGTCAAAGTGGCCTTGGATGGTTTTCTTTTCCTCATCCCCAAACATGTCTGAACCTCGGCTGGTACGCATGAACTCCTCGTAATGAGTATCCAGGCTTTTGATGATGCTGCGGTACTCCTCCGGACGCATCTTTGCTAGCTGTTACAGAGATAAGACACATTGAATTAAGCAATGGACACAGGAGGTGAGCACAAAGAAGCAAGTAATAAGGAAATATTAAAAAATCAGGGACAGATTCCATTGGTTTTTGAAATAGTGACTTATTTTAGGAATTGAGAACAGATTTTGTGACTTCTTACCATACTGATGGTGAGGGAGTTGATATAATTGATGTCTTTGAGGCAATACTGCCAGGAGATGAGACTCTTGATGTTGATATACACCTGATTACAAATTCCAATGATGGCTTCATAATACTGCTCATTTCTGAGAAGGAAACAAGCCATCAGTCACCCATTTAGGGAAATCTCAAACTTAGTAATAATAATCATGACTAAAAGATGATGAGATACAATTTCCCCCCAAAAACCTAATACCTAGTCAAAATGTTCTCAGATATTCATACAATAACTCAAATCCATGCGTCTCACCGGCGGAAATGATGATAGTCTAAGCTAAACCTTTGTTTTCTCATACTGTGGTTAATCTACACACTTGCACAACCCCAAATGTTTCTTACTTGTTGGCAAGGGTGATGCTGAGTGGATTTGGTGGGGGAATGAGCAGACACACTGAGGGAATCAGCATGTCAAGACCCCCTGGACCAGTCACCTGCCACTTGGTGCGCTGCGAATTGTCCTTCAGGATCCCCTCATCCCCTTTTAAAATACCTGTCTGAAATGTAAAAAGTACGCATTTGTTAGATTCCTGTGTATCTGTCTACCATATTTTCATCTTCAATCTTAAAGCATGCATGATAGAGAGGAAAAACATATCCCACCTGGTCCTGTTTAAAGTCACATAAAGCCTGGACCATGACAGGGCTGCTGCTCTTCTCCTCAGGGTTCCGAGGTTTAAGCCGGACAATAGACTTGGACTTGCTGACCAGACTTTGGACCAGCCTCTTGTTATCCATGATCCGTTCCTTCTCTCTCTGGTGGAAATCAGATTTTTTTTTTACTTGGGCACTGAGAATTTGAGAAGTTTTTTATTTCTTTTTTTTCACCAAAACATGTTGAGTTTTTTTTTACAACCGAAAGATTTAATCAAATCTGTCTGAACTATATCATGTGTAGCTTTACGGGTACATATAAAAATAAAGGCTTGTATTATCTGCACTTAACAGTAATAACATGTTGTGGTACCTCAAGGTTTTTTAGGAGTTCCGTGAGGTTTTCCAGTGGAGTGTTTTTGTCACAGGTGAATTTTCTTTGAATCATCTCATGCTCCCGCTTCAGCTTTGCATACGTCTCGTTGGCCTCTTTGAAAAACTGAAGATGGACGTGAAAAGCTGGTTTTCATCAGAAAATACAGACTTTAATTTGACAACGAGTAGCATTGAGAACTTACTTGGCTGTAAGCAGAATTCTCTTTCAAATGGATGTGAATGCATTTTGTGATCTGAAGGAGCCAGCTCCACTGGGTTTGTAGGGTGTCCAAATAGGCCTGTGGGTGCACATAGAGCAGAGACATCAACACAAAAATCTGTTGTGTCTGCATGAGATGCAACTGAAAAAGCCCAGAATATTACCTCAATCTTATCTGAAGCGGGATGGTTGTTGTTCAGGAGGCCGCTGGCTTTGGTCTTCAGTTTGTTTAACTCCTTCTCCTTCTCCTCCAGGTCCCTCATCAGCATCTGTCATAGAAACAGACGGCAAGGGTCCGTAAGAGATACACACCAACAGCAAACACACCCAAAACGTTAATAAAAAAGGGATCAGTCGGGGATTCTCACAGAGTAGGCCTCCTGCTTCTTGGGGATGTACTGGTCAATGTTCTTGTCTCCCCAGTCAAACACAAGCTCCAACTCCTCTCTCTCATTCACCCACATGATGGCTCTGGAGATCTCCTCAATGATGCCTTTAAGCTCTCGCAACTGATTCACATGCTTGACAGATGTTTTCTGCAACAAATACAAGGCATATGTATAACCGTGATGAATATGTAACAGCGCCAAAAGCTGCTGCCTCCGTCAAAAGGAAATTCCCGGAGCATATCTCTACCTGAAGGCTCTCCCATTCTTGTTCCAAGAGGGCAAGGTGGTACTTGTCATTCTCTGCCATCTAGGAAGACAGATTACCTTTTAATGAGTTATTATTAGGTATTAGTTGACCTGCGGTATTGAAAAACATTCTTTGGTAACAACTAACCAGTTCACTTCTTGCCCGATCGACTTCAACTCTTCCTTGGTTCTGGGCGTGTAATCTGTTGTGGCTTGCGATTTGCTTCTCTATGGCAGCCGAGTCATCTCCAAAGGGAGCCGTCTCAATCAGGCGCTTAAAAGGAGATTTACACTTTATTACACATTGATAGAAAAAACCTTCCAAATTATATAAATTGACTATCCCTGTACAGTCGCTGTACATTAAATATTTGGATGTCTTGATTTTTTAATTGCTCAAACAAACCTTATGAAATTATCCCTCTCAGAGCAGAGCAGTGATTTGTTGCATTACAAATAAAACATGACTGAACTATCCTGTGTACATAAGGTTTTCCCATGTATAACGCTGGGATACACTGTGAAATATACTAAAGGTTACATTGATATAGTTCAATGGGATAGGATTTCACCATTTATATGCTAAAATATGAATATTTTTTAATTCTCAGTAAGCACATGATAATTGGTTCAACAAAATCCAACTATTTTCTTCCGCCTCTAGGTGTCAGTATGTGATCATTTGATTGTTGTTAAGCAGGAAACTATTTCAACTATGCCCCCCTTGTTCGCGGCCCTCAGCTTTGATAGGAGCTCTGCCAGTAAACAATTTGCAATCCGCCCCTGTTCTCCATTGCCTTTTCTTTCCACTCCCTTCACTCTCAAGTCTTTTGTTGTCTCGCCACACCTCTTTCCCCTTGTGAATATTTGCCTGAAGCAACACACAACAACCCTGACTGCCTGCAATAGTTTGTATCTATCTGTGACATATCAAAATACTTATGTGTCGAAACGCTGGTTGGACAAAATAGAGAAATAGCTCATCGGGTCGCCGTGGGAGGATTGAGAAACGTAATGCGTAAAAAATGTTTCAACATGTGGTAACAGCATACGGGAAAATGAATGGGGAGATACAGAGGGGTTAGGCAGAGATTGCTGAGTGAATGACAGGGTGTGTTCCTGTTAGAGGTAACAGGGTTGGGCCGGGAGTGAAGAAGGGCGTTTTCCCATGAACGTGCAATAGGTCAGCTGAACTGTGCTGTCCTAAAACTACTGACTCAGTGTAGAGTGTCAAATATCACACGCCTATACAGCTTCTTTCCCATTAGTTTCCACAACTTCATGCTTTCTGCTCTATATCTTTCAACTCTCCTCTCACTGAGCTTCTCTAAGAATGCTACACATTCTCTCTCTCTATCCTCTTCTTTGTTTCATCGCTCTTGCTCCCCCCCTGGCCTCTTTCAGTCTTGTATCGGGTTTTGGTAGCAAGTCCAGACGGTTTCGATTACATAAGGTTAAGATAGGCGAAAGCGTGAGGGCATCCCCTTTCACTACCTCATATTGTGTGTGGAGAGAAAAATGTGCACAGGCGTTTATTTGTATGGAGGAATACATTTGAAATGAGGTGACAGGTAAGGATCAAGGTTTAAATAAACAGTGACACTGTTAACAACTGGATCAGATAAGGGAAAGGGTGCAAAAAGCTTGTACGGCCCTTTTGTCCAGTTTGTTTATGTTTATGCATTTAGCAGACGCTTTTATCCAAATGGACTTCCAAAGTTTAATTATCTTAATCGTAAAAAATTAAAAATAATGATAAATTAGTCTCATTGCGTTACAGAAAAAGCGATGATTATCACAGTGACAGCATGGCCATGATGCAATATTCTAATCTGTCTTGATCAAAAATAAGGAAGAAATGCGCCTTTTTTTCCCAGAATTTCTCGAACACTCACCTTCTGTTGAGCAATCCAAGCCATGGCATCATTAAAGAGCCGCCCCCCGTCGCTGACCACACTTTCTCTCACCCGTCTTATAGTTGAAGCACTGGCCATTTTCTGATGCATATTACTGTGCACTTGTTGGAGTTGGTCGACACTGTGGAGGATTCACATTCACATTTAATCTCAGCTCTGGAATGAAAGGAGTCCACACCGTGAAGCTTAAGTGAAGCGCCATGAAGAGTAATAGTTTTGTCTTACGTGTTGAAAACATCGTGCTGCACACGCATTTGGCTCAGCTCTCTGCCACAGTTTTTCAGCTGCTCGATGCTCTCTGCAGCCAGCCCTAAGAACTTATTCACCTCCATCGCCGGGCCGCCCTGCAAAAATCCGAAAGAAAAACAGACATACCCCCAATTTAGCCATAGCCGTGCTGTACACCGGTGCCATCGACAACATGTAGGTGAATTGCGATAAATCCCACCGTGGGACTTATCACAAAAGTTATAACTTACCGAGTTGGCAATCATCAAAGCTCTCTCCAGGTGACCCTCACAGTGTTCCCTCAGCAACGCACATTTCTGAATCATTCCTTGAACACTAAAGATACGGGGGGAAAGGAAACTGATGTTGAATTTGCACTTTTTGATGAAAAGAGGTTAAATATTAGAAGAAAAAACATTGTAAATAGAGTTAATAAGTTATCAAACAGGAGAACAGGATCACAGAGAAAGTGCATGACCAAAGGTTCTTAAAGAAAAAGAAGCAAAACAACAATTACAACACTTAAGGGTGAAAATGTGGTATTTCAATCCAGTACTTGGATTTTAAATAATGGCTATATCTGTAATGCGCCATTAGTCCTGAAAACAAAACAATAAAAAATCTCCATGAAGAATGACAAATTTCCCACACGGAAACCCTGAAATCACTTTAACTCTTCCTTGTAAAAATTAATCATAATAAACAGTGTATTGGGGATTTAAACCTAAATAGGAAAAACTATTGACACTGGGCAGTGAGCTGCGTGTCGTTGTGGTGAATGACAAATTAACACATTTATCAAAAGCATCCTTGCATTACAAATATTTTAAAGTCAATAAACCGGTCGCTCTTCTACCTGCATGTGTTTTGTCCTGCATGAAATCCAATGTGGGCCCTGAGACGTTCAAAGGGCAATTTTACAGGAACCTGCCTATGGTTTGTTCTGGTTTGGTGGAAAACCAGAGCCATTGACGCACTGACAAGCTCGGTGTTAATATATGTTATTTTTCCGAGTAGACACAGCGGTTTTATTATTTTAATAGGTTTCTTATTTGGAGGAGGGGGGGGGGGGGGTCACTTCAGCTTCTATTAAAGTTGACACAAGTTTACGCTTACCTGGTTCCGCCACCTGCGCCCTCCCCCATGGTGCCGTAGCCTTTCGGCCCGCCTGCCCCGCCGCCATACATGGAGGATCTGGAAAAGTTGGTCGTTTTCATGGTGTATACACCTTCTCCAACCTGGTAATCTCCGTGAAAGCCATTCCCACTGGCGAACACGTCGTTTCGGAAGGTTGACAATTCCGGTCGCGAGTTACTCCTCTGAGCGTTGTTCAGCTTGGGGTTAGAGCCGTACATGCTCATGATGAAAACCTTCTCTGTTTTGCTGATCTATTATTTAATTGTGGGGATTTCAGCTGTTGGGCTCTGCTGTCCGGACAGACTTTGCGCCTGTTTGCGCCCGCCCCGTCTCCTGTTGCGCAGATAGGGCTCTGCTGTGAATAGACGGAAGCTGCCTGCTTTTGGACAGAAACCACACCTTGTTTTTTTTTTTTTTACGAAACTCTGAAGGCTGTGTGGGAAAGGTTCCACCGCCACTTCATTTGGCAACAATTCATTCTCCAGTAATTGTACGTGTGAATTACGACGGCACGCCAAATAGAAGAACTAAGCGAGTTGGGTTTTACCAAATTCACTTCAACACTTCATGTGTAACCCCTTTCAAAGCTCTTATCATAAATTGTTGACTTATTTTTGAGAGTTTGGACAAAAAAACCCTTTTCCATTATCCGTTAAGCCAATTCGACTGTAAATGTCTGTTTGGTCCACTTTCTATCCAATATCTGAGTCCAATCTTATTAAGAATGATGAGGGAAATCCAGAGGACATCAATAAAGGATTACAGCAGCCAGCGCATTTTAGCCTTACTGGAATAAGGAGAGAGGGAGTGTTTTTTTTTTTTACAAAAGAATCTGACATCCTGAGTTCAACATTCCTGAGGTCAAAATGTGTCAGTTTGAGGGCGAAGGGAAGCACTGTGCGCCATTGCTTGAGCAGACAACTAAGTTAGGAGCCGTTTGGTTCTCATTTGGTACTTGCTTTTATCATTTTTATTTGTTAGTTTTCATTTAAATTTCCACATTTTTTATCTGTTCATCATAATCTGCTTTGATCCCTCCTGTGTTTGCAATCCACAAATACGGAGCGTAACAGCTCTGAAAAGTGAAAGGATTTGAGCAAGAGAATGCAGGGTCACCCACCCCAAACACACCTGATGTTTAAACACTGTTGAAATGTCAACAAAACTTTCTAGCTTCCAAAAGATATGATCCAATTGTGGAGATATAGAAAAAGAGGGAAGACCATGGGGAGAAAAAAGTGTGAGAATCTCATACATCTCCTGACAATAAGCCAATTATAACTTAGTCATAGACACTTTCTCAGGTAAAGGTTTAACTTTGCCAGTGGATGTATTGTGCCCTCTGGTGTCACAGGCCAAACCCATAGGTGGAGGACAAAAATATACACCACTACATCACATACAAGTGTGAGAGTAAAGGGGGTGAGACAGATAGATAACCCTAACCCTAAACAGAATCTGAGATTTTAAGAAACCATTAAAAAAAAACAATAAACCAATAAATACATTCTTGCTAATCGCTCAGTGTTTATTTCCCCCTTTTTCAATATGAAGTTGACATTAGAGACTTTTTTGTGACATGTTACTGGGTGTTTCACTCAACACTCAAAAGTAAATTTACTACCAGTTACATCAACAGCTATTTAATCCAAACCGAGTTTTAAAGATACACCAGGTGACACACCCCACTGGCTCTGAAGGATTCCACTTAGTCTCACTGTTTTTTCCCCACTTTTAACACGCCCTCTACCAACAAAAAGACAAAGCAAGACAGAACATGCGCGACTTTTAAGACTTAGTCACAATTAGCCAAAAACATGACTGAACCCTGAACTTGACAGTAATCATATTGAGAGGATTACTTTAGAACACACCCTGAGTTCTGAGCTTTTCCCTCTCAACCCAATGGAATAAATGAAAAAAAAAAACTTTGAAGCTAACTTTTATATCTGTCTTATCTCTCTATCTTTCTAGTTGCTTTTTTTTTCAAGCATGCGTGGGTCATTTAAACTGAAAGTAAAAGCTTTGGGTGTTGTCTTCTGCTTGGGTGTTGCTTTACAGGGAAACCATTTTTTATTAAATGCTTACTTTCTGACTAAAATGCTTACTGAATCTACAGACACTGACTCCCCCTCAGGAGAATATTTGGAGATATTTGTTGCTTGGGAGATTTCTTTTCTCTCAAATTTGTGACACTGGCATTTCAGACGTCACCGAGCTAATAGTCTGCTCATAATGTGACTCATTTCAGACCTGGTGGCACTTGCAGACACGTATGACATCATATCCAGAAGCTTGGGCTGATATCATACACTGAGTAAACTTCGGGGGTGTTAAACCGTGACAGCTGGTTTTGTAGACTATAAACAATTCACATTGTCCTGTTTATTAAAGTTACTTGAGTGCAAGCTGGTTGGTCTGACATTTAACAGTTTCCCATAACAGCACTGGAAAGGAGCCATTTTTTCCAAGCTCTGATGCTTAGCAAAACATGTCACAATTTAATCATTATTCAGTTCATTTGTAAAAGAAAACGATGTCTTTGAAAGAAAAAAATGCTAAAAATGTTGAAAGCAAGCTGGTCTTTGTAATTAAATTCGTTTTTTTCACCCCAAAGATGTCAAACTTCAAGATAATTGGTCTAATAAAAGCTGTGGGAGTTTGAGAGGCTCTCAGCCTGGAAAATGTCTTTCTCTGCAGGATGTGCGCCTCCTCCGCAGGTCATTAAACTCTCCAAAAACCCTAACTAACGTTAAGAGTTGAAGGCTTTGTCTGAACTATAAACGTTTGTGGCTACGGAGGAGAACCTGGATGAAGCACCGATCAGCACGGAAATGCTCGACACTGTCTTTGACAGAAAAACAGGAAAGCATTATTTATAGCACCTTACTTGCATGTTACCTACGTGTGACCTTTGGAAATGCGGCCCCACACCAACAATGCTGTCTTATCTGTGAGGAGATTAGCTGAAGGCTCTCTAAAGGGTGCCTGCATTAAGGTGCGCATATCTTTTTGGAGTCATCCCCGGTGCACACAAGCAAACTATTCATGGATTTGCTGTTGTCTCAGCTTATCTGAGCTGATACCATCTTTGAGGTAGTAAATCCCATACACTGTATATCTGGTGGACTTTGCATTTAAGTATAGTAAAACGGTAGATTCCCCATGACTACAGAGAGAGAAATCTTCTGATCACATTAAATAATCATTCTGATTCCCACCAACACCTAACAGAGGTTATTTTTTTTGCCCACACGGCAACTGTTTTGAATTACTCACTTCAGTGAAAGCTGAAGACACACCTAGTCCTTTTTACGGTTTTACATGTCATGTGTAACCGACTGGTTTATGAGGCAGACAGAGAGAACAACCGTCAAAGTTCAGACTGGGCTGACTCACCGCATTGCTCATGGGCGGATCCCGAACACACCTGGATTAGTTGCTAGGGAGCCAGTGATGGCAATAAGCAAGTCTGAATGATGACAAACAGCTCACTGTGATAGTGACAGTACAATGGTTGACCGGTTTCTGTTGGCACAGACAGTTTATTTGAAGCATGCAGCATGGGAAGCACCGTCTGGGTGAAACATGAGAAAAGGATGCAGGGGACATTTGATCCCGCCACCGCATTTCTGTATTCATTTTTAAAATCTCACCTGCCAGCCACAGATAAGAGTGAAGTCGATATAACAGTTAATCATAAAAAGAAGCAATCCTTGACCACACAACCCTTTTGAACTCATTATTGCTAACCCGGACGCAAAAGACAAACTCACTAGTGTATTTTTGTCATGGGGATCCTGACCTTGTTGCAATTAGAACCACAACTGTAAAACCCATCGATTCTAAATTCAATGTTCTGAGTAACCGTTGACTTTGGGTCAGACCAGATCCTCAAACGGCTGTGCCATTGCTTTAGTCTGCCTGCAGGGGTCATCTGTCTGTAACAAACTGCAAGGAGACACTGCAGTCTGTGGAGGGGCCTTTGTCATCACTACTGGGGTTCATGCAGTTCATGAATTAACAATTACCAACAGTCCATTCTTGAAATGTAATGATAGAACAAAAATTGGAATACAGCATCAATCAAGAGTCCATGTAATTTAAAGCCTAATAAATCCCTCATTTTAATATATTTTCATATGTTTTGCACTATAGAAGTGGATATTAGAAATAACTGTAAGCGTGCAGATATAAAATTATACATCTATATTTAACTGTTATTCATGTATGTGGGCGTAATAATGTCTGAGAGCCGACAGTCTAATGAAAATGAAACGCACATAATTCAATAGGATGCATTTGCACACTGTGGACAGAAGGGTGAAGCACTGCTAAATGGATCAGTGGCATGACAATGGCTGTAGATGGCGTCAGAACCTGGGTCACGTGTTCAGGTAAATACAGGTTCTCTGTGTTTGAATCAACCTTGTCCAAGACCTCTTTGTTGTTGTGCTGTTCAGGTGGTTCAGTTGCAGTAATACATGAGTAATTCCAGGGGGCACTGTAACATACACGCACACAAAAAGTGCATCATAAATTAGATTGTTTAAAAACTGTGTTTATGGCATAAACCTCTAAGATTGTGATTTATATATTTTGGTAAGTCAATTTAGATCAAATTATCTGGTACAAGAAAAAAATCAAAAATAAAATGCTTTGAAAAAAAATCTTCACAATCATGATTATGGGGATAAAACATTTGTTCAAAGTACACAATAGACAGAAACAATCCAGTTGACAAAAATAGAAATCCTGTCTTTGTTATGGAGGGTGAGTCATTCCTACATGTGTGTAACTACAAAGCAGTTTTACCGATTCACTTTAAGGTAGAATTGATTAATCGAATGATGTTTTCACTGTATGTTTTGTGACAGTACATGACAGAAAAAGGCTGAATGTCTTCACGATAGCTCAGAAAAGATTGAGAGTCCATTTCTACAGTTTGGTCTCCATCGATCCACAGCCAGAAAGGTTGATTGTAAATGGAGGGAATTCAAGATACTTGAGAGAGGTGTACAGAAGTATTTAAGTATTCACAACATCACCTTTGCTGCTGGTCTGGTACTCCATAGTTTTCTAAATACTGTGTGGATGTTAGCTGTAGATACTGGCATGAGTGAAAACAAATTTAGCCTCAGTTACAAATGCTCTGGGTTCTAGAGTGGCAATAAGATTCCAAACAGACCAGATTGGGACGTCACTCACAAACACAAGAGTCCCTAGATATAGTTGCATATATTTGCCTACAGGTGAAGATTTCTGGTGTAATTAAGACTTAAATTACTTCTTTGCTCACTTCTTTATCCACTCAAACGACTGTCCAAGTGCTGTTTTCCAGGCAGTATTGTTATTTGGAGGTACATCGAAGACCTACCTTTCTTTCTACACAGCTGGCAGAACATCTGCAGAGTATTAATCTGTATCATCATTACCATTACTGTTATCAATATTATCAGTATTATTGTTAATCTAATTCAGAAAGCCAATAACTTGCATATAAGCCCATAAATGTTATATGGAGATGATACTATCACTTCTGCTAATGATCTTATGACCATCTTTTATTTCCCTATTCACCCTCTCTCTGTTCTGTATTATTTTGTCATTAGGTCTACTCTATCTGTTACTACAATAACAACATTTCATTCTGTTAACAAATGAAACACAGACAACACTAGCTGCCACAAACACAAAGAGGATTAAGTGTGTCATGTATTTCCTGAATTTTTGTTAAGTTCCAATTATTCATTTCTGATTTCTTTTTGTTTGGTTTTTTATTGGTTTTTGTCGTTTTCATACACAGAAAGGGGGGTGAGCTCTCTTTTAAAGTCTGTGGGGCTGTTTTCCCTGTTAAGGTAGACGGCAACACCCAGCCTTTGTGGTCAGGTGTGTTACCTGTAGCTCAAAACACTTCCGACATAAGCGACGCAGCACCGGTCGATGGGGGAAATATGGCAGGATTTTTCTGACTCATTACCTTTTTTGTTTGTTTATTTGTTGGTTTGTTTTTGTTTCGGGGGCTTGTGTCTGCCCTCAGCCCCGGCACGGGGTTTTTTTTTTTTTTTTTTTTTTTTTTTTGGGTGGCAGACGGACGGGAGGGAAGTGCTTCCTGATAATAAGGAGGTGCGTCTTATTTCCAGTCCAGTGATTGACTGCGCACGGCTTTCGCCGCCAGAGCTGGGGGCACTGACGCATTGTGGAGTCGACAGGGGGTAGCACTGCAACCCCGGCTTCGACACACACACACACACACACACACACGCGCGCACACACACAGATCGGAGGCATCTACCGGCGGAAAAAAACCCCGCGATGGCCGTGGTGCATCTCGAGTTAGAGGACCATCAACCGGAGAACGGCTTCGTGTCCCCCGAAACCACGTCGCCGGGGCTGCTGACGCGCTTCGACGGCTCCGTGCTGCCGTTTCTCGGGGGCTTTGGGAAGTACCAGAAACAGCTGATCGTGCTGACATGGATCCCGGCGCTGTTCATCGGCTTCAGCCAGTACTCGGACAATTTCCTCCTCGCCCAGCCGAACAACACATGCGTCCAGCCTGTGGCCAACGCCACTAACCAGAGCACCGGCGCTGGCGGTGGCGGCTACTCCTCCTCCTCCTGGCCGCCGCCGGACAGCGGGAGGAACGGCAGCGCGACGGCGGCGGCGTTTTACGGCGGGGGGGACGAGGGCGCGCAGAACGAGACGGCCTTTGCACAGTGCAACTGCAGCGAGTGGACGTTCGAGCTGCACTCAGGACTTATGCACAATGTGGTCACAAAGGTAGGATCACGAGGAAGAGGAGGAGGAGGAGGAGGGGTGGAGGGGTTGGTGGGGTCCTCTACATGACTAACACACTGTACACCAGCCATATCTCATCACCCCCCCACCCCCATCCTTAATGGGTCGATTTCTATGAGCAGGGAAAAAAGGGGGAATTATTGCACTTTCCCTCCTGCCATTAATAGACTTAGGTTTCCAGCGTCAAGCTCAAGTAGTAGTCTTTGAACGGCTTTTCCGTGTGGTGTTTGCGGTCATGCCTCCATTATGGCACTCGTTTCTTCACATTGCGGCGTGCAGAGCCACTTATTTCTAAGCTTTTGGGGATTTGCAGTTTATCGCCGGTGCACCAAGTAGTTGTAGGTGAAAGCACGACATTGAGTCATCGCGGGCACCTGACGCCAGCATGGGCTTATGGGGCAAAAACCCACGAGGGCTTTTGGAATTCACCAGTTGTCCAAATAGAAATAATTGACACGGAGCATTTGATTTGGAGCAAAGGTCGTGAGTGCGTTTCTCTAGAATAATGCAACTCCATCCCTGGCCAAACACCGGCTGCCCCACCTCTACCCTAACCAAACACAGATGAGCTATTCTGACATCATTCAGAGCTGATAGAGTTTGTATTTTCCACCAGTCTTTAGTAGGGACTGGGAGACTAATGAGATCTAAGAGTTCTTACTTAAAATGCTGTAAGACCATCCCTTCTACTCAGTGAAAGCAGACTGTCAGCTGAAAGGGAAACCATAAATATCTTAACGTGAACTCATAATACTCCAAATTTGATAATTGTGGGCAATCACACACTTGTAGAGCAGGACAGATTACCAGAAACAATCAAAACATTTTCACAGAGAAAATTTTTAAATGTATATTTATATTCTCACACATGTGGACCACAGAAAACTGTCTATTAAACTGCTGCCACAGTTTGGCTTGTATGACACAGTGTGAACTGATATCAGAGTAGGATTTTAGGCCATTTTTACTATATATGTATTTACTGAACTTTACTGTGGAGGTGGGGGGGGGGGGTCTCTGCACCTTGAACTTGTGAACCGTGGAATGCCAACAGTCCATCTGCTTGTTACTGATTACGTCCTTGCTCAAAATCAGCAAATAAAACCTTAAAATGGGGCATTTTCACTTTGCCATGAGCTGAGGCATAGTTAAATAACTCATTTAATTCCCCATCCATTGGATCATTTGTGGAGCCGGGCCTGCTCTAATGGCCGGGGTGATAAACTGTTTTACAAACGCCGGCCTTCACACTGCTGAGCTGCGGCTGACAGTGAAGGCATATTGAGGCTCTAAACGGGTGGGCGAGTTTGACTGTGCGTGGCTGGAAAACAAAAACAAATGTTCCAGAATCAGATGGCAGCATGGAAACATCACTTTGCGTACCTCCATGCTGGCTCTGTAATTTAAGATACTGAAGTTTTTGTTGCCTTTGCACTCGTAGCAAGAATGTCATGTTGATACTACCACCATGCCAGGGCAGCGACGGTTAAAAACGTGTGACCATGCTCATCCTCCCTGACCCATGCCGCCCATGTTTTTTTGACAAGGTCACTGTTTGGAGACACTGAATCGTGCAGCATGCAGATAAATCCCAAAGAGGAGCCGAAATGGAGGCGGGACTGACGAGCACAGTTGTCACAGTCCCTGCCTGTCTTGACAACTTGCCTTCCAAGGCCCTGTTTTTCCCAACACGGTGCAGGAACCAGGATGTGAAGCTCCCGCAGGAAGTGATGACCCGGCGTTTTTTCTCTGTGCATGGGCAGGACTGCACACGAGTGCGCAGAGTTATCCCGGTCTCTGAAAAAGCAAAGCAGAGGGCCGGCAGTGACAGGATAGTGACGGGAAACATTCCGACCTTGTACTACTGTGTGTTCAACTTTTTTTTTAGGTCAACATGTGACTATAGATAAATGTTTTCACCCTGTGGCACACGGCTAGAGGGATCCCGCTCCGTTTTTTTCTCTTCCCTTGGCACAGAAACATTGTTTGGATGGTGGCAGCAGAGGCTGAAGTGGTGGTGAAGGATCCACAGTGGTTAATGTGGAGACCCATCCTAATTGAGTCAAAGCTGTCCTTAGGGTCCCTGTTAATTGAGCTGAGCCTTAGAAGTGAAAATGTATCATTACTCAGAGACAGCGTCTCTGTGTAACCTACCCCTCCAGTTCCCATTCAGGAGGGCAGCAGCTATCCTGAAATAGTGGCCTCTGGAACCCCTTCGAAGAACAGACTAATCCCTTTTGGGATTCCTTATTAATTTAGTTTTTGTTTGAGAAAGGTTGTGATTGCAGACCCATGTTTAAACTTTGTTTATGGCCCTGAGACTGGTGCACAACTATGACAAATTAAGACATTGAATCAGTTTTGTTTTGTGTTAAAATGACTGAATTTTAACGGGAAAACTGACTGACTGCATCTGAAATCTGTACAGACAGGGACCTGTTTTTCAATCATGTCAAGTCAGCTTCTTTCGAGGCATGAACTAAAGAAATTGTACTGCCTTATTAGGTGCTAGCAGCATGTTAGTTCTTGTGGTTCAATGAAATCATCGTAATCTATTTGTCAAATAAAACATTTTAAGATGATAGGTCGAAGAAGATTTAGTTTCCCAATTGCTTTACACTTCACTGACACCCAAAATAACTTAAAATAATTGAGAATCTAAAAATATGTAAGTGTGTTCTGAACATGTTGCTCCTATGATGTTTTCTATGAAAGGGCAAAGGTAAATATGCCGTCAGATCACATTGGACGGTACACCCAGCCCCGGTATCACAGTACATGGGTCTGCACACCCATAGATCTGAAAGAGGATACTGGAGCTGAGCACCCTTACAGGCCTCACCGCTCTGTGTCCCTTTTACTGTTTACCCAGATGGTTGACTCCTTCGACAGACCCTGGATCAGTGTGGGACTCTTTTGAAATACTCTCAGCTGTCGAAAGGCGATGACCCCACAGCAGATATCCAGCCAACACACAATGACGGCCTCTCACAGCGTCGGCTGGGAGGAAAGAAGCTTGTGTGACTCGCAGATAAAACTTTGTTGAGGCCCTGCGAGTGTGTGTGACAAGAGTGTGTGCGGCAGGCTTGTTTCAGATAAGTGTTGTTGTGTAACAGACCGGCACTGACATTGTGGAGCGTCCAACCTTTGTGGGTGCTTTGGGGACATTTTCTTAGATGGCATTATGGAATTCCAGCCGTTTCCCGTGGCCTGTCGTCGCACATAAAGACTTTTTGGTGATAAATATGTGTTGCCATGCTTAACTGTTGTAAACAGGAGGCTATGAATAATAGACCAGTGCACAAGGGTTTCTTGTTTCACCATCTGTCACTGCTGATAGCGGGGAAATATAACTGCCATCGGCCAACCTTTCAAACATCTGTGCCCATGTTTAGTGTTCTGTTAGAATTTGACTTCTTTCTGGAAAAGAAAACCAAGTCAAATTAAGTTTGAATGTGTATGGGATTTAATTTATCGCTTTGATTTCATTCAATTTTAATGCATTAAAGGATTTCCAGAGCTTCAGCGAAGACAAGGCATCTGCGATAAAACTTAGACGTGCAGTCGGATAAGCTCAGTGATGGTCTGTTGCTAGGCAGTAACTATGCAGCAGTGTCTGAGTGTGTTTTCTTGGCTTTTCCACACAACTGCTGTTTAGCATCTCTTATCTACCGTTCTCCTCACCCCACCGCCAATTCCATGTGTCTGACTTTTTTTGTTTCTTTTTCTGCACTTTGTTTCATATCTTTCCTGCATTCGGTTGCTACATTCTTGCTTGTATTTTCTCCCTTCTCTCGTGCTATCCTCCATGTCCTTCCCTCCCTCCAGGCCTGCTCTGTTCCCCTTGAAACCTCCACCCACCACTAAATAGTTCAGCGAGTGCAGAAATGTGCAGCTGTGGCTGAGAGCATCTTTATCTTGAGTCTTGGTGGAGTAGACGATTATTGGCTATTGGTCTTTTGAGCGAGTTCAACAAACTCTCTGGAATTTGAGGGATTTTCCTCTGGTTCCTTGTAGTTCTGCATTTTCTTTCTGCCACAAGATTCATATTCATATCTACTGTAGATGCACTAAACACCCTAAATGAGGAATGCAATGATTTGATTGGAGATGGGCTAACGGAATAGTTCAATTTCACTCATGGTGGCAATTCATCTGATTTTCTGATTAATTTCTCTGTTTTTCATCCATGATGTTCTGAGGCAGGCAGACATGGTTGATGGTACACGCTAATTAGCTGAGGCTTCTAAACAAAGCTCTTAGGATGAAGCTTTCTAGTGGAAATCCCAGTACGCTGATTTGCCGACACGGTTAAAGATCTTGCAACTCTTGTGAGGTGTCGGTGCTGTGCGTGTGACTTGGGAATGCTGATGCTGCGGTTCGACATCGCTGGTCATCTGTGTGGTGTTTGATCTGCCCAGTCACCAAACTCCCAGACACGCTGCGCGAGTCGCTGTGGAACCGCAGTCTAAGGGTTTCATATTGGCCTATTTGCAGATTAGTCACAGTTTCAAAGGAGAGCAAATGCATTTTTTTAATGTTCATATAGCCTGACCTGTGCTGGGATCGTGGTCCTCTTTCTGTCTTCATCTTTGCTGACATCGAAACTGAAACCATGAATGAGTGGCATGTGTGGATCATGTGACGGCTGGGTGTCTATGAGTAATCCTGGAGCGTTCCATTCTCCACAGGTCACTGTGGTCCGAGGTTATGGAGGTCTCCAGAGTGCAATATATCTGTTTATGCATTCGTTTTCAGTGTGAGAGGGTGGTTATTTGAAATTATGGTTGATCAGCCTCATAGGCACTATGCACCTGCTGTGGCCACCACACCCCTGTTTACTCCCTTACACAACCTCTTTTGTCTTAAACAGTCGGAGTAACAAATGTTCTTACAAAACCCCAACATCGACATCGTCCTTTTTAAAGTGTATCTGATGAGTTTCTCTGAATAATGTATTTTTCTAGAATTTCTTGTTATCAATGTCAATGGTAGTCCATAGTTTCCTTAAAAAAACAAACAAAAAACCTTGCATGGCTCAATATTTTCTTTAGCACTACTCTATGATCCATGCATGTGTCTCACATGAAGTCTTTCAGTTAAAACTTGTTTTCACTGGTGCCAGAAAAAAGGGCGTGTGTGGAGCATGCAAAGACAGCTACCAGCTGCATTGTTAGCACTCCAGGAATCTGTGGGACTTCTATGGGGAAAAAAAGAGGAAACGGGCTATTTGTCATGTGCTTTGTTGACAATATAAAAGACCAAAATAAATAATATGGTAGGCAAATGCTGACTCATGTCATCTCTACCATGATTATTAGCATAAATAGTGTGTGCTGTCCCTTGCAAAGGCTGAATGCCACTGACTTTTTAGCTGTGTGTGCCTTTTTTGGATAGTGTGATGAACTTTGCATACACATGTTGCATTGGAAAGAGCACCATTATGTGTTTTAAAGATTGTATTGCTTTGTGATGGTGATATTTTAATATGGATTGACTAAAAATAAGCAGTCATGCATAGATACAGTGAGAAATACAAAGCTATTTTACCTTGGTTTACTCACTTGCAAAAGATGTCTCAGATGGGAAGGCTTTGACAGATTGCTGTATGGTAAATATTGTCTGTCCTCTTCCAAATGCACACAAGTAAAGTTTGTTTTCATATGGTGATTTAGCTCAATACTTAGACCTTTGTCGAATGTTTGAGATAAACAATGACTTGTCTCAAAATATGATTTTGACAGTCTAACTTCTTGTTTCTCGACAGTGGAGTCTGGTGTGTGAGTCGGCTTGGAAAGTCCATATTGCAAAGTTCTCTCTGTTGGTGGGGTCGATCTTTGGATACCTGGTGTTTGGCATACTTGCAGACTGGTAAGACCTTTGCATCAATCCTAACAGGCACGTTTTTTCAAACTCACTGATCTTACAGGTATTTTTAATTGTTTCCGTCACTCTGCAGGTTTGGCCGACACCCAGTCCTGATCATTTCAGTGCTGTTCATGCTGGTGTTTGGTCTGACTGTGGCATTCTCTGTCAACGTCCCCATGTTCAGCACCTTACGTTTCTTTGAAGGCTTCTGCCTGGCAGGGATCACCCTTTCTCTCTACGTCCTCAGTAAGTACTTCCATTGTTCTACTAAGCACCTGAATGTCCAAGAAAGTGGCTCCATATTATTTTGACTAATGATGCTCAAGTGTGTCTTTGATAATCTCTGCTGATAAACTTGACCTGTCGAGACGAAGAGGTATTTAGCTAACTGTACTTTGTCTAAGATTTTTCCTTTGCCAAAGCCATATGATAATAGCAATATATAAATAACTGCAGAAAGGGTTGTTCTGTAGAATAGGTTGGAAAAATGATCATGAGCTGGCCTTGAGGAGTAGCTGCTAATGTTGCTCTCAGAGTTTTGTGTTTTGTAGTAGGTATGGTTGTAATATTTTCATCGATGTATATGATTGAAGTAAATATATTTATGCAATGATGCCATCTGTTCTAAAAATGTGAATTTGTGTTTCCAGTTCAAACGGTGATCAAACACTGAATATATAACACTTATCTGGATATTAATGTCCACATCCATACTTTCATCTCTTAATCTCTCCAGCCATTATATGGTTGGACGTTTCCACTAACCTGATGAAGCTAAACAATAAGCTATTTCACTGTCACATTAAGTCTCCAGGAAGGAAGCATTCAGCTTAAAGAGATGGAATTGTGTTGTAGTGACCTCTTAACACTTATTAAGCTTGGATGTCTGTGTTGGGATATGTGCTCATCAGTCCCGAACCACCAGGCAGCTTATCCTTTAAATGAACTCTTATTTTCATTGAGGTGAAGCAGCACGTGCCCTTTTAATGAAGTATTCATCTCCAATGGGGCTATCAATGATCTAACAATTGTTTCTATGACCAAAGGGCTGAAGGGATAACTTCAGGTGGTAACCTGTCTCTGCAAAAGGACTCTTTGGAAGAATGAATTCACTTTTATGTGACCATCTCTCTGAACAGAAACAGGGTGAATGATTTGTTTGCTGCGCTGTTGGGCTATATGGCCAGGGAAGGGACTTGTTGATTGCAGCATGATCATTTCTGTTGCCGTTGAGGAACATTGTGGTCTCAGTGATGGATCCCTAAAAGCCTCTGTGGCCAAAGTAAGTGTCTTCCAGAGAGGGAGATTGGGAAAGGGAGGGAGCAAGGATGAGATGATAAAGGAAGGGCCCCCGGTGTCCTTGTCATTCTAATTTACTCCTCGCTGAACACCTTGAAAAGCTTGCCCACTCACCTAAAATAGAATGGCGGTTAACGACTGCTCTCAGGACAAAAGAGCAAGGGTGCAACAGATGGAGGTAAATGGGTGGAGTTTAACTGTATAGCTTGGCGCTTTATCAAATTTAACTTGACATCTGCATCCATTGTGTTCGCATTAGACTACATTGTATGGTTGAATGAACCAGTGACTCTCAGCCTGATGCTTAGAACCCAAGACATGATGAGGATTCTGAAAAAAACCTAAAGAAACAAAAGATAGATCTGCTGGGTTAGAAAGCTGTTTACGAGTATAGCTTCATTTCAAAGGGTTTCTATTGTAGAAACCATTCAGGTTTGTTTAAAAAGTAAATAATAGGGATGATAATAGAGTGCAAATCATCACCTGACTTTTTGTTTGGATAGAAAAAAACCCCAACATATTTATTTCAAATGAGTAGTGTAAATTCAGAATAGAGAGAGTTACCTCTCTTATTCCACCTTATTTGTATTATTGTGTTGTTTCTATTAAAGCTTTTTAAGCTATTTTGTATACCACTATTTCCTCAGTCTGCCATACATGTCTGTAACTTTTTTATCTTCATTGTACTTTTTAAACTTTATATAGTGTAAAAGGTTCAATTAGATATAGTCTTTAGAAGCTTTTTTGCATTGGAAAGCATCTGTGATGGTCACACGTTAACTGTAGCCTTACAAAAAACTATATTGTAACATTAGTGGGGTCAAAGGTCTGCAGAACCCAGCATCATTGTTCCCTAGCCTGGTCAGGTAAAACTTTTTTGCATCAAGAGTAAATAAGGAACTTTTACTGTTTCTCTCTGGAAACGATAGCTTTAAATCAATTTTTCATTTGTTTGTAAAATGGAGCAGTGAAATGTGTTTTCTCCTTGCAGTTGTTGCAGTGTTTCCCTTTTCAGGCTATTAAGAAATAATAATAAAACTCATTTCCCCACATAAGCTGCTTCATTGCATTTGGCTAAACTGCTTATAACTCTTCATAAATTATAGCTCTACTCATGTGCTGCAGCACTGGATTTCCCACCCCCACAGCTGCATCATAATACATTCAAAGTGAGCTGGCTTTACGGGTTTGGCTTTGAGGTTTTGTGTAGGCATATAGACACCCTTATTTCCATCCATGCTTGGCCTCTTGTCACATGATATTTGCCCTGTAGCTTTGGTTTATTGACAAAACTGCACTTGAGCTTCTGCGAGAACACAGAAACACAGATATCTAACAACACCTTTTCTAAAAGAAATCCTTTCTTTAAAAAAGAAAAATTTCCTGCATTCTTGTGACAGTGGGCCACATGTGAGTTTTAGAGAAGCTTTTCATATTTCACGTTCATTGTAATTTTGACACTCTCTGTCATATGACATGCAACAGTACAAAGCACATGATTTTCTTCGATAGCTTGCTTTGTTTGCCCCGATGTACAATGGAAAGTCAGAGCAAAATCCCAACTTCAGCCTGTTTGCACTGGATACATTATGCTAACTACCTCTTGGCAGTTTCTCTCATCAATTGGAATAACAGCTTTTTTGTTGTTGTCATTTATAAGTTATTAGACAACACTTTCTTGATCCCCTGTACATGACCTATCTTTCTACTAGAGGCATTCATGAGGAAATCCACTGAATTTTAAAGCTATAAGTGTGTTCCCTTTAAGAATTCGGAGCAATTTGAACAAAGCTTCTATCTGCTCCACCAGAAGACCTGTCAAAGGCAAACCCATAGAAAACTCAAGTGACTGCTGGTGGTGTGACGCATCACAGCTCCTGATGCAAACTGCCTCACCGATGGGAAGAAAGTCTGTGGCCGGGTGGTTTTATAGAGGAAGGGAATTTATAAAAATATTATAAAAATAGAGAGGAAAAAGCTAGATATTTATTGGGTAAGAATGCTTAACCAAGAGGCAATCCCACCAACACAGCAAAATGTATTACAGTATTAGCGGTAAGCCCTGCCATGGTTCCACAAAGTGATGCACAGATTTGCATTACTGATATACACAACCTCCAAATATAGCAGCAGAATAACAACGCAGATGGCTTTAGAAAATCATATGATATATTCCTATTTATACCCCAATGCCCAATCATTGTAAGGCATCCTGATTAGCATCGCAGCATGAAGCTAAAGTGCCTGTAGTCCAGCATCATGGGGCAGCCCTCTAACACATTTTACAAGTTAGCGCCCGTCACACCGCCCATCCCCCAGCGCATAGAATAAGGTTAAAAAACATACACGGAGCTTCAGACAGCTGAGTCATGCTAGCAGGCTTCTGGCTGCACGAGGTGCTTGTGTGAGAAATTTGTGATCAGCTTGAGACACAGTGATTGTGTTCACTGTGGGTGGCAGAGGTCCAGAGCGGCTGTGATTGTGCAAAAAGGATTTGGGGTTAGAGAGAAATATATCTCTTTGGGACATTATGGCAGTGGGGGTAAAAAACATTAAGCCAGTTTATACTTTTAGTTAATCAAAGAGAAGATATTTATTTAGCTGTGATAGAATGATAGGAAAATATTCTCGGATTCCATTCGAATATCTCTGCATGTTACCAAAGAGTCATGAAGAGAGATGCAGATGGAAAGAGCAAACTAGCCGTATAATCACGTACAGCATGGAAAAGCATTGTTTTGCAAAAATGGTCATGACTAATAAAGCTCAAACTTCCCTTTTTACGCAGTTATTGTTGGATTTATTTTCGTAATACATTGTGCAATAGCTAAATTTGTCAGTCATGGCTCAATAGTGCGTGTGTAATATATCAGATTAAATGCTCGTCATCCACTTGGCATAGGAAATAAACAAAACTAAGTAGGCAAATAGTGTGAGGGAACAATTTTGTATGCAGTTAGGATTTCTCAAGGTCATGGAGTATCATATCTGAACCCGAGTATGAGAAATGGAGAAGAGGGGGGCTCTTTTGAACTCAGTGAGGCTGTTGGAGAGTTGCACACATGAAATCTTGAGCTTGAACGTGTTTGTGTGTCTTTTATCATGAGAGGCGGTAGGCAGGGTTAGGGTTATAGCTCAAACTAAATGGTAAGTATCCAGTAGAGTATTTTAGGTAACACTGGCTTTCTATAGTTGGCTATGCAGTAAGTTATTTTGTTGCGATGAGTATTTGAGATTACAAATAATCGAATATCTGTACCAAAGATAGGTCTCAATACAAAAGACCTAACACACTTTTACTAAATAAGTTGTCAGCTGCTTTCCAACTGAAAAGGATGTGGATAGGCCTCCCCTTGTGAACTAAATAAAAGCTGGCTTTGCAGAATTTCCTAGCTGAAGATCGCCTGTCAATCATTGTTTAAGGTGTCCCTAATGACTGGCAATTTGTTTAGTTAATAATCCCAGATGCTATCTCTGGAACAGCTGGACAAACGGTACATTAGACACTAGATAAGAATAATATGTGAAAGGGAAATAAGGTTGGATGACCCACATTACCAATAGTTGTTACTTCTTTTTGTTGCAATCCTCGTGTTAAAATTGCTACTGACACGTCAGGCATTGAGACTCAGGCTGTTTGGATAGGGCGTGCTATCTCCATTTGTGCCAGTGCTTTTCTTTTGGATCGATTGTTTACACAGCTGTGACATATTGCATTTTATGAGAGTCAGGAGAGGGAAGTACATATGATCATATGAATGACAATATAACGCCTTACAGTACATGTCGGTGTCAGGTTAAATCAAACTGAATTTTTTTTTATTTTAGTTTGCTAGTTATTAAGCTTGAGGTGTAAATGTGAATGATGACTCTGATGGCAATCTTTCTTCTCTTGTAATGGTATAGAAGTCATTCGAAGTGCATGGGACCATCAACACCTTTGCAGA